TCTATTGCCAGGTAGGATGGGTTGTTCTATTATGAGAAATCTAACAATTTTAAGCAGTGTAAAAACTAAATTGAATTAAAAGAATTCCATTATATATAAAAACCACTGACCATACGATTCAAAGGTGTGGGTCGGGTGTGGTAAAAGTGTGGTTTGGAGATGGTATAAGAGCAGTACAGGTATGGGTGATGTGCAGTATGAATAAAAAGTGTGGACTAAAAGTGTGGGGAAAGTGTGGTCTTTAAGTCAACAAACCAAAAATTGTTTACATAAGTTATAACAACAATGTTTAGTTCCACAGCTAGGACAAAATGAGTTTATTATTCAGATCTGGATCAGATATAGATTTGATGAAAATTAGCATCCAAGATCAATCATTATACTTATAATTATTTATCATGTAATTAATTATTATCAAATAATTATTAATGATACTGAAAAAGAGACACATTGAAGTGACGAGTCTGGACTGAACATACAGAGGCAATCAGAACATGCCACCTAGATAGATATCACATTTTAGTACATTTTTAAGCACAAAATGTACAGAAAAGTATCATTTAGATGGATTGAATTATCAGTTAAAACTCCTTACAAATCTGAAATATGGTCCCCAAGCACAATAATGTACATTGCAAATGTTTACAATAAGGCAAAGTTATGTTAGACCTTCACTGAAAATAGAAGAAAAATACACTTCGATCAATTAACGAAAAAAGGATCACATGATTATGAATATAAATATCTCCCACAAAATGCATCAAGTTGTTTTGTTGCTATAGAACAACAAACTATCAACCTTTGGTATCAACTTAAACTGTGTTTTTCAGAATCTCATAGTTTTTACTAAAACTGCTTTTAATAATCTGTCCATATAACTGTAGCCTTAAGGCTTAGGGTGATTAAGTACAAAATATGTCATGGAAAATATACTGATATTAATGGTTAAATAAAAATCACATTGCTGGGTTTCCTCATTTGCAAGAATATAAGGTTTTTGAAAAGATATTTAGGACTTAATTTTTCTACAAAGTACATTCTGGAATGTGTAATAACAAGTTAACTGACTCATTGAGCTATTGTTTTTATAAACATATCAGCAACATCCTTTTCTTATTTAATCATTAGATTTAGACTCTTGATTAGAATTATAATCTCATTATTAAAATTAACATTGATATAATTCAAATAAATTCACTAACTACAGGTATTACTTTAATTCTTGTGACTCTTCAAGTCTTTGATGTCTAAGAAATAATAAAATCATGTCTGGACTATATTTTAACATATTGATTACATGTATTTGTATCCTTTTAATACAGCAGACACATCCTGTTATTCTTTAATATTAGTCTCATAATAAGATTAGTCAGTTCAGTCAAAATAAACTTCAGTTTAGAATTACTAATTTTAAATACTTTGTTTTATATTCATGCAAACTTCTGATCTACCTAAATAGAAAAGTCGAGCATCAATCCCGGGAGCATCATTCATTTACAGGTATAGCACTGGCTTATCATGTTCGGTATATCCTAAAATATTTTATGGCAACCATTAACCCTTTTTACCCCTATTAACAATATGGTAATCTTAAATCATATCAATGTGAATGTCCTGCTTCTCCATAGTTTCATGAACACCTTAACCACACTTTTTCATTATGAGGAGAAACTATGGGGAGATATTTCTTGGAACTGTGGAAGAAATACCAGTGGGGTCCACACTTTTAGGAGTGTCAAAACAGGTGACCACAACCACACTTTTACATATCTTGAGTGGTAAAAATGTGGTTAAAAAAGGTCATCTTTTAACCACATGAGGAGAAAACAAGCGTTTTTTCTTAAGGGCTCTTCAAAGTATGGCTGTATTATACTCAAATTGAAGGAAGTTTAGGGTATATCAAAACTATGGTATTGTTTTTCTGATTTGTGCCTTAGAAAATTTAAATTGGCTGCCAACAGGAATTTCAAAAAGTCAATTAGTCATGTGACTCTTGAGAAGTGTTCTACTTAGGAAGTGTTCTATTTACAGAGGTATTCTACTAAATATACATCTTTTATTTTGCTACATGTCCTTGTGTTTCTGCTTTGTCCAATGTGAAACAGGGAGTAGAATCATGAATCTCTTTGTACAGTTTTCACTTAAGTCATCAGACAGCCAAGCATTGATATCAGAATTAGTCATTGTTCAAGTCTAACCTTTTCCTTTGCCATCTAAATTCATTGCTCAACCAACTGTTGTAATTTGAAAATTGTCTATGTCAGAAGGAATCCTACATTTTTACGATTCACTAATACCATCTTAAGATTGTGCAACCTTTGCCTACATTCTGAAAAAATAGTTTTTCTTCATTAAGGTCATTAAGGGCCTGAGAAACAGTTAATTAATCTGGAAACATCAGTTATAACTGATTGCAGCTACAAAAATAGATCAGCCTACTAGGCCTTGAGGTGATCTAGTCAGTTTATATTATAACTCTTACTTGTTAAAGCTATTGCCTTTTTCTGCCCTTCATCTCACTTATTAAAGCTATACCCTTTTTCTTAGTCTTGCATTGAGCCTCTAGAGTCCCCTGATCTACTTCACCCAGAGTATGTTTCCCGTAGAGCATCAGTATATTGCTCTAATCTGTATGCAGGGTAGACTCTATTAATATATTAAAAAGTGCAATTAGTCATTTTAATTTATTCAGAATAAAGCTGTTCATTTGTTATTTAATGTTTGCTTAAGACACAATTGCACTAACAGCTGACATTGGCCACCTTTTTGATAGTATAATAGTCGTAAAATAGTAAGCTATCTTTTAATCATTGGGTCGAAGATTCAATTCTATACTTCAGTGGAATTATTGACAAGAGAGACATCTATTTTAGTAATGAAAATCTGAAAACTCATGTATTGCATGAAAACACAATTAGGTATGTTCCATATCTTCGCAAATAGTAAAACACATTTTATAAGGACATTAAAATCCAAATGCTACTGGGACCAGCCTTAAATGCTAGGATTGGCATCTGATTATTTCAAGTTTTTTAAACATGATGAAAAATAAAAATGGGGCTATTAAAAAGTGTTCACATTGAGAGGTGTTCAGATTAGAGAGGTGTTCACATTGAGAGGTGTTCAGATTAGAGAGGTGTTCACATTGAGAGGTGTTCACATTGAGAAGTGTTCAGATTAGAGAGGTGTTCAGATTAGAGAGGTGTTTACATTGAGAGGTGTTTACATTGAGAGGTGTTTACATTGAGATGTGTTCACATTGAGAGGTGTTCAGATTGAGAGGTGTTTTAATGTCACTCTTTGAAATGAACCCGTACCAGAAAAGAAGTAACATTGACATATCCAAAACCATGTAGACATGTAAAATCAAGACGGACTCTAGTCAAAGCCATATACAGTTGTATTGCAATGACACAATCATTTGCTAGTTATCTTCGTAATTCTCTACTTGATTTTGGGCTTATAGTACCTTGTAATATTAGATAATGTTGCTATACTGATTAGGGGTTTACTTAAATATCAATGAATCATTTTGGCAGCTGAGAAAGTAATTTCATTTAGAATATATTTTTATTAAGGTAATCCCATTTTTATTTAGCGAAGGGAAGCATTGAAATATATATAGTACTAATATAGTGATTAACACTCATTAAGAATTTAAGATCCATCTCAAGGAAGCAGGAGATTCTAGATTCCAAACCAATCTAAACATATTTTACAAATCTAGTCATTAAAAATGTTGATAAACATAGTTGAATTGTAAAATGACAAGTGTATTAAATATGTATTTTTCAAATGTACATTAACGCACATTTGATACACATGTATGTTCATGTAGTTAATTAAGAATCAGCCTGTCTCTATAAAATACTATTAACCTTGGGGTTAATTAAGCACTGCCATCAGTATGTAATTGAGTATATTAAACCCTGATAAGTGATAAGGTCTCATTAATTTACCTGTCAAAAATATTAACTTTAGAATATCAAAATTACTTTTTGTGTATGGTTTCTATCTGAGTCTAAGGCCATGAATTCTAAATTGTTTTTCCTAGATATCTCCTAAATTACCCAAAAACATTTGTGGAAGATGTCACATTTGTAGAAGGTGATATTCATGAAATGTGACTTTTGGAGAATGTGACATTGTGAATAGTTACAGTTGTAAAATGTCAACTTTGTGGTGAAAGTCAACTTTGTGGTGAAAGTCAACTCTGTGGTGAAAGTCAACTTTGTGGTGAAAGCTGGTGAAAGTTGACATTTGTAGAATGTGACATTTGGAAATGTGACTTTTTGAGAAGGTGACATTTATTCATGATGATATATGTGGATTTAATTTTGTGAAAAGTGATATTTGTGGAATGTGACATGTGTATCATGTGAAATTTGTAAAAGGTGACATTACTTAAGATGACATTTGTGAAAAGTGATATATTCTATCTACTTTGCAGTATCACCATTTGATAAGAACTAATCACTATGTATACAGGATTTACAAATATCAGATCCTTTACTCCAAAATAAATACTGTCAACATTTTGTCAATAGACAGTAAGTGCTGAAAGTATTACCCTAAATCATAAAATCAGATGCTCACACTTTTCTCTCACTTTTACAAATGATTTTTCTTTTTTGATACGATATTTGGGATCTCAAATGGATCATTTATGACCTTTTATATTTATGAGTGATGAACATTGGTTGCTTATAGCATAGAAAATGAAGGGCCATCATTAATGACTAACTGTGATTTGGTACAGACTAGCTCAAAAAAAGTATCTATAATTTAAAGAGTCTAGATTGAGATGGGATCTTTTTCAGGGTTTGAGTATATACATGCACGTCGTACCTTGTTAATATTTCACTGCTACTGTAAATGTTAAGTTCAGTACAAAACACACATAAATGCCAGGGTAGATAAATTATATTGATGATACAAGTAGATGCCTCAAGTGGACAGTAGATGAATGAACTTGAATTTTGGGAGTTTTGAGATATAAAGAAAAATGGCCAGCTTCCCTCGGATTAACATTGAGCTACATAGTCCTATTAAGGTAAGGTACTGAGGGGGGGGGGGGGGGTGTAGGGGGTAGGGGGAATTCAGGGAAGCCATGCCAGTAAGAAGGGAGTTATGAAAGGGTTTGAATATCCAAAATTGTTAGATATGCTAATGTTGTTGTTATAATGTATTAGTAGCTGTACTTGAAATCATGTGGCTTGCTCTGTCAAACTTTTCATTATTTTACTTTCGAATGTTAAGAATTTCATTCTCTTATTGTTACTTTGGTCATAAATAATTGAATCAACAATTTTGAACATTTGAAAGTTTTGGTTAATAAACCATTGGTGAATTATTTTACAATTAAACTCTACAGTGTTTAAATTCATGATAATTAGTATAACTATTTTACTTTCATAAATACAAGAGCTTTTTTGTTTATTTACTTAAATTACACTTGGTTAGAATTGTTGTTGATAGACGGACAGACAGACACATGAGTGGGCAGGTCCATGGGATTACATGTACCATGTGAGCGAACAAAAAGACACAAAGAAAGATGAAATAAAAAATACATCTAAAAAGACAATTTGTACCATTTTTGAATGCTCTGTTACTTGCTTACATCAAGAACCAAGGTGCCCAAATAAGTCCCTTAGATTAATAGTGCCCAAATAAGTCCCTAAATTAATAGTGCCCAAATAAGTCCCTTAAATTAATAGTGCCCAAATAAGTCCCTTAAATTAATAATGGCCAAATAAGTCCCTTAGATTAATAGTGCCCAAATAAGTCCCTTAAATTAGTAGTGCCCAAATAAGTCCCTTAAATTAATAGTGCCCAAATAAGTCCCTTAAATTAATAATGCCCAAATAAGTCCCTTAAATTAATAGTGCCCAAATAAGTCCCTTAAATTAAAAGTGCCCAAATAAGTCCCTTAAATTAATAGTGCCCAAATAAGTCCCTTAACTTAATAATGCCCAAATAAGTCCCTTAAATTAATAGTGCCCAAATAAGTCCCTTAAATTAATAGTGCCCAAATAAGTCCCTTAAATTAATAATGCCCAAATAAGTCCCTTAAATTAATAGTGCCCAAATAAGTCCCTTAAATTAATAATGCCCAAATAAGTCCCTTAAATTAGTAGTGCCCAAATAAGTCCCTTAAATTAATAGTGCCCAAATAAGTCCCTTAAATTAATAATGCCCAAATAAGTCCCTTAAATTAGTAGTGCCCAAATAAGTCCCTTAAATTAATAGTGCCCAAATAAGTCCCTTAAATTAATAATGCCCAAATAAGTCCCTTAAATTAGTAGTGCCCAAATAAGTCCCTTAAATTAATAGTGCCCAAATAAGTCCCTTAAATTAATAATGCCCAAATAAAACCCTTAAATTAGTAGTGCCCAAATAAGTCCCTTAAATTATTAGTGCCCTGTAAATAAATGAAATTGTGCCTTATTTTATAAACATGTAACTGATACATCTTGAGTGTTTAATCCTATTCTAATATTTTGGTCAGCATTTTTGTTCAGTTGTTATGAATAGTGAATTCATGTTTTAACTCCATATTTATCTTGAGGCATTCCCAAACTAAGCTATATGCTAATGTATTACATACCTAGCGAAGCATTTGTATGGAAGTCAATGGGAAAGTTAGCGAGCTATATCCACCGATATTGCCCGATTACCCCGATATAGCCCGCTTACCTCGTTTTGATATTAGATTTCTTTAATAACCATGATAATATAATGACGTCACGTCATTGATACAAAGTAACCATGGGAACAAAGGCATGTAATACATCAGTTATGTCACTATGACGTGAAATATGCCTTCGTTCTTGCCCAAATATAGAGCCTCCCAAGGTCGGCCTATATTGGGAGAACTCAGGCATATTTCACGTCATAGTGACATAACCTCTAAATACAACCTGTAGTCTGTCATACAATTTTGACCAATTGACACTGCCTCAGTGTAATCCCCAGGGTGATATTTTGATATATCATCTTTTTTATCATGTGTTGGTGCTCAGAATGGTGAAAAACTGCATGATTTTGAAAGATTTTTTGGCCGGGGGGGGGGGCGGGGGGGGGTTCGCCCGAACCCATTGAACCCCCCTGGCTACGGGCCTGTAGAGTATAGGAATCTGCTGTAATATTTTTGTTTTATATCAATAATATATGTTGTTTGTGTTTAGATGTTAACATAAAGATTTGAGAGTATTTTGGTATTTTTGGCCTAAACAGATTTATAAACATATTTTATTGCCACTGTTGTTCATATAAGTACATATAAGCTACCTAGTTGCCATTGGCATTATAAGTCTCCATCTTAGTTTATCTATATAAAGTTTACAATTTCAAAACATGTTTAATAGTATAAATGTAATAAAATAAGGAGTCGCTAATTCAGCATATTCGAGCTGAATGTTGTAGGTGATGCTATTATAAAAGTTGGACACATTAATGTACTCTTAATTCTTATCTTTGAGGTCCATTTTTTAAATGATTTACATGTTATAAACACATATGTCAAAGACAATAGAACCCTTACAGTAGATTTCACAAGGCACAAAGCATCATTTTTCTATTTCACCATGTGTGTTTTAAAAACATAAATAGAATATTTATATGTGGTTACTTTTCAATGACTTAGTTTTATTGTTTATCATCATGAAAATTTGAAAGAAATATAATAACGAAGCAAGAATTGTCCTGCAAGGGGTGATAAAAAATACATGATGGCCCATAAGTTGATTAATAAAAGAAGGTCAGACATGTAAAATTGATCAAATAATACTAAACATCAACTAGTATGTTCTTAGACTGCAGATATTAAAGACAATATCAACCAGGCTAAATCTGTATATAGATTTTAGGAGGTTTTATTTAGTGATATTACCATGGATACAATTATGTTTTGTGAGCATGTAGAGAAATGGTTGCCTTTTGATAGGCGCCAGATATCTTTAGACTCAGGTGATGAGGATCTTCAGGAAGAAAATGATAATTTTGCAGGGGTATGTAGAGTTTGATTAGGCTGAATATAGGTGGCACTGTGAATAAGAAAAAATGGGTACTGTTACCCTACTTAAGTGCTATTTGAAAATTTTAATCTCGTGACTATACTGTACATTTGCAACATTTGCAACAGATCGACACAACCGCCCTCAAAGTACCCTTGAATATTAATCAGATTGAAACTGATTACTGTTCAGAATTTATATTTTAGGTTTATATATTAGATATGATTATTTATAAATATCATTTCTGTTCTTTCAGATTAGAAGTCTTTCCAAGATGGCCGATATTGAAGAAAATAGCTCAGGGCCACCAAGACCAGAACGATTAAATTCATGCGAGCACATTGAAGATAGTATAATCATACCGAAAATTCCAAAAATAATATCACCAACTCTAGACTCTGTTCCATCCTTTCCTGATGGCCAAGAATCACAGGAAAGTGAGTCTTTCACAATGATTACGCATGATGATGCCTTTATCCCATCGCCAGATGGAATTTCATCATCGGAGAAAATTATTAGCTTTACTACCACGACGAGGACGACAACCACAACTAGTGAATTCCAAGAAGATATGCAATCTCAAATGGCCAGTAGTGCAATTGACAATAAAGACTACGATGCTGAAAACACTCCTAATATGGACAGCCTTCGAGATGTGGTCACAAGTATTCTCCTAGGTGTTGGTAGTAAAGATGATGATAATGCAAATGAAAATACAACAGAAAGTGTTCAAAAAACCATGACAACTGTTACCACGGTAACAAGCACTACTGAAACTAGTGTTACCACCGAGGAGGAGGAATCAAATGATAAGATTATTGAATTTGTGGAAGACAAAGGATCTGATAATGTTGACTTTAATAGAGAACTTGATGTGATAGAAGTTGAGAGGAAGTTTGTCATACCTGATAATTGTGAAGCGAAACTTGAAGAAATTGGTGCTAAATTGCTGAAGGAACACACCTTCAATGATGTTTATTTTGATAACAACACGTATGCTTTAACTCTAGCTGACCATTGGTTAAGGAAGCGCAATGGATCTTGGGAGTTAAAATGTCCGCCCGAGCAACGAGAAGACAGTACTACATCTCAACAATACCGTGAAATCTCAGAAGAGCCCAAAATTCTTGAAAAATTAAAAAGCGTGATTACATCGGAAGCGTCAACGATCAGTGATTTTCTTGGAGTTACAAAATGTGAAGGATTTGCAGACTTCAATACAACTCGTAAATCCTTTTCATTGGATAACTACAGTATCGACCTGGATTTAACAAACTGGGGCTTTAAGGTTGGAGAAATTGAAACAATTGTCGTCAATAGTGACAGGGTCTCAGAAGCACTCGCAGGAATTGATTCTATTGCAGACCGTTTGGGTGAGTGAAAGTATCATAAATATTCTAATAAAATATTTGAAATAGACAATTTGAACATGTTATTTAAAATAAATTTTGACTATGTTTTTTGGTGTTGTTTGGTCAACTTTTGAGCTTGTTCAGTGTTAATTGAACACTAACTTTTAACCAAATAAGTCTATTTGTAATATTCTTGTAGATAAAATTCATTTAATTTCAATAAAAATAACCAAATAACCCAAAATAACCAATAAAATACTATCATAAGTAATATGATCATCATACTAAATTGAATAGAAAAATATAACAGGGGTATAGCCAGGATATTTACAAGAGGGTTGCCTGACTAAAAATAATTTCTTAAAGAGAAAATCAGATATAGTGAGCAGGCTAAACAAAAAAATGTTACAATTTTAGAATATTTTTGGCTCATGTCATTCCTTGTCATGTCTATTTTCTAAAAATCACATATAGGCACTCGGAGTCTCGGGGGTTAAGAATTACTCAAGGTGTTTAAGTGGTCTAAAGGTGTAAGTGTAAAAATATGATTTGTGCATTCAGCTATATAGGGTTAACAATTACTTGGGAGGTAAAAAGGGAGTAAAAAGTGAAAACAGGGAACAAAACACCAGACAATGCAAAACTTAATTAATAAGATTTTAAAAACTTGTTAGTGGAATACCATTGATTCAGCATAGTTGGCCCCCTGGCTTGATTTGATTCTCTTATTGAGACTGGATATGTTTTTAGATTTCTTATGTTTTTTTAAGATCTGATTTCTGATTTTTCTTTTGGCACATGTACTTACACATTCATCCATGAATTATTAGTTTAGTTACACAGTCCTCCACATTCTATTGGATCATTCTTATTGGAAAACTAACTATACTAATAGGCAAACAAATTACAGCTTGCCCAAATGATATCTCATTCAAATAAATGCACACACTTCCCTAAAACAGCCTGGATATGGTTTCAAAACCAGTGGCAATTTACACATAAACCTTTAAAAACTAATGATCGTAATCATACTACCATTTTTCATGTATTAGTGTTCCTAATTCTCCTTTTCTGATTGCAGGGTTTCATCCAATGGGAAGTCAGGAGATGGTAGCTCTTGCATAGATGGCGCTGAATCAGTGCAAGGTCATTTGACATCATATATTTCCATAATAGTTTTCTTAAAACATTAATTGAATACAATTGAATAAGATAAAACATTTATTTTTAAATGGTGCATGCTTCTACATATTCAAGCAATAGTATTAGAAAATTTAGAAAAAAATAAATTCAGTCAGTGCACATCATCATTAGTTATCTATCATTTCTGCAACTTCATAATGGATCTATCTTTATTGTGCTCAGATACCTAAATACTTGAATCTTAATCTAAACTCTGTATTTTGCTCAAGGTACTCAACTGGTAGAGACACTCTTTATCTTGCCCATGTTCTTTGAAGCTCTTTATCTTAAACATGTTTAAACAGAGCTCTATGTCTTGCCCATGTTCTTTGAAGCTCTATATCTTTCACTCATACACGGAGCTCTTTATCTTAAATATGTTTAAACAGTGCTGTATGTCTTGCCCATGTACATATATATGAAGCACTAAATCTTGTACTCAAACATGGAGCTCTTTATCTTAAACATGTTTAAACAGAGCTTTATGTCTTGCCCATGTACATATATATGAAGCACTAAATCTTGTACTCAAACATGGAGCTCTTTATCTTAAACATGTTTAAACAGAGCTTTATGTCTTGTCCATGTACATATATATGAAGCACTAAATCTTGTACTCAAACATGGAGCTCTTTATCTTAAACATATTTAAACAGAGCTCCATGTCTTGCCCATGTACAAACATATGAAGTACTAAATCTTGTACTCAAACATGGAGCTCTTTATCTTAAGCATGTTTAAACAGAGCTTTATGTCTTGCCCATGTACATATATATGAAGCACTAAATCTTGTACTCAAACATGGAGCTCTTTATATTAAAACAGAGCTTTATGTCTTGCCCATGTACTGATATATGTAACTCTATATCTTTCACTCATACATGGAGCTCTTTATCTTAAACATGTTTATACAGAGCTTTAAGCAATGTTCTCACCAACGGCGAATGCCACGCTTTAAATCGGCGAGCAAAGCGCCGTCATTTTTGTTTACTTTTCCAAAAATATCAGGATCTCCTAAGTAATGTTACGCTCTGATAAGCTCTGATTTCCCGACTTGTTACGGTTCCTCACGCTTTGATCCTGCTTCGACCAGGCTTTGTTACACTTGAAATCACGCTTTGATAAGCTTTGATAAGCATTTTTATGTCCCCACCACATAGTGTGGGGCCATATTGTCGGCCTAGGCGCGTCCGTCTGTCCGTCCGTACGTCCGTCCGTCTGTCCGTCCGTCTGTCCGTCCGTCCGTCTGTCCGTCCGTCTGTCCGTACGTCCGGGAGTTTTCTCCAAAACCGCTACAGATATCACCTTCAAATTTTCAGGGATAACTTATGAGTGCATACAGATGTGGATGAAAAAATTTTAACTCGATACCTACTTCCTGTCGGCCATTTTGAAGTCAAATGCTAAAATCCTTGTCTGCAAACTTTAAGAAAAACGGCTTCACAGTTGCTTTTAAAACTTTAACATCTTGTTCAGCTCACTTCATTCTAGATCTGATTAGGTTTTGGACCTGTTAGCTCAGTCATGTCAGCCATTTTGAATGTCTTAAGAAAAGTTAGCGCACGATAATACTTTGTATCATATTGAATGGTGTTTTTGAGTTTTCATACTTTAACTATTTAGTAGCTTTATAAATAATTTCAGATCTACTTTGTTGTAAAAGCCTATGTTATTGTTAACAGTAGTAATATGTGATAATTTTGTAAGAAGAAATCAGCAAAAACACATAATCACTTTTTTATTGTCGGCCATTTTGGATTTTTCCGTCCTAAAATCTTGTCTGTGAAGTCTTGTCTACGTGTTTTCAGGTGAACCGTTTGGTGGATCAATTTCAAATTTTCAGGGATGATTCTTAGTATAAAAATCTAGATCTGATTTGTTTTTTGGCATTCTGGGTAAATGTCAAGGCAGCCATTTTGGATTTTCCGTCCTAAAATCTTGTCTGTAAAGTCTTGTCTACGCGTTTTCAGGTGAACCGTTTGGTAGATCAATTTCAAATTTTCAGAGATGATTCTTAGTATGAAAATGTAGAACTGATTAGTTTTTTGGCATTCTTGATAAATGTCAAGGCAGCCATTTTGGATTTTCCGTCTTAAAATCTTGCCCGTAAAGTCTTAGTTGTCTACGCGTTTTTAGGTGAACCGTTTGGTAGATCAATTTCAAATTTTCAGGGATGATTCTTAGTGTGAAAATCTAGAACTGATTAGTTTTTAGGCATTCTGGGCAAATGTCAAGGCAGCCATTTTGGATTTTTCCGTCCTAAAATCTTGTCTGTAAAGTCTTGTTTACGCGTTTTCTGGTTTACTGTTTGACGGATCAATTTCAAATTTTCAGGGATGGTTCTTAGTATGAAAATCTAGAGCTGACTAATTTTTTGGCATTCTGGGTAAATTTTAAGGTGGCCATTTGCATTTTCCGTACCAAAATTGTAACGGTAAAGTCTTGTCTACTCATTTTCAGGATAACCATTTGATGGGATCACCCATTGGTGGGGACATATTGTACACATTTGTGTTCTTGTTATACTTTGATATGATTGCCAAGCTCTGTTGTTCATTTTTACGCTCTGTTAAGCACTGTCACGCATTGGAAAACGTCGAGATTGCCGATTTCATGCTGCTTTTGATCCAATGACTGTATAAAGATGCAGTAGATCCATTAAACCATTGCATCTTTGACTCGAGAACACGATGGCAGAACAACTAGATTTGATCCAGAAATTCCAGATCGACCAGAGCATGACCTATCTGAAGAAGACATGATGTTTGTCGCACGGCGTGAGAGAGCGTGACGAAGCTTGTCAAGCGTAACTAAGACTAACAAAGCGTTTCAATCCTTGATTTAAGCGTCTCAATTCATTGGAAAGCTTGAGAGTCCTTCATGAAAGCGTAACAAAGAGCGTCAGATATTGATGAAAGCGTCTGACCTCATTTCAGATCTTCATGCCAGATCGTAGCAAAGCTTGAGACATCTTAATGAAGCGTGTCAAGTGGTAACAGACCGTGAAGAGACTTGGGTCCCCGCTTTGAACCAAGCTTTCCTATTTGGGTCAAGCTTTGCTGAGCTTTGTTACGGTTTGTTAAGCTTTCATACGCTCTCGGCGCTTTAATCAATTCGTAACAGAGCGCCCAAAATTTTTTATATCTCATTTGCCAATAGCTGTATGTTTTATTTCATTGTATTTCCAGGTATCAAAACAGGAGAGAGAATTCCTGGAAAAATCCCTACATATTTAAGATTAAACAGACATAAACATTATCTAGCATTAGTGGAGGGGATCATATAGAAATCATAAACACATGCTTTGATATATCAGCTTCAACTATAAAGGACATTTATGAATGTAGGACTTTCAAATACCCATATTTAAGGACTTTAACAATTTGTAAATTAAAACATGGAAAGAATCTTCATAATACATTTACATAACTAACTACATGTTTTGATATAAGGTCATTATACAGCTCTACTATATACAGCTGTATTTTTTACTGGATACAACTGTTTCTGTATAAGACTATTTAACCGTACCATTAAGGCCCCCTCACATATGAACGAATCTACTAAATGCAGTCTTGCGATGTCAATTCTGAAAATTGTGAACGTGAATATACGAACCGAAGCACATCTTTGCGTATGCTTCTGAAGCTTGCCGAAGGGATACTAACATATAGGAACACCCAAACGATGTACATACTAATCAGGGGCGTAGGAAGGTGTAAATGCAACACTACGCCAAAAATCCCGCCAAAAAAATATGAAACAATTGTGTCAATATTCTATATCAAAACGCCTATATTATGCTTGTAAAACGTCATTTTAAGGTAACAGATTTTAAGCTTGCAATGTTTTTCACAACCTAAATGTGAACGGAAATACTTAAGCGATGCATTTATATGGGCAATTGGTCAAACGTATAGGTTGGCGTTTCGATTTTATATGCAAGCTTTAAATCCCTGATACCTTTTTAATGTGCTTTAAAATGTTCGAATGATTTTCATCATTTAAAATCACCTTGGAAAGCCTATCTTTTAAATCTCGACACAAATCATTCTCACTTTGCAAATGTCTCGAACGATTGAGACGACCAATTTCCAAAAAACAATTAGAGATTTTTTAATCATTTTCGAATAATTGAATTAAGATATATAGTATTGTCTGATTCCATCGTGTACCGTGCAATACAATACGTACAGATTAAAGAAACTAGTTTGATCAATTGATATAAAGAAACGCATTCGTGATCAATGAAACAAATAAACACACCCACCACAAAGGTCAAATCGAGGTCAACGTGACTTAGTGCCAAAAATGTAATAAAACAAGAATCTATTATTTTTCAAATGAAAAAAAAATAGGTAATCGCTTTTCTAGAACTGAAATCAATGGAACGTGTAATTGAATAATCAGCATTTTCAAGTTGTTTTTGTCTTTAACATCCATATTTCAAAAAGTACTACCAATAACAATTAGTGATTTAGTAAGAAAATAGATAATTGTTGACTTAACTATAATTTCGTGTCTATGATTTTGCATAGCAACAGAATATAAATCGATAGTGAAATTGAAAAATTGGGGTAGGGGAGAATAAAAAATGTACATCTAAATTTAAAGAGGTTCATCATTATAATTATATGATACCATAGTTTGCATAAGCATTACGGAAAATGCAGAAAAAATGTCAAAGGTATTCATCAAGTAGTTTTTGAAAAAAAAACTGTTTTCCTCTCAAATTCGTGAAGAGAACGCGATTCACGAATATTTGGCAAAATTGTATTCATAAGACATTCAATAGTGGCTCGATTTTCATGAAATAAAGCATGTTGGTAAGGGAATTCAATCTGTTAAATGATATTTTCCAGACAGACCAATAATGATATGGTATCCACAAAACATTTCTTTAGGCTAGTGTGCTCGAGATTACTTTTACAATTTATGAACACTGAGAAAATATGACTAAAGAACATAGGAAAATTCTTTTTTATTCTCACTTTTCAACACTACGCACTGGCGTTTTGGCGTACATTGTTCCTACGCCACTGCTAATGGGAACGACTTTTACTCAATTCCTATTCGCAAGACTGCGTTTAGTGGATTCGTTCATATGTGAGGAGGGCTTTATGCAGCTGTATTTTATGTACATGTACATTGTTACAACATTATCTGTACTTATATACCAGTAGTATTGTTTAAGACAACTGTACTTTATATACTAGGATCATAATATAAATGGAATCAAATAGGTTCATGATACACTTGCATATTCTTTGATGTACTTATTATCTACTTAATCTAAAAGTCTACATACTTTGGGGAATATAATACTTGGAAATATAACAAATGAATGTAGGTCTATATTCTAACATTCCATGCTTGATTCAGATTAGATTAACACGAAACACCTTTGTTTTTTAGTGCAACTTATTTAAGAGTTTTATATATTGAGGCTGAAAGTAAAGCCAGTTACTTACGTTTATTTAGACATAGGATTCCTTTAAGTTAGCACTCTCATATAATTCTATATGAGTGTTGAAGAAAATCAAAACTTCAGAGAGTTGTAATAGTTTCAGTGTCTGTTTGCCACCATATTTTCCAAATTCATTGCAGAGTTATTTTAATTGGAGCTGGTAACCTTGAGTTTCAAACTTTAGGTATACATGTACTTATTTCTAGAAAAATTGATGAAATTATTTTTTCTTATCTTTCAAGATTTTATTTTTCATTATTATAATACATGTATTAAGTATTTACCACACTTTTACTTAGGCATGACACTGCATATTAAAGTATAGTCTATGTTATAGTTTTATGGAATTATATGTTCAATGAAAATGCAACAGATTTAAACTCCTTATAGTTTATCAGTTTCACACAAACATCATCATCAAATGCCTCATTTTCTATTATTTTACCTTCCTCACTCAGTTGAGTTCTAAAATTTTTCTTGAGCCCATTTTTACAATTTATTTGTATTGTCTATTCATATTTTTGATAATCAGCAAAATTAACTTTACAGTTGTCAGTGATTTGCTCATTTACAAATTTAGTCTATGATGAAATGGGAAATGAAACGGTTTTAAAGTGAATTTCCATGCTTTGCTTAAAGACCCACAGAAAACTTGGTGCAACAGAATGATTTTTGGTAGCCTTTGATCAAAAACATGGAAATGGAGTGCCATATTAAAGGTAAACTGCAAGTTTTAAGCTGCAGTAAACAATTATTAGGTCTAGGAGTATGTGTTGTGTTTATGTTATTGTTTACATTAATGATACTTATTTATTGGAGCCATTGTTGATGTTCTTGTAACTATACAAGGGATATTCAATAAATACTACACAGGTTGGCACTTATCTTGTTTTCATTATGGTGACCTTCCAATATGTCACTCAACAAGGCCTTTAAAAGTTAAATGATGTACATGTTTTCATATTATAGCTATGTAGTTCAGTTTATTGTACTTAGTTATAAACATAAAAGAAATCCATATGTCCGATTTTAGTTGTTAACATGGATGGTGTCTAAATGTTAACAGTTTTGAAATAATGAAATTAGTTTCATTTTTTGAAAAATTAAAGTGAAGAAAAATCAACATTTTAAAATTTCATTTTTCATATGTATTTTGGGGAGATGTGTTGGCTAAAATGAACTTGGTTTTTATGTCTCCGCGAGAATCTGATGACATGCATAGTATCCAACTTTTTTGTGGATGCTGTTTGGTGGTTTTTGATCAGTGTCTGTAACCTGGTAACAAGTGGCAGGTGGTGACATTTTGCATTTGAGTGTTTTGTTACACATTTGGACATCATCCTTCATATTTTTATGAAACTGATTCTTCATTTACAATGGTGCTATCTTAGAAATAATTGAATCCGCATAATATTTTCACAAGGTGCTATTCAAATGCAATTTTCATCCTTTCTGTGGTGAACTATTCATTTTGTTGCATGAAAATGAACATTGCAAGAGCAGATTTATACATTGACTAACTACAAACTAGACACTTTGGTTATTAAGGAGAATGGGCTTGGGTTAAAAATGACCTAAAATACTGATATAATGACAATTTGTCCATCATCCATGCATTAAAAGGGTTGAATGGATGTTCTACATCCTCTGTATGCAGGCCTTGAAAATCCAGAATATCTTCTTTCTTTTTAGAAGGAGGTACAGATTCTGGACACCTGCTTAGAAGGATGATGTTCTGTATTAAGAACATATTTCGAGCTCTTATACATTTAGCCCACTTATAGTTAGTACAAACACAATGAAAGGTATGAGCTCCCAACTATTGATATTATGATATTACATACTAATATTTGCTCATCACTATATAACTTTGTTGTCCCAGTCAAAGTTGTACTCTCAGCTTGATGGTAGTAAATCTGCTTTGAGGTTACAATGTGGCTATGCTTACCTATTATAAAGATATAATTATTGTCAACTAATTTCTGTTATAGCTATTCTATTTAATCCATGGTCATCTTATGCCTCTGATTTTGTTGAATTCTTACAATAGAACAAATTGGGAAAATTATATTTTGAAAAATTGCCTAAGTCCATTCACAAATAAATGGCTGAAATGACCATGGCTCTATTTTCTATATCATAACACATGTATATGTAACAATGTAGTTTGTTAACAGCTTGCTATGTATTTTGAAAAAAAATATAACTAGGTTTGTAGGGTTTATACTAAAACATTTAGCTTGTTACAATGTCTTCAAATCTGCCATCAATAGGATTACCCAAAGCGAGTCCAAGCGTTACTCTATTATCATATACAGGGTGACCCAAAACAAGTCCCACCATTACTCCTATAGAAGGTGACTCAAATTTGGGTACTGTCCTCTATCATATACAGGGTGATACTGGTCCCACATTGATCACGCATGGGTGACCCAGACAAAGGTCCTGCTATAAGTCATACATTGTGACCCAAAAACAGTTCCCCCTCCAAAACTGGAATAACTTCTTTACACATCCTAACATCATGAACAATTTAAAAAAAATATGCCCACTTCTTTGCCCAAAATATCATACCTTAAGGACTCAATGAGGATATCAGAATTGAATACCAAAGAAAACATGATATAAAGTTCTATATTCAAATATGATCTCATATTCCAACTTTACAGGGTCAAGGAGTATTATAAAAAAAATGATATCATAAACAATTGTTTTTCATTATGTTTATTCATGTATCATTGAATATTAATTTTTGCACATTAGGCCTGGTGAAATAAGAAATTCAAATATTAACAGTTTATACATTCCAAGTTTATTTTTTCAACATAATATATCTATGTTTTCCTTCATAACATTTCATTTAGCAATTAAACAATTATTTCAACATTATATTCTACAAAATGGTTCAAATATGGTATAATTGTACCTTTGAATTGTAAAACCACCATGTGAGGAAGAAATACGAGGGTTGATCCAAAAGTTCCGATCAACCCTCGTACATGGGAGATTCTACAACAGTCCATATTGTTGAATTACCCAAACATTCATGTTGTATAAATATGGTTATGGTTTGCTTTCAAAATGGTTCCCCAATATAAAATGTACCTCTCATTATTTTTTATTTCACTAAAATGAAAAAATATATCATAACATGATTGACAATCTTGAAGGCACAGAGGTGATCTAATTACATACGAGTATACATGTATATAGAAAATGTATATATCGTATATGTCGAAACAAATATATACTTTAAAAAAGTTTAACATTACATAAGACAATATCATTAAATTAAATTCATGTATGTTTTTTGAATATTTTGATAAAATATGGGACATTTTTCATTCATGATTTATAAAACTGAATTGGAAATTTAATTGAAACCCTCACATATGTCATAAATGCATAAGTACTTAAAAAGTCCTATGAATATTTTTTAAACATCATCATTCAATCCGCCATGTTGGGGTATACAAACATCAATTAACAGAACTGTAGAATGTGTTTAAGGGCTGTGCCTCTTTAATCCTATTAAATGTGTTGAAATATAATCTACAGGGTGTTCCAATGAACCTCAACTTCATATTGGGCTAGTGAGAATTTGAACATGAACTACAGGGTGACCCGAAAGTACAACACTCAATTGGAATTACCTTCTCAATTATGATGGAATCTCCTTGAATTTTCTTGGGTAGATAGTATACTTTGGGACATATAAGATAGGTCACTCAAAATTGTATAACAATAATAAAAGCTTGATACATGAGAAGAACTTTAATATATCTTAAATTATTAGGGACACCCTGTACATAACACATGTCAGTATTGATAATTTCCACATATCATATACACTCCTTTCTTGTCAGGCCAGTAGCCAGGAGGGGTTCACAGGGTTCGGGCGAACCCCCCCCCCCCCCCCAGTCAAAAATTCTTTCACTTTTTCACCATTTTGAGCACTTCTCAAGTGATTTTAGCCATATTTGTGCCAAAATTAACAAATGTGAACCCCCCTGGAAATTTTTGAAAACTGAACCCCCTTGGAAAATCCTGGCTACTTGCCTGCTTGTATTCATATTTCAATCGCAGCCTGGAGTATCTACGCAGATCATACACCCTTGGGTTATTTTAATTCATGCTATGACTTAACAACATCTAATCATTGAAAAACTAAGACAGCAGCTCATATTAACTGTTTCCCATTTGCATTTTGTTTGCTAAAATGTTTCTGTCAAGTTCAGAAAGTGTCCCAACTGCTTTCTCAAAGTTCTCTCTCTGTTCTGTATACATTTGTTGTAACATGGATAGCACTGTCAATGTCACATCTAAAAGGAAATAAACACAAGGATACAATGCAGTTATAAACTGGCAAAATATTAGGACTCATGCTATAGCATAGGAGCTAGATTTGATAAGTGTCCAGACTCATGACATCAATTTTTTGATGCCATTCATTTGAAAATATTTTTTACTTTTATACATACAGTAATTTTGATGGATTAAATTATGAAATGATATAAGTATTTTTAGGCCACAAAGAACAATATTTTTTATTTAACTATAGTAAATTACAGGTTGCTCCAAATTATTGCCTACATTTCTCACCCTGTAGTAATAGCAATTCTTACCTTTATCTAGAGAGTCAGAATTCAGGACATGTGTAGACAATGCAAGAATTTGTCCAAGGTTTCCAACGATCTGAAATATTAAGAATTCTTATCTATAAAATATCCAGGCATGCAATAGCTCCAGTACAAATGAGGCTGATTTTAACCCCGATGTCTCATCATATTCTCAGAATTATAACAAGGCATTAATATGATAAATGTCACCATTTGGTTGCAAATACAAAAGTGAATAGTCATTGTGACATACACTGAATGCTGACTCAAACATTAATGTCAAATTTCGTAATACAAAGCAGTAGTACTTATGAGAAAGGACATAATCATAACAAGGCACAAACATGACTAAATGTCACCACAAAAGTATAATTGTTACAGAAAATCAGTTGCTTTAACAATATGTCACCATCTCATGTTGGCGAAACAATAACAAAGACCAGATGTATTTGGCATTTTCTTTTACCAGTTGCAAATGTAGGAATTTCGAGGTTATCATATTTTGCAAAGGAGGAGGGAAGTTAGTGCAACAGATTTTGGACAGTCATATGTTTGATTTTGGGCATTTCCTGGGGATTTAAACAGGTGCATATGTTAGGCGAATGCATTACCTCCAGGAAAATCACTTCTAGAGATGATAAAATAATTTCGACTTTGAGACAGGGTATATGCAAACAACCCACCCACATGTTTTTTCTGAAACGCTTTCCTGATTTTCAACCCCTTCCATCCTTGCTTTTTAACTTTTCTTGCATCAATATGTTGCATTTTGACACACAGATAATCCCTTAAAAGGAATAAATGATTCCTTTTAGATAAAGTGGAAAACAATATTTCCCATGTTATTTTCCCATAGGAAAAATCATTGCTTTCAGCTAAGTTTGGTCACCCATAATGGGTATCTTTAAAACCCCTAAAGAAATCACTTATTCCTTTAAAGTGGTTAACTATGTGTCAAAATGCAACATATTGATGCAACAAAAATTGAAAAAGCAGGGGTGGAAGGGGTCGAAAATTAGAAAAACATTTCAGAAAGAACATGTGGGTGGGTTGTTTGCATCTACCCTGTCTCAAAGTCGAAATTATTTTATCATCTCTAGAAATGATTTTCCTGGAGGTAATGCATTCGCCTAACATACGCAATTGTTTAAATCCTGAGAAAATGGCCAAAATCCAAAATATGACTGTCCAAAATCTGTTGCGCTAATTTCCCTCCTCCTTTGCCAAAACTCGCGAAAAATAGTATCACGCGAAAATTTCAGAGAGTACAGTAATCTCTTACCAGTTGTTTCCCAGGATCACTAGTATACAAATATGCCAGAGCTGTGAAGATTGTCTTATTCTCATCGAGATCTTCCTTTAAAGGCAGGCACGCCAACAACACTGGGAAGATCTGCAAAAATGTGTGCATGAAAAGTGTATAGTGAGTGATATATATATATTTTCTCAGAGCATGCGACTCACCTCTGTTAAAGGAACCATATTGAGGTTTGCTAGGATCATTCCACACACAGCTGTTTTAGAATATGTGACTCACCTCTGTTAAAGGAACCATATTTAGATTAGCTAGGATCATTCTACACATAGCTTTTTTAGAGTATGTGACTCACCTCTGTTAAAGGAACCATATTGAGGTTAGCTAGGATCATTCTACACATTGCTTTTTTAGAGTATGTGACTCACCTCTGTTAAAGGAACCATATTTAGATTAGCTAGGATCATTCTACACATAGCTGTTTTAGCGTATGTGACTCACCTCTGTTAAAGGAACCATATTTAGGTTAGCTAGGATCATTCTACACATAGCTTTTTTAGAGTGACTCACCTCTGTTAAAGGAACCATATTGAGGTTAGCTTGGATCATTCATTCTACACACAGCTGTTTTAGAGTATGCAACTCACCTCTGTTAAAGGAACCAGATTGAGGTTAGCTAGGATCATTCTACACACAGCTGTTTTAGAGTATGCAACTCACCTCTGTTAAAGGAACCAGATTGAGGTTAGCTAGGATCATTCCACACACAGCTGTTTTAGAATATGTGACTCACCTCTGTTAAAGGAACCATATTGAGGTTAGCTAGGATCATTCTACACACAGCTGTTTTAGAGTATGTGACTCACCTCTGTAAAAGGAACCATATTGAGGTTTGCTAGGATCATTCCACACATAGCTGTTTTAGAGTATGTGACTCACCTCTGTTAAAGGAACCATATTGAGGTTTGCTAGGATCATTCCACACATAGCTGTTTTAGAGTATGTGACTCGCCTCTGTTAAAGGAACCATATTGAGGTTAGCTTTGATCATTCTACACACAGCTGTTTTAGAGTATGTGACTCACCTCTGTTAAAGGAACCATATTTAGATTAGCTAGGATCATTCTACACATAGCTTTTTTAGAGTATGTGACTCACCTCTGTAAAAGGAACCATATTGAGGTTAGCTTTGATCATTCTACACATAGCTGTTTTAGAGTGACTCACCTCTGTTAAAGGAACCATATTGAGGTTAGCTAGGATCATTCCACACATAGCTGTTTTAGAGTGACTCACCTCTGTTAAAGGAACCATATTGAGGTTAGCTAGGATCATTCCACACATAGCTGTTTTAGAGTGACTCACCTCTGTTAAAGGAACCATATTTAGATTAGCTAGGATCATTCTACACACAGCTGTTTTAGAGTATGTGACTCACCTCTGTTAAAGGAACCATATTTAGATTAGCTAGGATCATTCTACACATAGCTGTTTTAGAGTATGTGACTCACCTCTGTTAAAGGAACCATATTTAGATTAGCTAGGATCATTCTACACACAGCTGTTTTAGAGTATGTGACTCACCTCTGTTAAAGGAACCATATTTAGATTAGCTAGGATCATTCTACACATAGCTGTTTTAGAGTATGTGACTCACCTCTGTTAAAGGAACCATATTTAGATTAGCTAGGATCATTCTACAAACAGCTATTTTAGAGTATGTGACTCACCTCTGTTAAAGGAACCATATTGAGGTTAGCTAAGATCATTCTACACACAGCTGCACAAACATTATCAGCAACTCTCTTATCTGTCTCCCTGGTAACTAAGTCAAACAATGACTTCAAAATAGCTGGGTAGTGTCTGGCATATGCTAAGGAAAAAATGTCTACAAGGCACATGATGTGAGCAAAATCATCCGCCAAGAAGCCATCACTTGTGACATTCTGAAAAGAACACCCCCAAAATGCAATCTGATTTTTGACGCCGTTTCTGTGCCAAATTTCGGCACCAAATGGACTGACTAATCCAGTAGCAAATTTTGGTGTCGAAAGGTTTCGGTGCCGGAACGGTGCCGAATTTGTTCGATGCCGAAACGGTGTCAAATTATTTTGGCTGTGTATAATCCTTTGATGAAATATCTCTACTTCATGCTAATTCACTAAATCTGTCCTCATCATCAATATATAACATAAAACATTTAACTTAGCTAGAGATATGTTCAGTCCACATTCAATAAAGGATACACAGCACATGCTTCTCCACCGTTTGCAGCCAAGACACCAAGACCATATACGGCATTACTTCGAACTTCCTCGTCATCTTCCTTTAAGCCACTGAGGAACACTGGGTAAAGATGGCCGACACACATGGAAGCGGCAGATCCTGATGCATCTACCATTTCAGCCAATGTGCCCATAGCAAATGATTTCTCTGCAATTGTGCTTGTGCGTTTCTGTAATCAAACAACAAAAAAAGAATAACCTAGGTTAAGACTGCATTAGACTGAATGTTAACAATATTCAACTAATACAATAAATAAGAACTGATTCTAGTAGGTCATGGGTCTTGACTTCAAATTATACATACCATTACACATACATGTATAATCATCTAATAAATACACAAATGTTTTTGTTTTTAGTATTACCAATGGCATAACAATAAATTCTTACCAGTCGTTTCAGCAGTTCTGGGAGAAACGCTGCAAAATAAGGTGCAAATGCCTCTCCACCAATCACCTTGGCGATAGCAGGTATGACATCACCAGCATTCTCTATCAACATTTCATCATGCTCTGCCTGTTGGTCATCCAACTCATTATCAGCCTCATTTTCATCCTGGCTGGCCGTCTGCAACAGACATTATTACCCATAATGCATTTATGTAAAGTCTGAACAAAACTCAAGGACACCCTCAGATCATGATGGGTATTTTGAATGCTAGAGATGATGTCCAACAACAGTTGTAAACATTAATCTATAGTTATGGTTTAACACTTTATTAACACGTCAAGTGGCATATCATTCTGTATTAGTGTTTTTTTACATTACAGTTTAGTTTAGTTTTATTGTTATTTACAGTGGTAGGTTCAATACACTGCAATACAATACAAAAGAAAAGTAATAAAAAGCAACCCAGCCCACTTGGGCTTATCAACCACTAATGTTAAAAATTACAATTAGATTCATCACAAACAATTTTAAAAATACTAGCATGAATTTCTTAGACACATACATGCAGTTAAATTCAATTTACATTATAAATGGCATTTCTTCTTTTAAAATAACAAAGTTTAACAAAATGAGCAGCTTGCCTAGGCATTTTTTCAAATAAATACTGAAACTTTTGATCCGTAGTTGATTCGGTTTCTTCAAAAATTTGGTGATTTTGTAAATATGTTTTCCTTTCCATTACAATGGAATAAAACAGAGCATTTTATGAAAAATGGTGACCTTATACTACGGAAATGGAGATTATGTTTCACAGCAAGTTCGGACGGCGATACTGCATAGCGCAAAAGTCGTGGGAATAAATTGTACTTTCTATAGACTTACATGTAGAAGAATGAAAAAGTCTAAGGGTCCCAACCTCCTTTGTTTACATTCACAAAAATTTGTGTTGTCTTATTCTGCCAATTTGAACATGTTTAGCTGATCCAAGAGGTGTTCGGATTATACAGATTTCCAAGTTTTTACTGAACTTTACATTTTCTAAACAATGTAACATTTAACGCCACAATCCACTGGCCTGTTGTGTATAAATTAAGAAATTAGATCTTACACAAGTCAACAAACTTAAAGTAAGTTCTTAACTAATTACCATTGGTGTATCTCTGACATCTAAACACACAATCTATGAAATATAGGATGTATTAAACTTATTCTTCTACTACAATTAAAAGCAATTTAAGTAATTTTAAAAACAATTGTGTCATTTAATTCAAATGTGAAAGATATTGCAAAGCAGTACAAAGCAGAAAGACATAGATTAAGTTTATCTAATAACAAAAGTTGTATCTAATAAAAAAAGAAAGGGAAGGAGAGCGAACCATGCCATAGGTAAGGAGATAGTAGAGACATTATAGTACAGATACCTTCAAAAGTAAGACTTCTTTTAGACAAGCACACAATTCCTCCAGATGACCTTGACCTTCCAGCACTGGAGCCTTGATCTTTTCCAGCATTTCTTGGATGGTCTCTAGCGTTGTCATAGCAACTTGACGGTCTGAGTCCTGTCTCACCATGGTGATGAATTTTGGCACACATGTAGACAGCATGTTACTAAGGGCTGAAAATCCAATGAATTGATGCAAAATCATACACTGTATTAAATGGTATATATGTATCTCTTTGCTCGCAGATATACTGTTCAATTTTATGATAGTATCTGTGAGGGAAGGTGATGTCAAAACCTTAATTGATAAACAACGAAGATCTGATACTAAATGTATTATATTGCAGAATTATGATGGGCCACAACATCATGTGGGAAGGGCATAGATTCCAAATAAAACATAGATTGTTGAGTAATTACCAGCCTGTCCTTCCTTAGTGTGAGATTCAGTTATGACGTTGCTCAATGCAATACAGAAGTGGCCAATAGATGTCACAGCACCACGTTTTATTGTTGAGGCGGGATGTTCCAAAAGTTTTGTTGCTTCTGTGTAACATTTTTCCATATAAGGCATAAATCCTACCCTAAATTTTTAAACAAAAATAATATATTTCATTTGTTTTGCTTACAGTTTCGTTTAAAATTTAGTAAAACCTGGAATGGACTACAGCACATAAAGTGCTTTATACTGGAAATACTTTCACAAACTGTTTAACATTCTCCATTGAAAATATTAACGAAAAAGTTCTGAGGCCATTTAATGTGGAAGTTTATGAATATAAAAAATGAGTATAAGTAAAAATGAATCATGTCAACATTTCAGATATGTATAGAATTCAACAGAAATCATGTTCATACAGTCAAATTCAAATGAAATGAAAAAAGTAAGTCCAGAGTAAGAGGTAGTCCTTACCCTGTGTTAACAGCCAGTTCACCCAGTGCTGTACAAGCATCTTCCTTCTCCTCAAGGTATGCATTCTCGACACTGTATCTGTAATATACAAATGTCTCACAGAAAAATATCTCTTATGTATGTATGTATTACACAACTAATCTATTTCTGTAATATATGCATTCTAAACACTTTATTTGTAAAATACAACTACATACGATTTAAGAATACAGCCTGAACGTGCTTGGGCGCCAGCATGTTCAGGCTAGGCGATTGGGCGCCATAACCACGAGGTTGCAAGTTCGAGACGCGTGTTCTCCTTGTGTTTATTCATTTATGACCACTGTCTGAGCTTTCAATTGCAGAGGTATTAACCCGCTCTGGGTTCTTAAGGACAGTCGAGCGACGTGTGTGTATTTAGAAAAATAAAATTAGTACCGTGGGTACTGGGCTCACATGGTGACAGAAAAAACCGGATATAATTTTTTGCTGATTTTTTGTAACAAAATTATTTCAAGCCACTTGCCACTATTTTGGACTGACTGAGAGACAGATGGACAAATCGATGTTAAGTAAAATGGCTGAGAAAAAAACGGATATAATTTTTTGCCAATTATTTGGAACAAAATTATTTCATACAACTACTCTTTACAGTGACATGGCTTTTTGCAATTCAAGACACCTGAAATTATTTGTAAAGCTAGGAAATAGGCCAAAATTAAATTTCGCGAGACAAAAATGGCGACCATTTTGAAATCAGGCAAGCTTTTGAACCAGGAGTCATAGGGGAGTTTTTTTGTATTGATGTTGAACAAAAATAATGTGAAACTGGAATCCTATCGACAGAGGTTTTAAGCAAATGGTTCAAAAGAGGATTTCGCGAGACAGATGGACAAATCAATGTTAACTAAAATGGCTGAAAATAAAAAAACAGATATAATATTTTGCCGATTTTTTGTAACAAAATTATTTCATACAACTACTCTTTACAGTGACACGGCTTTTTACAATGCAGGACAGCTGGAATTATTTGTAAAGCTAGGAAATGGGCAAAATGTGAATTTCGCGGAACAAGAATGGCGACCATTTTGAAAATAGGCGAGCTTTTGAACCAAGAGTCATAGGAGAGTTTTTTGTATTGATGTTGAACAAAATTAACTAAAAACGGAAATCCTATCGACAGAGGGTTTAAGGTAAATGGTCCAAAAGTGGATTTTGCGAGACAGATGAACAAATCAATGTTAACTAAAATAGCTGAAAATAAAAAAAATGGATATAATTTTTCGCTGGTTTTTCGTAACAAAATTATTTCATACATCTACTCTTTACATTGGCATGGATTTTTACAATGTAGGACACTTGAAATTATTTGTAAAGCTAGGAAATGGGTCAAAAGTGAATTTCGCGAGACAAAAATGGCGGCCATTTTGAAAATAGGCGAGCTTTTGAACCAGGAGTCATAGGGGAGTTTTCTGTATTGATGTTGAACAGAAATAACTTAAAACAGGAATCCTATCGACAGAGATTTTAAAACGTGCCACTGTTATTGACGGAAAGTGAATTTCGCGAGTCAGATAGACAAATCAATGTTAACTAAAATGGCTGAAAATAAAAAAATGGATATAATTTTTCGCTGATTTTTTTGTAACAATATTATAACATATATCTACCCTTTACATTGACATGGATTTTTACAGTGAAGGACACCTGAAATTATTTGTAAAGCTAGAAAATGGGTCAAAAGTGAATTTCGCGAGACAAAAGTGACGGCCATTTTGAAAATAGGCGAGCTTTTGAACCAGGAGTCATAGGGGAGTTTTCTGTATTGATGTTGAACAGAAACAACTTAAAACGGGAATCCTATCGACAGAGGTTTTAAAACAAATGGGTCAAAAGTGAATTTCGCGAGACAAAAGTGGCGGCCATTTTTGAAAATAGGCGAGCTTTTGAACCAGGAGTCATAGGGGAGTTTTCTGTATTGATGTTGAACAGAAATAACTTAAAACAGGAATCCTATCGACAGAGGTTTTAAAACGTGCCACTATTGTTGACGGACGGACAGACGGACGGACGGACGGACGGACGGACGGACGGACGGACGGACGGACGGACGGACGGACGGACGGACGGACGGACGGACAGACAGACGGACAAGTGAGTGATTGCAAAAGCTCACCATGTGAGCTAATAAGCACAAGTGCCAAAGGGGAAAAAAGGGGGTAGGATATGTCAGTTGTGATTCCTCTGGTGTGTTTGAGCATTAACATCAGCTGCCTCTAGTAGGGGTCACACGGTTTGAGATTTCACGGTTTGGTTCGGTTATTGTATTTCACAGTTCGGTTCGGTTCTGATTGCGGTTCTCACGGGCCTCGTGAAATGAGCAAAAATATATGAAATTGATCCGAAAATCAGAAAACATACTAAGTGTGTCACAGTGTTTTATTGTATTCAGTATTGTATGTATCCAGTTTCACACAATGTTTGTTTGTTTGTTCAGTATTTTTTCCCTCCCTCCCTCCCAAAATATAAGTGTGTTCACTGTGTTGATCTTCTTGTTTGATGTTCAAGTTTTTTCAACACATAAAATAACTTGTCAACTGTTGGTAAAATTAGCACAGTACTTCACTAAACTGAATAAATGTTTTCTTTAGAAGTATAACTTAAGTTCAACACTTTTATTTGTCAGGACTCAACATGGATCAAAGGCGAACGTAATACACAGAACGTGACTCGTTCGCAAATTCAATGCATTCGGCGTTCGGCTTTTTACAGTATACTGTTCTATCAACCAATAGGATTGCGCGAAATGTTTAGCGTAGGTCACTTCCGGGTCAATATGCCGGTGAAATTTGTCAACATTTTCCTTTTGTTTTTGTTATCTGCCGTCTATATCAGAAGATCGTCGTAAATATCAGGTATGGTTCGCATTATTGCATGATGATTAACGATTCCAGACGATGTTTAGTTAATTGGTATTACACGAAAGCTTGAAATGGAGTTTAATTCCGAGTTTACATTTTTATTTTTCTGAAGTGAAACTGAAAATGTCACGGTTCTTCAAGAACCGCGGTTTTCAAGATTGTGTGCGAGCTAACCGTCGTGGAGGTATGAACCGCGGTAACCGCAAGCCACGGTTAACCGTGTGACCCCTAGCCTCTAGTCAGATCGACTGACAAAACAACCTTTTTTGGGGTTGTCGAGTTGGCTGAGAGGGCTTGGGCGCCAGCACGTTCAGGCTAGGCGACCACGAGGTTGCGAGTTCGAGACACATGTGCTCCTTGTGTTTATTCATTTACTCAGATTAATTCAGAGAAAATCATGTGCAGTTTATCATAAAACTCACATATTTTTATTTTTGAATATCATTATTCAACACCTACCCAGCAACACCTTCCTCTTCTTTAGAGTTGTCATCATCTTCTCCTGATATATCTTCTTCATCAAATAGATTATACACCTTTGTCTCTTCTTCATTAACATGAACCTATATAAGATTATCAACATGTTATGTAAAATAACCATTTTTTGTTATTCCATAGATATCCTCTTGCAACCAATCTTAGCTTATAAAGAAAGAAATCTTACAGTGATTCCCTCTGTGGACTGCATTGATTCTAACATAGGGGCAACCATACGAGCAAGGTACTGGGACATTTCAAACTTCAGGAGACAAGACATGGCAGCAAACATACCATAGCTAGAAACAGAGTAGAAACAAATTATATTTTCAAGCTTTAATAATTACATGAAAGAAAGTTTGTAACATCAACAAAATCTATTTGTGTTCAAAGTTAGAACGGTTTTCAAATTTGGTGTTCTTTAGGATCATAATTGAACCCTTTTATAGGGTAGTTTCATCAAGAATATCTATTTAAAGAAAACAAAAACTACTAACATGCTTCTCTTTAGATCAGGGTCAGTTGCATCTTGTAGCAAGGTCAAACCAAAATTGACACATTGGGGACAAAGTGGCAGGAATTGTTCTCCTAGTGTTCTTGAGAGAACCCCTAGAGTGTCTGGAATATATAAGGACATCCATCATGGAAAATTTCATATTATTACAGCTGTATCTCATTGGCATTTTTCTCTCTGTGATTGGTTGAAAATGTATCACATGACAGAAAAATAGCTTGTGATATTTTCAACTTTTTGTTAAATAGAATTTCCTAATGTTTTAACTGTGCTCGCCACTGCATCAGATTTATTATATTGCATGTACGAGTATATGTGTACGAAGGATTGTCAGAATTGTCATGTAACCCGAGTGTCTAAGCTTGGACCTCTATCCTCTAATGGTAGGTAATCTTATGACAGCACTGCTATTTTGATTGGATACACCTGTAGTTATATTTTGATTGACCATAATTTGATTGCGAGAGGCTACACCACCAAAGGATTATTTTCTCATTTAAATTGATAAAGCTCCCATATGAAGTGAGGTGCTTAAAGGGAGATTCCTGCCTGACCATTGCTATCCTTACATGATAGGTATAATCATATTACATACTTTCCATACTTAGCAAAACACATGAAAATGTTTGAAAATGTTTGTCAATTTTGGTCATTTAAAAATGTAGTGCTCATTTCCAATTAGCTACCATCTTTTAAGATTTCACGAAGAAAGTGGTGTCATCGACTCTCAACTTTCATAACCTTGCCTATAGTAGTATTGGAAAGTAGCAAAAATCAGTTCTAGACAAGTGGTCTTTTATGTGCAAAAATATTTTCAGAGCTTGTCAATTTAGAATAAAAGAGACTTTGAGAAGGATTAAATCATAGACAAAATTGGAAAAGAATATTCAGCTCGTTTTGTAATTCTTAATAGCTCCTTTCCTAATGCTATATGTGTAGTGGTGGCTTTAAGTGGCTAAATGGCGTCACATAAGATCATCTTAGATTTAAAATGGTTTATTGTAATCAGCCAGACATAGACACAGACAGACAGACAGCCCTATGGGCTAACTGTATACAGCTGTGGTTGATTGGATGGTTGATTGATATGTATCTGCTATAACATTGTTGCCAAGTCTTCCTCCATTATGTGTTTATCCAATCAACAAATCTGATTGGTTGAAAAGTAAAAAGGTGGGAAAAAAGTACGCCAAATTATTAGGGAGCATACAATATTGCATAACTAATGAGAGCAATTGGCAAAAAAAGTACGCCAAATTATTATGGAGCATACAATATTGCATAATTAATGAGAGCAATTGATGCTTAAAAATGAACAGTTAAATACCCTATTTACATTCACGCGGACATGTCTATCAATGCACCGCAGATACCTTAACTCGGTCACAATTACAAAAATTATAAAATATAAACTAACATCAAATTATTGTATCTATTACATATGTAAAGTTGTAATCATAATATTGAGGATATTCCTCCCCTATAATGCATAATATCCAATATGATAAAGCTAGATGTTAAAGCTAAACAACCACGATCCTAACTATTATGAGTATGTTTACTTACACAAGTTAAGATATTACAAACATGTAAAACAGCACATGTAAAACAGCACACTTAAATTTTAAATTTAATATTTAACTATAAATATTTTTGTATTTTTATTCATTTTTATATGATTAAACATCTGTTGGATATGCTGTTCAATTTTTCACATAGTTAAAACTCGCGCGAGGCTATTCGAATTTCTTTAATAGAAATCAGAATCATCAGAATCTTCTTCGTTGTCTTTAACACTTGATTCCGACTTTGCACTCTTTCTTTTTCTTAAATTGTATCTCCTGTTGTCATGTTCATCTGTTTTTGACTCAGTTCTCACAATTTCTTTCTTTTGACTATCTCTAGTAGTGAGTGGTTTTTGTTTTATGTTTTGTCTGTTTACATTTTTCTTCTCACCACTTTCATCTTGAATTTCATATACATCTCCTTTCCTATTCACAACTATGTATTCTTTTTGATCATAAGTATCTTGGATTTTGTTTCTTCCTTGATGAAATTTCTTTAGTAGTACTACAGATCCTATCTCAATGTCTTCGTTTTTGTGTGTTACTTTCTTTTCCTGATATTCCTTCCTTTTTGATGAATTTTGTTCCAGTTGAATATTTGCCATTTTATAAGCATATTTCAATCTTTCACTATGTTCCGTGACCCAGTTTTCTTGTTGAGTGTCTACATCTAAGGATCCTAGCTGTATGTCAATTGGTGTTCTTGCCTCTCTGCCGAACATCAAGTAAAATGGAGAGTAACCTGTTGAACTGTGAGGAGTATTGTTGTATGCAAAGACAACATCTCGTATATGCTTCGTCCATTTTTTCTTTTTCTCTTCGGAAAGTGTTCTCAGTGTTCTCAGTAGCGAGTGGAGCGATCTATTGAAACGTTCACATTGCCCATTTCCCGAAGGATGGTATGGAGTTGTTCTAGATTTTTTGATTCCATAGAGCTGGCATAAGCTTGCAATAATTTCACTTTCAAAATTCCGTCCCTGGTCCGAGTGAATTCTCATTCTCAATTCCAAAATTATAGAACCAATTGTTGACTAGGACTTTTGCGATTGTATCCGCTTTTTGATTCTTTGTAGGAATTGCAAGAGTGTATTTTGTGAACGCGTCAGTAATTATAAGGACATTTTCGATTCCATCGGAAGATTTCTCCAAAAGTGTAAAGTCTAGAAATAATAACTCAAGTGGGCGTTTGGCTGTTAAACTTCCCAATGGCGTAATTACATTTCTGACTGGTTTCTTGGAATACAAACATCTTGAGCAATCTCGTACATAGTTTCGTATATCTGTATACATTCCTGGCCAGAAGAAAGACTTTGTTACAAGTTTTTCAGTTCTGTCAGATCCTTGATGTCCGCTCATATCATGGTTAGCTTTCAATACATCTTCACGAATACATTGTGGGACTATGATTTGATAAGTTTCATTTCCATTGTTGTCCTTGATTTTTCTTACTAGAACATTTTTGATAATATTTAGACGGTTCCAATTTCGAAGTAGAGCTTTGGATGTTTTAGACAGTTTTTTCTGTTCAATCTTGTTTGGGTGCTGTCCTTCTTTGACACATTTCTTAATGACACTTATATCTTTGTCTTTGTCCTGGATTTTTTCATAACCATCTTTCATTGTTGGAAATATAGTGCTTGCTGTTCTGTCGTCCTTTTGAACTCTGCTATCAGTTTGACGTGTGTATTCTTGTTTTAATGCTAAACTGTGAATTTCAGGAGGAATAATTGTAGTTTCACAATGAGCTGCTATTACTTCCATTGTATTCTGTTCTTGTAGTTCCTTTGGAAACTTTTCCTCTTCTTCAACATGTACTGTCATAGCTGCTTCTTCTTGTTCAGATTCTTCAGAGTCGTCATCTCTCTCAGTTGCTCCTGATCTTGGAAGTCTTGATAATATATCAGCCATTGTGTTTTCTTTTCCAGCTTTGTAGATGATATCAAATCTGAATGATGCCAAATCAGCTATCCATCTTTGTTCCAATGCAGGAAGCTTTTTCTTCTTGAAGATGTATGTCAAGGGATTATTATCAGTATATACTGTGAAGTATGATCCCAGAAGATAATCTCTGAATTGGTTGGTGATTGCCCACTTCAAGGCTAACAGTTCTAATTTCTTACTGGAATAGTTCTTCATGTTTCTTTCAGAACCTCTTAGTCCTCGGCTGCCATAAGCTATAACTCGCTTAACACCATCTTGTTCTTGTAAAAGAGTACATCCTAGGCCTTTGTTGCTTGCATCGGTTTCTACTATAAATGGGAGGTTATAGTTTGCAAAAGCTAGAATAGGAGCAGATTTTAATCTTCTCTTTATCTCCATGAAGGCTTCTTGACAAATGTCATTCCAGTGTTCTTTTATTGATACTTTCTTTGATCTTCTTTTCTTTACAGTTTCAACCTTGGAGAGAATATCATATAAAGGAGTTGCAATCTTGGCAAACTGCTTGATGAATCTTCTATGGTAGCTGCTGAATCCCATGTATGCTCGTAATTCTTTCACATTCTCTGGAACTGGCCATTCCTCAATCACTTTTATATTCTTAGGATCTGGCTGGACACCATCTTTTGACACTTTCATGCCAAGATATTTGACTTCTTCTTTAAAAAATGAGCACTTTGAAAGTTCTAATTTCAGGCCAAACTTCTGTAGGATGCCGAATACATTTTCAAGTCTCTCAATGTGATTTTCAATTGATTCTGAGTATACAATCAAGTCGTCGAGATAAACTAGTATGGATTTAAAAACCTCATCTCTGAACGCCATTTGCATAAGTCGTTGGTAAGTTGCAGGTGCGTTTGTTAGACCAAAGGGCATTCTAAGATATTCGTACAGACCAAAGGGTGTTGTGAAGGCTGTTTTATATATGTCTTCTTCAGCTACTTGAACTTGATAATAAGCTTGTTGGAGATCCATTACAGAGAATAGCTTAGCATCTACTAGAGCGTCCATGGACTCTTGTATCCTGGGTAACGGATAAGCGTCTTTTCTTGTTTTGTTGTTCAGCATTCTATAGTCAACGCACAGTCTTAGTTTTCCTGTTTTCTTTCGGACTAACACAATTGGACTTGAATATGGGCTTGAGCTTTCTTGAATAATTTTTTTGCTGATCAGGTCATCGATATGTTCTCGTACTTCATCATACAGTGTAGGTGGAATACGTCTGAAGGGTTGTTTTATCGGTTGATCATCAAGAAGTGGTATCTCATGTTTCAAAGCTTCAGTACAACCAAGGTCTTCTTTTTCAAATGCAAATATAGGTGTGTGTTTCATGAACATTTCTCTCGCTCTTTGTTTAGTTTCCTCATCTCCTGGAAAGTTTTGTAGTGTTTTCTCTGTAGCTGTTTTCATTTTCATAGTATATTGGTCATTTGCTGGTTTTGATTCTTGGTCTATGTTAGAGTAAACATCAGTTGTTGAATCATCCTTCGTTGGCATAGATGGTATGTCTGCAACATGTAATGAGTTTGTCATGATGTCATAACTAGTTCTGTAACATTGTTGTTTCGCAGGTATAATTGTTCCTAATGGAGTTCTGGGTTTTAACCATATATCACTTTCTGTCATATTTGTCACTGTTATACAAGATCTTCCACATTTTGTGTCTATAAAGCCAGGACTTATTTGTAAGTTTCCAGGTAATGGAGAAGTAAGTTTTTCAACAATTCCTGTTCCTCTGAACGATCCTGTCGAAACATCAACATTCACATTAGATCCTGCTGGAATAAACTTCTCTTCTGGTCCAGAACATCTAACAAATTGAGATTTTTCACTGTCCTCCGATTTCTTGTACAGATGCGCAAAACTTGGTAAGTGTTGTAGAATATTAGAGCCAATGATGAATGTACTTGGTTCATGACCCTCACAAACCATGATGGATGTCTCAAGTTGTACATTGTCTACGGTTACAGTTGTGATTAAAGAACCGATGTAGGGGATTCCCGAACCATTAGCACTTGTTATTTTAATCCATTTGTCCTTGTAGAGATTTGATTCATGTTCAAAATTTTGTTTGAAAAAATCGTGTGACATTAAGGTAACACTTGAGCCAGTGTCATAAATTCCAGTTGTCGTGACATCTCCAATTGTGATAAGTGTTGAAGGGGTATTCTTGACTGTTTTGGACAGATAAGATGAACGGTCTTTACTGATATCAGTCCCATCTTGGCCGTTATTCATGAAGGGACTCTGGCGTTTCCCAGATCATGAGCATTTAAATTAAATTGTCGTTGATTTGACTGTGTCGTTTGTCTGCCTCTAAATTGTCCTCTTTGTGGTCTTCTTCCATTAAATTGTCCTCTATGACTTCTCTGTGGATACCAATAGTCGTTTCTGTTTTCATACTGGAATTGATTGTTGGCGTTCTGCTCCATTATCATTTGTTGTCCTTTCTCCAATCGATTAATCTTCTCTGTCATTGTTTTCATATTATCTTGCATGGATGTGATTGCAGACTTGAATTCATCTAATTGTGAGGTTATCTGTGTGAATACTGGATCCTTTTCTTGGACACTGTAGGACTTTTCTTTTCGTGAGTGATGTTCAGATTCTTCATATTTTCTGTTTTCATTATCTTCGTACTCTAAAGCAATGTGGCGTAATTTCTGAAACGGTGGATTAGGGTGGTCATCCTCATACTTCTTTAGTTCCCATCTCAAGTGTGGATCATTAAGATTTTCTGTAAGTTGATGACACAAGAGTTCATTTTCATTTGGAACTGTTCTATGTTGTTTTATTATGTCCATCAATCTAAGAAGTTCCTGTGTAAAACTTTTCACTGATTGATCTTTCTTTTGAGCAGTAGTGTAGAATTTCCTAAATGTTTGGCTTGCGGAAAATTCTCTTCCATAGACTTCCTTCAGTGTTCTGAATATGTTCCTAGTTGTCAAAGGTTCAATATAGTGTACTTCACGTCTAGCTGGTGCTTCTAGATGTTCAAGTAGAAAGTCAACCTTTTCCTCATCATCATCAAGTTTCTTGATTGCCAATTCACCGTCTTCAACCCAGTCCCAAATATCAGTGGTTTCTGGTTTTCCTGAGAAGTTTCCTAATTTTGGCCTTTTAGGAAATTTTATTTTTTGTACTGGTTGTGTTGGCTTCTTTTCAATTTCCATAAATTGGCTGAATCTTTGACTCAATTTCCTCAACCTAAGTAATTCCTCCTTCATGTTTTCAAATTCAGTCGGGTCATAAAATTTTCTTGTTCCAAGTCCTCTTCTTCCTCCTTTGGATTAGCTTTTTTGGGCGGCATTGTGATTTGAATAGCCTCCGGAAAAAATCGCGATAAAATATCAAACACGAAATTAAAAATATAAGCCGCAGAATTAAAATCACAAAGTGTGATATGATGTAAATACTGGTAGAGTTAAAATCACTAAGTGTGATATGATATTAAATATATTGGCAAAATGTAATAATTATTTACCAATAGATGTCAGTAATGTATACCAACACAATAAAGCTTGGCAATATATAGTGTGCTATATCTGCAAACCAATAGATGGCAGATAATTATATATATTGCATCAATAGATGTCACTCTAATAGTTACCATGGATAGATATTATCCTTATATTACCCTGTATACCAATAGATGGCATGTATATTGTATACACCTAAGTCAATGATCAACCATAGGATGCTATTGTAATTATAGATGTCACACTTATAATTGACATGGGCAGATGGTACCACATTAATATTATCTGATAAAGATAGATGTCACCCTAGTATGTGGGAGTATTGTGTACACAATGTGGCAATGTTCATGCACACTAATATAATTATAGGTCACCACGAAAGTGTAAACACTCAATGTCAGTAATCACTCAAGCAAATAACAACATGAGTTCTAATACAAATATTGGCAAAGTATTACCAGTTGGTGTTCAATAAATGCTACCTTTTTCCAAAGTTTATTGTTTCAACACAGTAAGCTTTTTATAAGCCATTCATCAGTGTTTTAAAGCTACAGGTGGTTGAGTTTTTTATCATGGTTAACTGAATAGCTTGACCTTGAACAATTGCCAATATATAACCTGACTTTGTTTTGATTGAAAAATCTAAAGTTCATGATTCTAACTTTTCCACCAATATAAGAGATATGAAATAGAGATTTCAAAATTAGGCTGTTTTGAGTATCACTTCTGCTTCTGCCTGTTGTAGATTATATACTGTAGACCTTACGATTGTATAACCATGTAGATCCTATAATTGTATAACTTGATTCCTGTAGATTCCTTGCAGTACAGTTTGTTTACCCGTGTAGCAGTAACACTTCTTGTATACCCGCAGTACCATTTGTATACCCGCAGTACCATTTGTAGTGGTGGCTTTAAGTGGCTAAATGGCGTCACATAAGATCATCTTAGATTTAAAATGGTTTATTGTAATCAGCCAGACATAGACACAGACAGACAGACAGCCCTATGGGCTAACTGTATACAGCTGTGGTTGATTGGATGGTTGATTGATATGTATCTGCTATAACATTGTTGCCAAGTCTTCCTCCATTATGTGTTTATCCAATCAACAAATCTGATTGGTTGAAAAGTAAAAAGGTGGGAAAAAAGTACGCCAAATTATTAGGGAGCATACAATATTGCATAACTAATGAGAGCAATTGGCAAAAAAAGGACGCCAAATTATTATGGAGCATACAATATTGCATAATTAATGAGAGCAATTGATGCTTAAAAATGAACAGTTAAATACCCTATTTACATATGCAAAGTTGAAAGTCGATGACATCACTTTCTTCGTGAAATCTTAAAAGATGCCAGCCTATTGGAATTGAGCACTACATTTTTAAGTGACTAATATTGACCATATCAAAACATTTTTCAGTGTTTTGCTAAACATGGAAAGTATATATATGGTTATAGCTACCTTATGAGGAGAGAGATGGTCTGGCAAGGAATTTACCTTTAATTAAACTGCACTGGTATTAGAGTGTATGTTTACCAGTAGCGACATCTTTTAAAGTAACATTTATTAATTCATACCTTACTTGACACTAACCTATTGCTTGCGTTTGCAGCTTCAACTCATCTTCATTAGTATGAGGTCTGTCCAAGTATGGTTTTAAGCTATTCATTACTGCATCAAAGTATGTAAACATAGCCTCCTTGGCAGCATTAGCTGGAAATACATAACAAGAAGGATGAAAGATATGAAATACAGCACAAACTAAACAGGAGGTGCCTTGGTGAATATTGCACTTAAAATTCAAAATGGCCACCATGTTAATTACCCAGCATGCTTGAATGTTAATCAGATACTAATCTAGCTGCTTTTGCATGAGTAAAAGTTAGAAGTTACAGACCGACGGAGCTGTGTCACTTATAACGTAAATGTTACCTGTTGCTCCTATTGCACTGATAGCCAGTTCCTTCACATGTACGGTTGTGTCAGCCTCTAGGGCTGTGATCAGGTGTTCCATTACTTTGAACATGTTCTATATATATCTATGTCACTTATAACATAAATGTTACCTGTTGCTCCTATTGCACTGATAGCCAGTTCCTTGACATGTTTCACTTATAACATAAATGTTACCTGTTGCTCCTATTGCACTGATAGCCAGTTCCTTCACATGTACGGTTGTGTCAGCCTCTAGGGCTGTGATCAGGTGTTCCATTACTTTGGGTAGGTATGTCAGGATGTCTTTATCTGCAAGTACATCAACACTACATGGAGAAATCCATTTGTGCATTTGCATTATATAAAATAATGTTATTATTTCAGGTATTTTTTAAGAATTCTACTCCTAGGTCTTTCTCATTTGAGAGCATTCTATACAAAACGATGAACATATGGGCAATTCCATAATTGTACGCCTACAGTGAGACCCATGTAATTGTATAAGAGAACAAGAGAATAAAATACAATTGATTCAAATACTGACCTAAATTTTCACAGAACATTTCTAATGCGTAGAATGTCTTGGTTGTGCCAGACGTGTCTTTCTTTGTCTGTATGGACTCTTGGATCACTTTAGTAATGTAATCCAGCAGAACAGGAAGTAATTCAGCTGCATACTTACTGATGTCAGGCTGAAACGTCAATTTTGGTTTCAATAGAAAAGGGCAGACAAATTTACATAATAAATTATATGGAATGATTATTTCCTTCGCTTTATTTCTTTGTTTTTTGAAGATGAAGCCTATTTTGTTTTTTAAGAAAACAATATTCCATTTTAAATAGTTTTCATATAACAATTCAATAATGTAGAGTGTCATGGCCATATATGGCAGTATATTTAAAATAAAAGTAATATTCTGCCTTATATATATACATATCTTTTATTGACTCTTTAGATGTCATGACCTGACATATTAGTCATTACAAAATGAAATTTCACAAAACTACACTACACTACACTAATATATACAATTTATACAAAAAACTTGTTATTTACATATGTTATAATATACTTTAGGTGTGATGCATCCAAAATGTTAATCTCCAGGCAAGTTTAAGTTTTTGAGTTGTTTTCTGACCACAACTTACCTGTAAAAACTCTGAAAACTGCCCCAAAGCAAACATTGCTGCATTTCTGACCACAACTTCACTGTCAGACATTCCTTTATAGGTACATTGTAGAAGACCATGTAGATGTCTAAATAAAATGTACAAGGTGTTTCTTATGTATGCACATCGCACCCCCCCACATAAACTCATCCATGTAGTATTGCCACCCTATTATGTTATATATCATTTTTGTTCCTAATGGAAAGTTACATAAGATTGCAAAGTTTTAGAATCCAGTAATGAATGCAGTCTGAGACATGCCTAGGACATGCCTTGTTTCGCAATACGAGTCTCAACTACATGTATAAGTGATATTCCAACATCTTGAGATGCAACTTATATAAGGGTAACAAATCAAAACATACTTATTCCCTTTTACTGCCAAAGGAAAACATATTAAAACACTCACAAATGTTGGGATGACACAAAATGTGCACATTTCACGTTTTCACATATAAACTTTCTGTTAAAACTAATAAGTCTGATTTGTTCCATGGCTGTACAAACCCACTTGTTTGAGTCTATTTTAGACTCAAACATGTCAAATCTGATCATACCAGCTGTATAATGTATTCTTAAAAATAAGCAATTAATGCATCTAAGAGTTATGAAGAGGTTTTGATTATACAATGTTAAAAGTCATGGGCTTTCGATCAAAGTGGAAAAATATTTCTCAAGATGTATTATCCAAGATTATAGGGAGGGTAAGCTACAAGATTTTGAAAGAACTGAGTGTGTAATATTATGACCCCTAGGAATTTCTCTCCTCTCTCAACCAGTTTTTCCAGATACCTTACTACATCTATTTTCATTACAACTTTATACTTAATTGGGCAACAAACTACTGTGTAAAAGGGAGGACTTATCCCGAGAGGACCCAGGCCTGTAGCCAGGGGTGGTTTGCAGGGTTCGGCCGAACACCCCCCCCCCCTGGCCAAAAATTCTTTCAAAATCATGCAGTTTTTCACCATTTTGAGCACTTCTCGAGTGATTTTAGCCATATTTGTGCCAAAATTGTCAAATGTGAACCCCCCTGGAAATTTTTGAAAACTGAACCCCCCCCTTGGCAAATCCTGGCTACGGGCCTGAGTCCATTCAGTAATTCTACATGTTAACACACTAGCTCTCATAAAAATGTAACTCAACCTCCTTACTAACTACATGTACATGTACTACTAATCATGTTTCTTACTTTTGTCGTATGTTATCTGCACAGCCCTCTGATATCACTGCCATGGTTATAAACGCTGCTTTTTTGCGGAACTTATCTTCACTTTGAAGAGCTGGTTCTATATAGGTCATCTAGAGATTAATAATGTAACCATATTGTAATTAAGGTCATTTGTGCAATTTAAGTTTATAACAATTATTGCAAATAATTTAATTTATGCCTAGTGGGAGAAATCTTTGTATGTGAATGACTCCCAAAGGCAAACTCTATTTACTAAAGCTAGAACGAGATAGCTTAAATTGTATTTTATCATGTCCATTCACTTCATTGGGTAATAGTTTTCATCCAATCAGAACAAATGTGTCAGAACAATGAACATGAGGAAATGATAGTTTATCAATCGTTACAGAAATATGGTATGAATTAATTTGGTACACGAAAAAATACTATGAGATGTTATGTAAATTTCTGTACTTACCAGCTGAGGGATGAGTTTCTCGGGGGGAAGATGCAAAGCCATAGTGTCAATCACCTGAAATTATCATAACAGCACAAACAAGGCATTAACATGACAAAATGTCACCACCTAAAACAATTTGGTCAATTTAAAGCAAGTTGGAAAATACCTTTTGACCTTAAGAAGGTTTGATTTGAACTTCTTAGAACATGTAGATGATTTTGAAAAAAAAATTCGTCAATTTGAAGCAAGTTGAAAAAATACCTCTTTGACTTTTTTTGACATTGAGAAGGTCATTGAAGGTCAAATGTCAAATGTAAAGTCAGATTTGAACTTCTGAGAACATGTAGATGATTTTGAAAAAAAAATTAGTCAATTTGAAGCAAGTTGAAAAAATACCTTTTTGACCTTGAGAAGGTCATCGAAGGTCAAATCTAAAGTCAGATTTGAACTTCTGAGAACTTGTAAAAGTCAAATTTGAACTTCTGAAAAGATGTAGATGATTTTGAAAAAAAATGTGGTCAATTTGAAGCAAGTTGAAAACAGACCTTTTTGACCTTTTTTGACCTTGAGAAGGTCATTAAAGGTCAAATGTCAAATCTAAAGTCAGATTTGAATTTCTGAGAACATGTAGATGATCTTGAAAAAAAAATTAGTCAATTTGAAGCAAGTTGAAAAAAGACCTTTTTGACCTTTTTTGACCTTGAGAAGGTCATTGAAGGTCAAATCTAAAGTCAAATCTAAAGTCATATTTGAATTTCTGAGAACATGTAGATGATTTTGAAAAAAAAATTTAGTCAATTTGAAGCAAGTTGAAAAAAGACCTTTTTGACCTTTTTTGACTTTGAGAAGGTCATTGAAGGTCAAATGTCAAATCTTAAGTCAAATCTAAAGTCAGATTTGAATTTCTGAGAACACGTAGATGATTTTTAAAAAAAATTTTTGTCAATTTGAAGCAAGTTGAAAACAGACCTTTTTGACCTTTTTTGACCTTGAGAAGGTCATTGAAGGTCAAATGTCAAATCTAAAGTCAGATTTGAATTTCTGAGAACATGTAGATGATTTTGAAAAAAAAATTTAGTCAATTTGAAGCAAGTTGAAAAAAGACCTTTTTGACCTTTTTTGACTTTGAGAAGGTCATTGAAGGTCAAATGTCAAATCTAAAGTCAAGTCTAAAGTCAGATTTGAATTTCTGAGAACATGTAGATGATTTTGAAAAAAAATTTAGTCAATGTGAAGCAAGTTGAAAAAAGACCTTTATGACCTTGAGAAGGTCATTGAAGGTCAAATGTCAAATCTAAAGTCAGACTTGAACTTCTGAGAACATGTAGATGATTTAGAAAAAAATTGAAGTCAGTCTAAACAGTATTTGTTAAGTTATAGGAAGTTGTAAGAAATTGTTACAGACGCCAACCACCAACCGCCGGACGCCAACCGCTGTCGCAAAAAAACGGAGACCATAACAATATGTCACCACTTTTGGTGGTGACATACAAAAAAACGGAGACCATAACAATATGTCACCACTTTTGGTGGTGACATAATAATATACTCAGACTTCTCTATATTCCAGGAGGTCTTAGCATCTGTAACTCAACAATGATTGGCTAGTACCCCACAGAAATTTGCTTTTCAATGATTGCAAATGCGGTTTTGCAAAATTGGTTGTCATTCACAAATTCCCAATCTGGTGCAAAAAAAGCAAGAAATTGAAGTTTTTTTTTACTAGAGTTGATGAATAGAATCGAAAAACAAAATATTTCATTACCTTATTGAATGCTCTTTTTAATTTTTTTGCATATTTAAGTTTTTGATTCAAAATTCTTGCAAAATCTAAAATTCAAAATGTTGATGCAAAGGACGATTCTCGGTTTGGAGAACGAAGTTCTTCAATCTAAATTAGCATTATCCCTGTTTCGGACAAATTTGATTTTTTTTACATAATATAGATTTGAATATCTTCTTTTGAATAGTCATAATTTAATTTGGGTAATATTTTTAGATTTTTCGCAAAAAAATATTAGCGCAGTACACTGATGAACTTCTTTCCCCAAAATCAAGACTTGTATTTTATTGAATCAGTCTAATTGAGCATTATCCCTGCTTCAGACCAATTTGTTATTTTTACATCTTGTAGATGTAAATGTCCTCTTTTGAATATTCATAGTTTAATTTGGGTAATATTTCTATATTTTTCATGAAAAAAATTATTAGCCCAGGAGACTGTTCTCCAAACCGAGAATCGTCCTTCCCGGGCAAAATCCTTCCAAAATACTTATTTTTTAAATCGCAAATTCTACAATCTTCTTTGCAAAATTTGGGAAAATGCACATTTCTGAGGGGACAGTTCCCGGCTTGTATGGATCATTATTAGAGGTTTAACTTACTGTTGCAGCAAATGCAGCTGGGTTTGTAGTTTCTGCTTGTTCTGTGTAAGTATCATCATCATCTTCATCATCAGGGGGTGTGCACATTATTGGGAACAGCACGTTCAATATGGGGTTCACCAGTTTGTATTTCAAGATTGCCTAAGATCAAATTAAAATTAGTTCACATAAAGTCTCTGATACAATGTCACCATTTATTTCTTGTTATAGTTTTAGATTAGTCAACAACACAGGGACTCCAAAATGAATGAGATAATGGAGCAATGACCTTATACAAGAATGAAGAAACAGAGACATGTATTAACAATTTAACACAGAATTTTGTACGTTAAAATCGCCAATTTCTCGAAAACATAGGCAATATTGCAGGTCAAATAGACATTTATTGATGGGCAGACATAAAATGAATGTGCAGACAGCTTAATATTGTATGTTTTTATTTTTTGACGTAAGATGGCTTTATAATGGTTATAATGATAATTACTGCGGTGATGAAACTGGAAATCTTCCTGAAGCATGTCTTCCTTGCTTTTCAATGCCTTAATTAAAACCAGTGTTTACCTTTTTCTTTAACCGTGTAAGCCAACTGATGAATGACATTCCCTTCACTCTGGTAGCTTCTTCCAAATCATTTTTACCTGCAATCTACATGACACACATTCTTAATACACCAGGCCCACAGCCAGATTTTGCCAAGGGGTTCAAAAAATGCCAGGGGTTAAAAAAATTCCAGGGGGGATTCAATTTTGAAATTTTGATCCAAAAATGACCAAATTCACAAACAAGTGCTCAGAATGGTGAGAACTACATGATTTTGAAAGATTTTTGACTGATATAATTTTGTGCATATACATGTATTTCTAAGAAGATTTATAACATAAAAGCACCTGTAGACAGAGTTGCATGATAGCTTTGATGTGTGGGGCCACAACAGACACTTCACACTCCACAAGCTCATCAAATAGTTCCATAGCCTCACATGCTTTCTCCTGTAAAAAATTCCAGATTTTAGTAAAGTGACAATTGCGTGGGTGTAGTAATAGCTAATTTTTTCAACTGAGTGAAAAAAATAACAACAATTTTACGATAAAGAAATACATTATAAGGGTTGATTTCTTTAAATGACATACCTAAAATGGTCCATACTTTGCCTTAACTTTATCAAGACATATACTAGTAATTGTACTATTGATTTGTACATATAAGGGTTGATTTCTTTAATTGACATACCTAAAATGGTCCTTACTTTGCCTTAACTTTATCAAGACATATACTAGTAATTGTACTATTGATTTGTACATATAAGGGTTGATTTCTTTAATTGACATACCTAAAATGGTCCTTACTTTGCCTTAACTTTATCAAGACATATACTAGTAATTGTACTATTGATTTGTACATGTAAGGGTTGATTTCTTTAATTGACATACCTAAAATGGTCCTTACTTTGCCTTAACTTTATCAAGACATATACTAGTAATTGTACTATTGATTTGTACATATAAGGGTTGATTTCTTTAATTGACATACCTAAAATGGTCCTTACTTTGCCTTAACTTTATCAAGACATATACTAGTAATTGTACTATTGATTTGTACATATAAGGGTTGATTTCTTTAATTGACATACCTAAAATGGTCCATACTTTGCCTTAACTTTATCAAGACATATACTAGTAATTGTACTATTGATTTGTACATATAAGGGTTGATTTCTTTAATTGACATACCTAAAATGGTCCATACTTTGCCTTAACTTTATCAAGACATATACTAGTAATTGTACTTTTGATTTGTACATATAAGGGTTGATTTCTTTAATTGACATACCTAAAATGGTCCATACTTTGCCTTAACTTTATCAAGACATATACTAGTAATTGTACTATTGATTTGTACATATAAGGGTTGATTTCTTTAATTGACATACCTAAAATGGTCCATACTTTGCCTTAACTTTATCAAGACATATACTAGTAATTGTACTATTGATTTGTACATATAAGGGTTGATTTCTTTAAATGACATAGCTAAAATGGTCCTGACTTTGCCTTAACTTTATCAAGACATATACTAGTAATTGTGCTATTGATTTGTACATATAAGGGTTGATTTCTTTAATTGACATACCTAAAATGGTCCTGACTTTGCCTTAACTTTATCAAGACATATACTAGTAATTGTGCTATTGATTTGTACATATAAGGGTTGATTTCTTTAATTGACATACCTAAAATGGTCTATACTTTGCCTTAACTTTATCAAGACATATACTAGTAATTGTACTATTGATTTGTACATATAAGGGTTGATTTCTTTAAATGACATACCTAAAATGGTCCTGACTTTGCCTTAACTTTATCAAGACATATACTAGTAATTGTGCTATTGATTTGTACATATAAGGGTTGATTTCTTTAATTGACATACCTAAAATGGTCCATACTTTGCCTTAACTTTATCAAGACATATACTAGTAATTGTACTTTTGATTTGTACATATAAGGGTTGATTTCTTTAAATGACATACTTAAAATGGTCCTGACTTTGCCTTAACTTTATCAAGACATATACTAGTAATTGTGCTATTGATTTGTACATATAAGGGTTGATTTCTTTAAATGACATACCTAAAATGGTCCTGACTTTGCCTTAACTTTATCAAGACATATACTAGTAATTGTACTATTGATTTGTACATATAAGGGTTGATTTCTTTAAATGACATACCTAAAATGGTCCTGACTTTGCCTTAACTTTATCAAGACATATACTAGTAATTGTGCTATTGATTTGTACATATAAGGGTTGATTTCTTTAATTGACATACCTAAAATGGTCCATACTTTGCCTTAACTTTATCAAGACATATACTAGTAATTGTACTTTTGATTTGTACATATAAGGGTTGATTTCTTTAAATGACATACTTAAAATGGTCCTTACTTTGCCTTAACTTTATCAAGACATATACTAGTAATTGTGCTATTGATTTGTACATATAAGGGTTGATTTCTTTAAATGACATACCTAAAATGGTCCTGACTTTGCCTTAACTTTATCAAGACATATACTAGTAATTGTACTATTGATTTGTACATATAAGGGTTGATTTCTTTAAATGACATACCTAAAATGGTCCATACTTTGCCTTAACTTTATCAAGACATATACTAGTAATTGTACTTTTGATTTGTACATATAAGGGTTGATTTCTTTAAATGACATACTTAAAATGGTCCTTACTTTGCCTTAACTTTATCAAGACATATACTAGTAATTGTGCTATTGATTTGTACATATAAGGGTTGATTTCTTTAAATGACATACCTAAAATGGTCCTGACTTTGCCTTAACTTTATCAAGACATATACATATAATTGTACTATTGATTTGTACATATAAGGGTTGATTTCTTTAAATGACATACCTAAAATGGTCCTGACTTTGCCTTAACTTTATCAAGACATAAACTTGTAATTGTGCTATTGATTTGTACATATAAGGGTTGATTTCTTTAAACGACATACCTAAAATGGTCCTTACTTTGCCTTAACTTTATCAAGACATATACTAGTAATTGTGCTATTGATTTGTACATATAAGGGTTGATTTCTTTAATTGACATACCTAAAATGGTCCTTACTTTGCCTTAACTTTATCAAGACATATACTAGTTATTGTACTATTGATTTGTACATATAAGGGTTTATTTCTTTAAATGACATACCTAAAATGGTCCATACTTTGCCTTAACTTAATCAAGACATATTCTTATAATTGTACTATTGATTTGTACATATAAGGGTTGATTTCTTTAAATGACATACCTCATCAACAGCAAGGAGATTGTGGATCACTTGGATCACCTTTGGTAAAAGGGATGAAAAGATTTTCTGAAACAAACAATAATTAAATGTAAATGTACACTCTTTCAAACATACTGAAAAATGGTCGTTTTTTCTCAATTTTAATTTTGTTTTTGTTTTATAACTTGTGAGACATAACATTTAAACAAGAAAAATATTTTCAATTTTCAAATCGCAGGAATTAAAAATCTTACCAGTTCCTCTGTTCCCACCAGAAAGACAAAATATGTCATACACCTATAATAACATTAGATAGGTCCTTTAAACCATATATCATACTTTCACTTATGTGCTGTAATTTGCTGTTAAACAAGCACAACTAAGTACATGAAGTAAGATCAGACGTACATGTAAGTCATAAATGTAATAAATGTAAAGAAGAAGCAAGTGTCAATGTAATTCCAGGTCTACTTCTTCTACATAGAAACGAGAATTTTCAAGTCTGGAAAGATTGATTGACACAATCACATGCATGCTCAACTATGTAGTGTTTCTTTCCCTCTATATATTTGAAAATCAATGATTCATTCAAAACAAGTCCGCAAAAACCATATAGTATAAGGTATGAGACAATACTTGTTTTTAAAACATTGAGTGGTTTCAATCCTCCATAGTTGGGCTAGCATTGAATTGAACAGAAAAAAACAGTAACTCTTAAGAGAAAGATTTGTATATCTACTTACTGAATTGCATAAAAAGGAACCAAAGGATTGGACCTGTCATCTAGTGCATTATCAAATAGAGTCAGTAGTGTACTGAACATTGGCTTCAACTGTTCTGCAGCCACTGATGCAACTGAGCTTAATACAAACATCCCCACCTTTAGGAAAAGATACAAATTTTAATCATCAATATTTCATATTTATGGCATATTGTAACATTCTGTTTTCAACAACATTTCATCAACATATTATGCTCCCTTGTACTGCACATGTCAGCTATTGCATTATCCACAGAGCAGATCAGATATACAGAAAAAAATCATGTAAACATTTCAATGCAAGAATGTGCCAAACAGAGGACAGAAAACATTACTTGCCTCTTTTTGAGCTGGATCAGCACTTCCCGTCGTCTGCTCAAGAAATTGGAAAAGTTCCGGCCATCTTGATTCTGGGAGGTCATGTTTGGCAACTGCTGCTACAATCTGGGCTATCGAGTTCCGCACTGATTTTCTATAAACACAAGTAAGTAAAGAAAAAATATTACAAATTTATTATATGCGATGGGTTAATTTTAATGTGCTCTGGGAATTCAGACAGTATTCTTGCAAAAATTGAAAAATAAATTCATTCAATAAAATTCAACTGTGACTTGTCATGAATTGTCCTAATTTTAATTATATATACCCATATAGTACTAATAGCACATTTTATTGTTGATGCAAAACTTATAATAATTACTCTTTAACTCATGTTATACATTTATTGAAGTTTTGGTTTGTGATATTTATTTGTGGATTCATTTATAAAGGGGCCTTCTCAAGAGGACAAGAGGGCCCTTAGTATAAGAAGCCAACACGCATAAGGGGCCGTGAATTCGTATGATCCGTGATCCGATCCAAATAAATTTTGTCATGGTAATGATGCATTGTGGGATTAATCCTGGAATTTATCCGAACGTTGGTGAATTCGTACAATCTTTTGGATAAATTTAATCCAAATCTCAATCCGGATAAATTCTTGGATCGTACAAATTCATGGCCCCAGAAGTATAAATTTAGAAAATGTAAAAGTGCGTAACGTATTAAGGCCCCTCCTGGTACAATACCATATAGAGCTATACATTACCATATGAAGCTCTACAGTACAATACCATATAGAGCTATACATTACCATATGAAGCTCTACAGTACAATACCATACAGAGCTCTACTTAGGACTTACTCTGGTTCCTGTACCAGCACTTGTAGAAGATTTTGACGAATGCTGTAATAATAAAAACAGCAACATTATTTTACTTCATGACGTTACATGAGGTTTGCTTAAAAAAGTACCATATTCACTATCAATTAAAGTGGGACAGAGTCTACTAGGGGAAAGTTTTGTACCTGTTAGCAACTTAGCATGCGAACCATATAATAGAAGTTCTAATTCTCCCTTTCGCGATTCGCTCTTTGAATCAGAACGTTTGCAAATATGTCCTGAAAAAGCACTCAAAAGGACAAAATTTGATTGGTCAATATTTTCTCACCATGCATTTCGCGTAGCTATTTGCGTGACCCGAAAGTTATAAATCAAACTAATTACGCAATTTCGTTTTTACACCCGCACGCTAAATAAAACAATGACAACAACATTCTTCTTTGTCATTGCTTTAATACGGTAGTCAGTATACCAAGTTTAATCAACAAAAGATTGTACAATGAACAACAAAATTCGGAAACGAGTACTATAGCTTTGCTTTCGGACCACTGAACAGAGTGACCTAGATAATAGCGACGCTTCTTCTTTGGTCTACTGCTCAGTTATTTGTTGGTTTTCAACGTAACTCTGAGTAATTTGAAGATGAATACTTTTATTCAGTTGTTGCATCGATGTTGCAGTTTGTAGTGAGGTAAGATTGGCATGAAAGTATTGAAAGTCGAATGGAATTGTTTTTTCCAATATGGCGACTAGTCAACTGATCATGTGACCTTCTCTTCCGGAATATTTTCTCACTTTTCAATCATCGTTTTCACCACGCTATGAATCAATACAATGAAAAAAAATAGCTGTTATATTAAGATTAATAAGAGATCAATCGTTTATAATAATTTTTTCTGTACCCTCGTACAGGAATATGAACGAATATATTGTTTGAAAAATAGGTGTGAAAATCCCCATGTTAAACCTATGAGGGAAAACAAGGAAGTATAAATTTGTTCCTCCGCGAACTGCATCATGGGAAATATATTGACCTTATAAGGAAAGATTTTCGAGCTCCTCTTTTGAAGAGGGAACAGCGATTTCATCAATTTATTCAGGTAAATTATTTAATTTTCATTTCAGCTTATTTCTTAAGTGTGTTTCTCTGAGACAGTTTCTTTGTCACAATTAAATGTAAATCTTGATATTTTCTTACTTCTGGGCTATATCAGGGGTAATATTGCGCCATTGGCTCGCCTTTTCCACCTTTCGACGTATCAGCACAGCAGATGTCTGTCTAACCTATGATTAAAGAGTTTCAAGATACATTTTAAATCACAAGTTTCACAAATATCAATCCAAAAACAGGTCGCTTCATGTTTCAATTTTGTCCACGCAATTAAAGTGGAAAGTAAAAACATTTGGAAAATGTTTTATAACATTTCAATTGTAAATAAATATGCGTTAGAATATAGCAGATTAATTATCATCATCTTTTCCATGCAGACAAGTGCATAACAGTTTTATAACATTTCAGTTGTAAATATGTGTTAGAATATATCAACATCTTTTCCAAGTGGATAATAACAATTGAACATTGACACTTTAAATGATCAAGGAACTGACACAGAAACAACAAAGAAAAGAGAGCTATTGTAAGTATGAAACCTACCTGAGCATTTTGCGATGATGCAAGTATTGTGCACAATGCAGGTACTATCCCAGGATCTTTGAAAAGTTCTCGAAGATGTGCTGTAGCCTAAAACAAAAATTCTATCAAAATTTAAAGTGAATACTATATGTACTAACAGACAAACTAATTCAAATATGCAGGGTAACCTACTTTGGATAAGGGACCAATTTGTGAATCAGTTCAAGTTGTTTGTTTGTTTGTTATTTTGTTTTGTTTGTTTGTATCTTTTGTAGAATTATTATACCGCTTCATGGTCATGTTTAGTCTTTGTGCTAATTCACTGCACTAGTTCTTTACTTTAAAGTCTAAAATTCCTTATATTGTTCAATTTATACTTTTTATATGTGCTCACCAGGTGATATTAATAGGCTGTCAACTCGATTCTGGGCTGTCAACTCATAGTTTCCAGAAATGACTACGGTTGTGATTGGTCAATGTAAGAAATGGTAAAAACTGATTTGACAGGTAACAGAAATGAAATGACGGCGTTAAAACTGAGATGACGGGAACCAGCGAATGAGATTAACAGGACTAAAATACTGAGATAACAACACTATGAATTATTTTATACATACATGATGATGTATATTTGAGCTTCGAAGCACTTTCATAAAACTGAGATATGGGTACTGAGGTAACGGATATGGGACTAAGATGACAGGTCACACGCATGCATATTGATGCTGAACTGACTCAACAGGCAGCTTCCGTAGTTTCCTGGGTTTGATTCTCACATGGGGCATAGAATTTAGAACACTCTCACGTCTGTATCTGGATTGTTACACTAGTTTCCCCAAGGCACTCTCTCCTCAGATCGTCACAACAAAAAGGGATCATATACATGTATTTTCCTGTTTGTTGATTTTGACAGGTTTACATTTACAAAATATTCCCTGGGGGCATCACATATTATTGCAAGTTTGGTGTTATAATGGTATTTTTACTTATTTATATTGACTTAGGAATTATCTTGGCCATTATTGAGTTTAACCTCATTACTATACATTCCTTAGTCACAAGTTCTGGATCTATCGAAAAGTGTTTCTGTTCGTCCCCGCTAAAAGTAAACTTTAGCGAAATGTTGACGAAATTTTGTCAAATAGATTGATAATTATTATAGAGATTACTTGGGATAATAAGGTCAATTTGGAGGATAACAGGTATCTTTGATTGATTTATATAGCGTGTGTATACATGCAAAGTAGTCATTTATTGCAAACCTACTGTTTATTAGGCAGTGTCGCAATGACGGTTTATTTCTGATACGATTTGCAATTTCGATGTTAGCAGAACTGACCGACATTTTCATTTATACCAAACCTGTCTCCAATATTTTTTCGTAATTATGCATCAATAAGGGATTGTGTGTATTTATTCATAAGGTATGTATATATGCTTGGGTCACAATCTTTATATAAATAATACCATGTTTTCAGGGTTTATTAGTTCTGCTTGTCAAAACAAGCAGAGGTATTCAATTTACGTGCTTATGCTTATGGAGGTTAGACCTAGCCGGGGCCATAAGACTTTTTCTTTTATTCCAACAATTCAGTACATTCAATACAAAATTTCACTCTATTCAATATAACAACAATTCAATAAGACATGTCAGATAAGAAACGAGGCCCCAGGCTATAGGTCTAATGTTGTTAGACTTAGATGACGGGTGACCAGGTGACACACATGCGTAATGATGTTGAACTGACTTGATGGGCAGATAGCTTCAGTATTTTTGGAAAATATTCAGTTGACGGCATAATACTGCCTCCCATCTCAGATCTAAGTATATGCCCAACAGCTGTGTTTATTTTTTACAAAAATTATAACTACAGTGGGGATCATAAAGAATTGCAAAAGCTATGAAAATTACATGCTGTTGCACATGTAATAAATTCTTACCTCAGTGTATTCAGTGCTCTATTTTCTCCGTCTGAGTAAGTCCAAATATAGTGGAATTTGTGTCCCTAATGACAAATAAGAACTTCAAAAGTTGAAGTGGATATTCACATGTTATGCCAACTCTTCAAATGTTGAGGTGATTTTGTCGCCCGATTGCGCCGGAACGGAGGATTGGCTCCCAGAATGCAACATGACACGTGCCAGCTTTCAAAATGCTGTTCCGCCATTTTGAAACCTGTCATGAGTAAATACAGTAACTGATGTTGCATTCTGGGAGTCAACCGTCCTTGGATAACAAACATGGCGATTCATGAAAACATTCATTCGATTTGGTAGGGATTTATCCATTATTTGCAGGTATGAAGCTTTGGATTCATTTATTGTGCTATGTTAGTGAACGGGAATTATTTTTCTACCGCTTGGGAGAGTTTGAGACACGAAGCTTGGAAATTAGCTCATTGTGACAACTTGTGAACGTTGAGTTTTATTTTTGTCCCCCACTGTATAAGAAAATAAATATGACAGATGACATAGAAGAAAGTTGATTTCATCAATGAAGATCACCTTGAAAAATTATGAAAGTAAGTATGTAACTTTGTTAGCTCATATTCTATCCGTAGCATTTACTCTTTTCACTCACCTGACTGATGATTTCATTGTCCGGGACATTTAATTTGGACAAAATTTCTTCCAATTCTTTCACATGTGCCATTTTTAAGCCTCCCCTTTAGAGAGCTGATAAATTTTCCATGACACACCTCAAAGTAGTTTCAGCATTATCGTTTCTTGTTCTTCTGCCTAGAAACATAAAATGTATGAAAAGGTCAATGAACAGTTTCAGGTTATATGTGTATTACATTGGATATGATATGTATTCGGGGAAATGCCTGATATTGAAGGAATCAAGAATACCAAGAACTAGGTCACATGATCTCGGGGTCACATGACAATAAAATCCAAAATGGCAGACGGAGGTGAGAGTGCCCCTCTCCTAAAAAATGAAGCTAATACTGGTTCCCCGCCAACATATTCAACCGAACCTGGCAGTGGAGTTACAGGTAAATTTCAAGAATTTAATGGCATACAGATTTAAGAGATTTAATGTCAAATAGATGGCATAAATTAACTCGAAAGTCAATGTTTTGAAAAATCACAGTGACTCACTTTTTGATGACCCAAATTATACCAGGAAGTACCTATAGAAACTTTCTATATGTGACAATTGTACATATATATTTTCATTTGATGATTTCCTATCAAAAGTTATACGTGTATGTATTTGTCATCAATATAAAGTATCTTCAAAATGTTTGTTACTGAAGTTTCGAGCCTTCAAATTATCTTTTGAATTCGCAAATGGATAATTATTCCGAAACAAGGACCAGATGTTTTTTGTATGATTAGGCCTATATCTGATTTCACATAAGACAATCAAACATGGGCTCTCTTTTGAAAGCCTATGGTCAAACCTAGAAAACTAAAAACTTTGATAATATACAACAGACACTAGGCCTAACTTACCAGTATTTAGCGTGCACCTACTAGATCTACCTTTTTCCCAACCTGAATTAGAAAATAAGACTCAGCTAAGGTATGGGCCTCTCACTTACTTTCTAGAGGTTAGAACGCTGTTAAATGAAAGCCTATCAACTTTGTTTTGTGGATGATGAAGCAAAAGCACAGTATCTGATAGAAATGAATGTAAATCATTTTTCAAATAGAGGCAAGTTTCACTTTTTCTGGTTTGGTTTTTGGGCATGAGCAGATAAAAAAGACTTCATTTAAAGATTGTTTTTCCCTGTTGAGTTCTAGGAGAATGAATAATTATCGAACAAAATCTTTTTTAGAAAGTTTATATACATGTATTTCAACTATCTTTTGACTTGATTTTTAAAAGCTCAATTTAATTCAAGTTAATCTCTATTTTCTATAAAACAGAAGAAGTGAGTAGTTCCATTACTATTTGGTATTACTTGGTATCAAGCCCCCTTAACTTTCCCTACAAGCCGTATATGGTCCTATAAGCCTTACATGGATCTATCACATAGGTACCATGTGACTCAATACCTGGACTCTGAAATTTGGGAACTCCCCCTGCTATAAAAGATGCAACACAAACAATTGTTATTGTTTTTTCCTGTTTCCAGGGCAACCAAATGTGACAGGAAGTGTAACTGTGACAGTTGCCCCTATAGGTCCGGAGGATCTGCCCCCACCATACACCCCTGCGCCACAGGGAGGCATCCCAACCATCAATTGTAAGATTTGCCAATCAGTGATCAACATAGAAGGAAAAACACATCAGCACGTTGTGAAATGTAATGTCTGCAATGAAGCTACAGTATGTAACACTTTTTTGAGAATATTTCAGTTTTGATTGAGAACATGTCTAGAGTTATATTTCTCTACATCTTGCCTAGCTATGCTCATTGTTTAAACCTCTGCATTTACACTTGATGAACCTTTCAAACTGTCAGTTTATTCATTTTGATTCAAGATGTAATCATGTAAGAACAGAATAAAATAAACTCAATGGGAGAAACAAACAAGTATTTTATTCATTGAGCAACAAGCCTTTAAGGAATTTGTCATTAATTGGCAAAGAGCAAGGAGGATTGGCTCCCAGGATTGAAACTCAATATTTTTCAACAATGAAAACTTCGAAATGTCGTTTCTGAAATTATGAACTACTATAGATTCAAAATAACAGTTCAAAAGATTCGAACCAATATCTCGATCATTTCTTGTGTGTTTTGGAATTTTTTGTGAAGAAATAAGACCAAAATTCACGATTCAAATGTTGAAGTGAATAAAATGGCGGCTGTTTGCATTTTAATTTTGTCCTCACGATATGTTCATATATGGGACAGAATATCAATTTTGCACTCTGGGAGCCAATCCTCCTTGGGCAAAGAGTCTTAAAAGAACTTTTAATCAGTAGAATCTCATAAAACTACCCAGAATTCTTAACTTAACTAGAAGCTCATCATTACATAAATATAGGTTCATCTATGATTTCTGGGGTATTTCCTCCTTTTATATGAAGTTATTTAATTTCAGCCAATTAAAGCCCCACCCCCTGGAAAGAAATATGTGCGCTGTCCATGTAATTGTTTACTCATATGTAAGGGGACCTCACAAAGGATTGCTTGTCCCAGAGCAGATTGGTAAGAAACTACACTATAGATATATAATGTAAAAATATGTTTCTCAGTTCCTCCTGATAAAATATACATGTACATTTAAAAAATTGTAAAATTCTTATTTTCAGTAGACAAAAAATGAAATAATTTCTCTCCTCATTTGCAGTAAAAGGATTATAAATCTAGGCCCCCTTCCCAACACAGTTGCCATGAGATCGCCTGGGTCCAGTAGAATTATCTGTGCCCATTGCGAAGAAACATTTCTGGTAAGCCAATTTTTTAGGGATTTCATAAAGCTTGAAAAAAATGTTCTGATTGAATGTGTAATTTACGTATACATTACATTTAAATTGGAATTATGTTAGAGTTATTTAAGATGAAGGTTACAGCTATCAGCCCTTTAATTAATGAAATAATAAGAAATGGTTGAAATGATGATTTGTGATTAATACTTTTTCATCTCTCAAAATACATAAATTAAAATGGTGCAGTGTGCTTTTCAGAAAAATGCTTTGAAGTTCAGAATTTTTAGGTCGTACCTTTACATATTTCATTTTGCTTTGTTTCAGTTCAACATTCTGAATAATGCTTTAGCCAGATGTCCTCATTGTAGAAAAGTGTAAGTATTACAAAGTTATTGAAATAAAATAAATACAAATATTTTCAATAATTTCAATTCACAATGCAACAGAATTTATTAAAGGCATTTCAATCATTTTAGAGGGAGAAATGTTTGATTTTAAGCTAAATATCTCAAAGAAAATTTCACCTTTCTATAAGGATGGGTTGATCCATGGGAGGGTGTCTGGGAGCAAAATGACATGTATATGTCATACTAAGGTCTCTCAATATTGTAATTACATGTATACAAAGGAAAGTTCAGTTCATTTAAGATAATTATCTCAAAGATAAAGTAAAACATATATTTATTTAATTTTTTATAATAATACCAAACTTGCATAAACTTCAATATTTTGAGATATCTAAGTACAGTGTGTATATGCCATTTTGTCCGAATAGATATTTTATTTCGTTCTCAAGAATTGGTAGAAAAGAACAAAAATTATTCACAAAGAAAATTATATAAAATATTTATAAATCATTTTACATTAACAAGTTGTCAATCTGTGATAATTACATTAAAGATGTGTTTTTTAGACACACTGTTTTCAGTAATTGGTAAAAAAAACAATGTTGAATTTAGTTCACCATATTGCTACCAATCCTTTATTATTCTGAAATCCTAATCGAAAAGAAAAAATTCCATGCACTCTATATTGTACTTATATTGACAGGAGGCCATGATTGTATATCCCTTCAATTGGTAGAATATACATTTAAAATGTCTTTTTATCTTTGTTCACAGGTCATCAGTTGGCCCCAATTATGCACGCAACAGGGCCATCTACTATAACATAATTGGGATCATATTCCTTGCCCTTGGGATTGGTGTCACAGTCGGAACATATGAGGCTGCTAAACAACAAGGGGGCATATATGTAGCATGGATTGGTAAGTCTTCAAAAAGGGGGCATATATGTAGCATGGATTGATAAGTCTTCAAAAAGGGGGCATATATGTAGCATGGATTGGTAAGTCTTCAAAAAGGGGGCATATATGTAGCATGGATTGATACGTCTTCAAAAAGGGGGCATATATGTAGCATGGATTGGTAAGTCTTCAAAAAGGGGCATATATGTAGCATGGATTGATAAGTCTTCAAAAAGGGGGCATATATGTAGCATGGATTGGTAAGTCTTCAAAAAGGGGGCATATATGTAGCATGGATTGGTAAGTCTTCAAAAAGGAGGCATATATGTAGCATGGATTGATAAGTCTTCAAAAAGGGAGCATATATGTAGCATGGATTGGTAAGTCTTCAACAAGGGGGCATATATGTAACATGGATTGGTAACTCTTCAACAAGGGGGCATATATGTAGCATGGATTGGTAAGTCTTCAACAAGGGGGCATATATGTAGCATGGGTTGGTAAGTCTTCAACAAGGGGGCATATATGTAGCATGGATTGGTAAGTCTTCAACAAGGGGGCATATATGTAGCATGGATTGGTAAGTTTTCAACAAGGGGGCATATATGTAGCAATGGATTGGTAAGTCTTCAAAAAGGGGGCATATATGTAGCATGGATTGATATGTCTTCAAAAAGGGGGCATATATGTAGCATGGATTGGTAAGTTTGGTAGGATGAATGAATGAGTGAAGGGTGATAATTTGGATCACCAGTAATTTCTTGAAATTAACCAATCTCTTAAATGAATCGGGCAATCTGGAACTTGACCTGTTTAAATCTCCATGGTTTCTTGATCATGACTAAAATATTTATTTTTTGTTTTTCAGGAGCATTCGTAATTGGAATAGTCATGATGATCAGAGGCATTTATTTTGCTTGCATGAAAGTCAGCACAGTTGAGGGACCTGCATAAACATTGATGGAGTAGTCACACCTGCTGGGTATGGCTTGCCAAGCCAGAAAGGATTATTACTGGAATACATTGATTGAGTACTCAATCCTGTTTGGGTATGGCTTGCCAATCCAGCAATTAATTGAAGAAGAGACGAATCTTGATATTTTCAGTAATATCTTCAAAAGTTATTCGAAGCAAATTTTTGTATTCTTAGCATTTAGCAGGAAATAACCAAAGTGATGATAAAAGATGTAAATGGTCCAAACATTAGAAAGAGAAAGGAATACATGTATTCACTTCAACTGAGATGGATTTGACATTGTTAAATTTAGTTTATTTTTCTTGTATAGAAATAACACCAGCTGGCTGATGAATCTTAATAAATAATTTCTGACAGGAACAAAAACAGCATGAAACGAATGTGAATACATATGTGAATGACAAATTATGTTTTCTGAACACTAAAAAATTGATAACATGGATGTGGTTTGAATGGGTAACAAATCAATTTTTGATATTATTCAACAGTTTAGTGAATTAAACAATTTTGAGAACATTTCCCAAAAATGGTCAGAAAAATTGGATTGTTGGTCCTCAAGGTGTGAATATTTAAAGATGAGTACTTGAGCATGTAATTTTTACTGTAAAGTACAGGCACCTATTATCTACCAAAAATGAACCTCACAACATTTAGATTTAATTTCATATTCTTTAATTAATATGGAATTCATTATACATGTTTTCATATTGTGATGGTGTGTTCAAAAGTACAATAATTGTATGCAAAACTTGTTCTAAAAGAAATAATCAAAGTGGTCCAGAATGTAGAAGTTGAAACTATGTGTATATGATCATTACATGGGGTTTAATGTAAATAGGAAGTGAAATCAATGCATTTTTAATACAGTGTAGCAGGACTAGGATTTCCAATAAAATTTTGTTTAAGTCAAAATATATTTGCCGAGTTATGAATACAACTATTCATACAATTCATTTGATCATTTTAAATGAAACATGGATGATACGTCATATGGGATCAGGTTTTCATGAATAAATCAAATTTATTTTTCAGTCAATGTCAATTTAGATGTAATTTATTACAGTTTATTTCAGTTACTTTGTAAATGTCATAAATGTGAAATGAAATAAATTTTATTTTTTGACTTTTCTAGACACAAAATACAAAATTGCAAAATCCCTGCTGTACTGTTACAAATATTTACAGTACGTGAATGTATGAGGAGATAATACTTTAAAATTCTTGTGTATAGATATAAATGAACATATTGTAAATAGTCAATTATTTTTTCAAAATATATATCAATCGTTGCTTATAAATACCTATGAACAGAACATAATATGCACTAATATTTTAATTGATAAATTAAGGTACTGTGTACAGTATAAAAAGCCTATCCAAAAAGTCAAAATTTCGATATTATATGTATCTCATCAGACATGTTAGGTTGTAAATGACATCATTGGAAAGAGTTTTGCTTTGTTCAAATCAATTTCTGGACTTATTGTTAAGCATTTTGGATATATGACTGGTTTATGTAAAATACATTCTACTTTTGTTCTATGTATGTTTCTTTCTTAGAACATTCTCAACCCAATGTGCAATAATATCAGGGTCGCTCATGCTTAGAAATGAATTATGTTAATACTTGTATTAAATTACTGTTAGCACTATTTATTTCTCAAAGTTTTAGATAAGAACGCTTGGTATAACGTAACATATAATTCTGTGTATACACAAATGCATAACGGTGTGCTAGAATTGTGGGGTGCAAAGCCGCAATTTAAAACCTAATTTCATGTAGTTTGAAATATGTGGAAGAATATCTTAAACGTTTCATTAATTTACTATAGCCTGATTTTACTGGTTGCTATTGCTTTGTATCATTATTATATTGAATTGGAATAAACAGATGTAATATAACAGAAAATAATAGTTATGATTTGAATTTTAACCACACAGTTGGGTGAGACCATGTGATGCCATAGTTAATATCACATTAACTATATAATATTAGAACTATTGACTCCTGAAGTTGGGTGAGACCATGTGATGCCATAGTTAATATCACATTAACTATATAATACTAGGACTATTGACTCATTAAGAAGCCAGTTCAGCTAAATGCCTCCAGGTCCATAGCCAGGATTTGCCAAGGAGGTTCACTTGGAAAATTCCAGGGGGGTTCACTTTTGACAATCTTGGTCCAAAAATGCTCGAACCCAACGAACCCCCCTGGCTATGGGCCTGGCCTCCCTCTCCCTAATTAATTAACCATTAGTGCAGAATGCTACCCTCTCAATATGTGAAATGAAGCAACTCTATTAGTGAAAAAACTTATAAAGGGGAATGCTTTATTTCTACCATAAGCTTGTTGATGTTGATTGTAACTTTTGAATCACTGAAGCAAAATATGTTGTATTTACACAAGGTTTACTATACTAATGTCTCGATCCATGCCTATGTATGACTGATCAGTCAGTGTAATAATTGTGACCTAATTTTAAATGAGACAAGGCATTAACAAGCAAGATGCCACCACCTGTCATTTGTTACAGGGATACTATAATAGAAATAAAGGGAGACTATGACAGTATGTCCCCATTTAGTACAATTTCAGTTCTCTTTTTTGGGTCACCCTATATAAACCAAACAAGCATTTGATTTTAGTATAAATGCAGTTTATTTTCAGCATTGTTAACAAAACATAACAAAATACTGTACATATCCTACATTAGAGTCATGATGATTGCTAGTGTATTAGATGTAATGTAATGAACAAACATATATTGATACATCTCTGTGTATCTGGGCTTTTCCTAGCACTTTTTATGAAAAACATTTATAATCAAACTTAATGCACACTGATATTGAATTCAATATTATTGCAATAATATTAATAATATATGCATGTACTATATTGCATCATGTGCTACATTGCATACAATAGTACTGATATATACAGTGATATTGCATGTACTATATTGCATACAATAGTACTGGTATATACAGTGATATTGCATGTACTATATTGCATACAATAGTACTGATATATATACAGTGATATTGCATGTGCTACATTGCATACAATAGTACTGGTATATACAGTGATATTGCATGTACTATATTGCATACAATAGTACTGGTATATACAGTGATATTGCATGTACTATATTGCATACAATAGTACTGATATATACAGTGATATTGCAAGTAGATGTACATACAGTAGTACTGATATATACAGTGATATTGCAAGTACATGTACAATGGTACATACAGTTAGTACTGATATATACAGTGATATTGCAAGTACATGTACATACAGTAGTACTGAACTGAACACTAATATTGCATATTATAATATGTGTACAGTTAAGTGCTGATATATACACTGTTCACTTATACTGCATACAAACTAACATCGCATATACTGTAGTTCTGACATACACCCTAAAAGTGACATACAGTAGAACCTGTATAAGTGGAACACCCTTGGGACCACAAAAAAGTGTGTGAAATCTCACTTGGGAGGTGTTTCACTTATATAAGTTCTTAATATGGAGTAGAGAGACCATGGGACTTTAAAAACATTTCCAGTTGTGAGGTGTTCCACTTAGAGAGGTGTTCCACTTGGCAGGTTCTACTGTGCATTGTATACATCCGGTAAAAATATTGCATACTATAGTACTGAAATAACAAAATCACAGAACAAACAAATAAATGAAACCCTGCACCTTTTTGACGTTGGATTACACAACTATACACCATATTCAAAATCTTCAATCCATCGCCCAAAATGCACAATTTTTCTTCAATCAAACAACCTATTTATGGAATACTTACCCAATTATGACCTTAACTCAATACGGACATGCTGTACATATGATACATGTACTCTGGTACATATAGTAAATGTTAACTCAACTAAAGCACTGTTACAGTAAAACCTATTTGAAAGAACATCTCTTTGTAAGGAACACAGGACAACAAAGAACAATTTTGGAAGTCAGCGCATATACAAAGGTTTTACTGTATATGTTACAAAAATATTATTGAGGCTGATCATTCAAAAACGTTCATGGTCAGTCTAGTCCTTTTCAGGAAAACTTAACCATTCCCCTGATTACATATAATAAGGACCTTTGGTATTTCATAATAAACACAGGTAAAACTTCATGTTAATTAGAGTTCATAGATGTGTTAGATTTACAATTGCAAATCAGAAGGATGCTCTCTACTAACTTCTGACTATACACTACAAATACATATAGTTTTTCTGTTTCAAGGGATGTGATGTTTTCTTTTATCATTCTATAATATTCTTTTATTTTTCATTAAGAGACTTAACCTTTTCTATTGTGGCAATATTGTGGACCCAAATTGTCATATACAGGGCGACACTAAAATGGCAATATTGTAGACAGAAAATGTAATATAAAGGGTGACACTGAAATGCAACTCTCTAATTTTGGTATAATATCCACAATTAATTGCTCCTCGAATTAACCTGTGTAGATAGAAGACTAGGCTTAAAAATAACAAAAAAATTCCCTTTTCTGTAAAGTAAAATCAGGCTGAGTGAAACACCTTATTTGGTAACTTAGAAAGTGATCCACTTTGAAGGTGTTCTACCTTTAGAACTTACATTAAGTAAATGGGGAGTAGAACCTTTAAGTGGTCTACTTAAGAAGGTGTTCTACTTAACAAGTTTAACAGTGTACGTCAGTTATCCATATCATAACTAATGACTAGACCTAGATAACCTCACAACCAAATTATTTAGATATATCACCAAAATAACACAAGTCTCCTTATCAAATGAAATCAAATATTGGTAAAAAGTATGATATGATAAACAAATGAAGTCTAGCTTTCAACATATACAAATATATGTATATGTATACAAAGTCATTGTAAACACAACTCTTAATGCACCTTCACTTTTAATAATACTGATTTAATAGCACCACTAAATTAAGCTCAGATTTTATTTTGATTATCTGTATTAAGCTTAAATGCAAGCCCACATGTTACTGTTCAAACCCAGGACCACAAAGCCAGGCTTGTTTGCAAGACATCATGTTCAAGCTTAAATGCAAAAGCACATGTCAACAGTGTAGGCCCTAGAGGCCGGTCTGCTGGTCATTACCAGGTTACTTTTGATACGGACCAGTTGATTTTTTCACTAGGTACCTGTATAGGAAAATAACATTGCAACTGGTCCGTACTGCCATTTTGATCAGCAGGTTCCAGATCCTTAGGGCCTACACTGCATGTCAATGTTGATAAACTGTTCCACATGTTAAAGCTTATTGTTTATAGTAAGTGTGCAACCATGAAAATGCTGGCTTGGATCACTGGTTTTTATAGTAACTGCCAAAAGGCTGAGTATACTGACTGGTAGGAACTGGAAATGACTGGTTGTATTGGAGGGAAATGTTGGTGCCTGAATTGACTGAGCTTGTCACTGGTAGCCCTGGCGTAAATTGGTTAAAGGATTGATTTGATTGCACTGGTTGTGCCATTGCATACATTGGCTGACTTGGTTGTACCATGTTAAGCATTGGTTGTGCTGAAAATGGATGTCGTATCATGGATTGCGCTGGAAGCATTGGGTGTCTCATATATTGTGCTGGATGCATCATTGGTTGTGCCATAGATTGTGTCGATTGTGTTATTGGAAGTAATGGTTGTGCTACATGGTGAAACATATGAGAATTCATGGATTGAGGGACCCCATGAATAGCTGATGGATAACTGAACATTGTATGTTGGCCAGCAACCATTGGATAACTGGTGTGACCAGTCCCTGTAGCACCATATATGGAAGTATTTTGAATGTGTTCGTAGTTAACCCTTCCATGAGATTGATCCCTAAATTCCTGCGTATTGTCAGGAAATTCACCACCGATGTTATTATTCACAGATGTCAATTCGGGAACTTTGCTTGTTGTTGAAAGCCTTGGAGGAAGCAATCTTTGGATACAGGATAAAGGGCCTTGGTTTGGTTGAGATATCTCAGTCTTGGTAAAAGTTTTCGAAGTTTTAGTGAGAGTGACCATATTTCCAAAAGATGGCTCTCCGAACTTATGGTCAGTTAAAGATGGCGCTCTTGCCACAGATGAGTATGAGATTACCTGGAAATACATTCAAAATGGAATTCAACTATGAAATTACTTCTACATCAAAATACAATTCGTTCATTAGTATATAAAGTTTAATAATTTCTGCAGACAATATTTCACTTTATTTTGTTAAACATTACTCTGAGAGAAATATTGTTTGGTGAAAATTGATGCTCTTCTCTATTTTGTATACTCTTATACTAATCATTACAACCCAATAGTTAGTAGGTTACTAACAATTACAAATGCACCTACTACTATATTTCAAAAGCTACTACTGAGTTTTAAACATTCCAATTCACTATCACTTGAACGTAACAATGGCATTCACCAGGGTGCAATTAATCACAGGACTGGTGATGAAACACTATAAGTTATTGAATGATTTGAAGTGCAATACAGGATATATTCTGCTCGAGAAATTCCATATTGGAACAAGACAAAATTAGGTGCCAATACAGAATATCGAGAGCAGAATATATCTTGTATTGCACTTCAAATAATTCTATAATGTTTTTATCGTGTGATCCTCTGTATTGCTACTGACAATGTCCCCTCCGTACCAATATTTTCTGTAATGCGATGGAGATGATCAATGGGGACAATCTCAGTAGCAATACAGATTGGTACAGCACAAGAACTGACCAATCAGAGGCTATATTTTACAGATCATACGATAAAAGACTGTCTCATATAAATTTACACCCATATTATATAACTGTTAATTCTAGGGAGTAAATGAAATGGACATTTTTTCTTTAGTGAATGGGTAAATAAAAAAGGTTGTTTTGTTAACTAAAGTGTGTTATCGTTTTTTGTACCATTTAAGAAAATGTATTTCAAAAGCAAACCGCAATGGTAATTTGGTAGTCTTTACTGAATGAGAGTAGTGAAAATTAAGAGGAGCAAAACTACATGCAACCATCACCTAAACACAAAACATGATCTCCTTTGCCACCTTGTTTACTCCTTTCTTTCACCAATTAATACCCAAGGGTTGTTCAAAAAGTCTTGTAACGGTGTAATGTATGTTCTAATCAGTTAAAACAACCCATAATACAGTAAAATTGATGTTATTTTTTACTATATGGATTATCAGTGGGCTGAAAAACTGTCTGAATTTTTGAATTGTTCATGTAATAGATACTATAACAGGCTTTGCAAAAGAACTTATTCATATAATCATTTTGTTGCCTTTGTTTTAAAATTAACGATTTTTAAATTGATTGATGATAAAAATCAAATGTACAGGGTGGGCCAAAAATATAATCTTCATTTTAGTACGGTACAATCAGAAAGGTAACCATTTTTGACCCAACCTGTATTAGATAGTCTCTCATAAGCCACCATGTCCAGGAGAGTGCTTTAACATAAACTTTGGGTAAATCTGCATAAGCGAAAATTTCATAAATAAAATCAAAAAAATCATATTAACAGTTTTCCCGCTTGTGCAGTGCTATCTCATACTAACAACAATAAATCTAAATGCTAAAACATGGAACAAAATATTTTAATATACATAAGAGATAATTATTCTACTCAATCAAAGGTAGAGTCGAAAATTCGAGTAATTTTAACAAACAGGGTAGACCAAAAATTGTCCAATTTTTCAACTTGTGGTGTGGTGTAAATATTTAAAAGCTTATGAATTTTCAACTAAACAACAGCAACGGCAAAGCGTAACAAATCCCATCCCATGGCATTTTTACAAACGAAGTGTATGGCAAAAATCTTAAAATTACACACTTAAAAATGGCTACCATTTTCAACATGGTTGTTACTAGCCAAATTGTCATCAGAAAAAATCGTCCAATTTTCAACTTGTGGTGTCATGTAAACATTTAAAAGCTTATGAATTTTCAACTTAACAACAGCAACGCCAAAGCGTTACAAATCCCATCGAACAGCCATGAAAAATGACTGTCATTAGACAGTGTGCCATATTTATAGTATTCACATATCAAGTTTGAACAAAATCTTCACTTCTTCTTGAGTTATAGTAAAAAAACGTAAAAATGGCGGCCATACTATCCAAATTGTCATTAGACAGTGGGCCATGCTTACAGTGTTCAAATATCAAATATGAACAAAATTGCTCTACCACTTTTTGGGTTATAGTAAAATGTAAATTAACACTTACAAAAATGGTGGCCATTTTGAAAAATGGCCGCCTCTTACCCAAAGTGTCTACATACTACACAAATTGTCATTAGATCTTGTGCCATGGTTATAGTATTCACATAACAAATATGAACAAGATCGCTCCATTACTTTTCAAGTAACATAAGTAACATCTAAATTACTGTCAGATCGGCACTAAAATGGCTGCCATTTTGAAACAAGCTTCCATTTTGAAAATGGGCTTTTAAGCAGAGCTTCTACTTCCATAGGGTATATGTGTACAAAATATGAACAAATCCGGGCCAACAATATTTGAACGTACATATGGACAGATAGAGAGAGGCATTCCCTATATCCCTCCAAACTTAGTTCGATGGGATAATAAATAGCCATACCAAGAAATATATGAGCTAAAAGGTTCTGAAAATTTAACTAAATCATAATGAGTGAAAAAGTTTCTCTGATTCTACCTTTAATTAATCTCTGTGCTTAAATACTAAATAATTGTGCCCATGCTAAATACTAAATAAATTATTATGAGAATAAAAATTGGTTAAAATTGATGACCAGATCACCAGTGTTACATTTAAAGCTATATATTACCTACAATTTGCAGTACTGCTATGAGGTCTGCAAAGTAGAAAAAGGATAGCATATCAAGGGTTTCTTAAACAATAAAGTAAAACATGTTAAATCTGAATGCTACTGGGATCAGCCAAAAGTGTTTTGACTGGCAGGTGTTCATAGTTTGAGGTTATTAACAATTCTAAACTATGGTAGATTAAAATATTGGGAAAAGTGTATAGAGATTGATACGTGTTTTGAGATACAAGTTTTACTGTATTAATTTAAGATAAAATAATTTGAGCATTTAGTCTTTGTGTAGTTTAAATTGTTTCATTTTGATTAAATTGACATTGAAAAATAAACTTTTCTATGTTTAATTTCAAGGCATTGCTATTTTCCCATTGAAATCTTAGGCAAGTCAAACCAAAATGCTTTATCGATAATTCAAATGCAACCTAAAATCATACACTAAAAATGTATCTGAAATATCCCAAATTGTTGCACAAAAAGTAAAAAAAAAAAAAAAAGTTCTACTAAAAGAACAAACTTCCAAAATGTTACAATAAAAATTACACAAGGCATTAAAATGCAAAATGTCAGCACCTGTAATTTGTTACAGATCCCAAACGACGAATGCCAAACACCAACCATCGAATGTCTCAAACACTAACTGCCAAACACCATCCACAGAAAAGCTTGAGACTATAACATTATGTCACATTTTCTGGTGGTGACATAAAAATCCTAAAATGTACTTTTTTAAGCAATCTAAAATTGTTAAACCATATTAACATATTATGTTAAAACACTTACTCAAAAAAAGATAGCAGAATAGACAAAATCGCTACATACACATATCATATTGCATGACAACAAAGTATTTCCTTCAAACTGTTCATATGTGGCCACATATTACATTTTATTAACCAAATTTTGCTTAATGAAATTTCTAATAAATATATACCCTCATATGCACAAACGATATCAGTCAGATTGTATCTTTGATAGTTTAAATATTTTGAGTAACTTTGTTGTCTTAAGGAGCCTATTCACCAAAAAAGAGAAAAATGTAAATGTCCATGTAAGAAAAAATCCTTGTGTTATTATATTTTTAGGGCCTTTTCAAATGTTACCCTTCGCACTTTAACCAAATGTATCAACCAGACATTTTCTTATATTTTCCAGAATAATTTTGATCAGACCCATGAAGATTTTTCAGTTAAACTTTAAGACTAGACCAAAATACCAACATTTCGAAGGTAAACCCTGTATCACCATCCAACGTACCTGAGATGTATCATTGTTAATCTCATCCTCCTCTTCAGGCATTTCTTTACATCCTTCAGTGTTGTTATTCTCAGATGGTTTATCAATGGCATCTTTAGTTCCAGACAGGTTGTTATTTTCAGCAAGTACAAATGGTGATGGGGATCTGGATTTGTCAGAAGTTAATGTATCACCACTGATCATATTTATCTCTGACACTAAACTAGCCAATGTTTCAGATTCAACTGAACTTGTTTTGGCATTGTTGTTATAAGATAAATCATGGAATTTTGGACTAGTTGCAGAATCTTGCACTTCTGAACTGCAATCTTGGATTTTTGGACTAGTTGCAGAATCTTGCACTTCTGAACTGCAATCTTGGATTTTTGGACTAGTTGCAGAATCTTGCACTTCTGAACTGCAATCTTGGATTTTTGCACTAGTTGCAGAATCTTGCACTTCTGAACAGCATTCTTGAGTTTTTTGACTAGTTGAAGATTCTGGTATGTCTTCGTTAGGCATAGATTCTGGAATTGAGTTTTTCTTTTCCTTGAAAGTGTCACTTGACCAAGTGTAATTATATTTTTCGAAAGCATCGTGTGAAGCAGGCTCACTGGTTGTGGAATACTCAGGGGTAGATTTTGAGCGAGATAGTTTGCGTTTTTTTTGCTGATTCTTGGAGTTCTGTAGAAAGTTTTCGCAGATTTGGATGGTGAGGCTGAAACATGAAAGTACAATAGCAGAAATATGCAGCATTATATTATATCATTTTTTCCTATGGCATAATTTCATATCAATCAGTAATTGCATTAAATTATAAGTGAACCAAAATCAATATAAAACATCTTTTGCAGGCAATGAATCTGAAATGTACCCAATTTTCAGGGAATTATTTGATCCCATCAAGAAACTATGTATTAACCACAGACTTGGACAGTTAACATGTACTTGTGTGAATATAAAAGAAATAGTTTTAGAAAGTTGGCAATATCATAAGACTAGTCCAAGACAGGCAGAACAAAAAACTACCTGGTGGAAATTACGGGAATTGTACTTTGATTTATTCCCTGAATTTGTAGTCTTTGAAGTTATTAATAAGTACTTTGATAATGCAAGTATGATCCAAGTGTCTTGTTATTGTTTTATGTAATAAATTGTTCATATTTTGTATGTGAATAACCCACCTCTTTGAGACATATTTCTGGCAGTGTTCTTACAAGATACATCCATTCATGTGGCATAGTATGTGAATAACCTACCTCTTTGAGACATATTTCTGGCAGTGTTCTTACAAGATACATCCATTCATGTGGCATTGTATGTGAATAATCTACCTCTTTGAGACATATTTCTGGCAGTGTTCTTACAAGATACATCCATTCATGAGACATTGTATGTGAATAACCTACCTCTTTGAGACATATTTCTGGCAGTGTTCTTACAAGATACATCCATTCATGTGGCATTGTATGTGAATAACCTACCTGTTTGAGACATATTTCTGGCAGTGTTCTTACAAGATACATCCATTCATGTGGCATTGTATGTGAATAACCTACCTGTTTGAGACATATTTCTGGCAGTGTTCTTACAAGATACATCCATTCATGTGGCATTGTATGTGAATAACCTACCTGTTTGAGACATATTTCTGGCAGTGTTCTTACAAGATACATCCATTCATGTGGCATTGTATGTGAATAACCTACCTCTTTGAGACATATTTCTGGCAGTGTTCTTACAAGATACATCCATTCATGTGGCATAGTATGTGAATAACCTACCTCTTTGAGACATATTTCTGGCAGTGTTCTTACAAGATACATCCATACATATGGCATTGTATGTGAATAACCTACCTCTTTGAGACATATTTCTGGCAGTGTTCTTACAAGATACATCCATACATATGGCATTGTATGTGAATAACCTACCTCTTTGAGACATATTTCTGGCAGTGTTCTTACAAGATACATCCATTCATGTGGCATTGAGAGACCAACTAGAGACGTCATCCCACGGAAGAGTTCAGTTCTGTTATAGCGATACTTGGGATGTGTTGGAGCTGTGGAAGGAAAAATGCAATACACATTTGAATCATTGTAATTATCTTGACACACATGAATCAGTTATAATAGTACATGTACAAGTATAAAGAAAACATAAGAGGTTCAAGTTGTTGAGCAATTCAGAAAGTTGGTATTTACTGTACAAAGTATAATTATGCTCACTTTAAGATGAGAAATTACACTTTTGTGAGGGGCAAAATACACATTCGAACATGACTGTATTCACGCATTCTATAAACTGTAAACAAAGTCAACACTTACCCAGGGTATATTCCATAGAATACCCCTAGTAATACGTGTAATGTGTGACGTCAAAACAGGGGGGCCGTAGTAATGGCGGACCATAATGAATATTCGAAACATTTTGTTAAGTTTATATGTTCGAATCATAATATAGACCTCAGAGCAGGGGAAATATTTTCAAATACACCCCTTAGGGCTAGGCACAAACGCTTTCGAACCCCTCACTCCCTTCGGTTGTTCCGAGTACGGAAAATGTTTGTGCCTAGCCCTGCGGGGTGTATTCGAAAATATTTCCCCTGCTCTTCAGTCTATATTTCTTAAATACTGCATGAAACAACAGAAATCTCAAACTCACTTTGTTTCAAAAGCTGCTTAGCATGGAACCTGGAACTGGTTTCCCTGAACAGATGTCTCCTGTGTGTAGCCGTGTTGGGCCCTACTGGCATCGTTTCTTCTACACTATCGAATAAATCATCAGTCTGCAAGGCCCCTAAGGGTTGCCTTAGAAACGCAACAGCATTCCCTCTACCAGGGTGGGAACCAGACCCAGCCCTAAATTCTAAAAGCAACGAACCAAAATACCATTCAGACATAATACAGGGGTAACAGGTATGTTTGAAATGGAAAATAGAATCAACTAACAGCATTAACAGCATTTCTAATTTTTAAATGGGCTTACAAGCCTTTTGCATATTAGACATAGGGCTGAGGAAAACCATATCAGAATTGACTTTGGTTCATTGGATGTCATCCCTAACTAGACTTATCATAAAGATTCTTAATTGTGTAAAAGGCAAGAATATCTGGTAGACAAAAAGAGTGAAGTAGGTATGATTATCATGACCTCAAAAAAGAATAAACCAGATGATTATTATTACACTTCTCTAAAACTTGTCATGCCCTTTATTACCTCTGTTTGGGGGTCTCCATACAGGCCCCTTAGAAGCACTAGCAGCTTCCCCAAATGAGCCATCTTCACTTGTACTTGAACTGAACATTCCCTGGTCCATTGTTTCATTTCTTCTCCAGCTAGATGAACTTGTCTCTTGGTGAGAGAGTGATCTCTTGAACAGCCTGGGTGGATCCCTTTCATGGAACAGCCGGGAGGAATCCCTTTCATGGAAGAGCCTTGGTGGGTCCCCTGATGCATATTGATCCACGGGTGGAGTTTTAACAGCGCCTTTACGCCAGTTTAAGATGTTTCCTTTTTCCAATTTGCTTCTTTCATTGTCAAACTCAAGTTTACGAGACATTGACACCTGAACCGGACTTGTTTTCTCAGCAAATGGGTTCGTTTCCAACGTTTCATTGTCATCTTGTCCTTGGTTTAATTTTCTACGAACATTTTCAAAAGCCTCAATCAGAGTATCGTCATCAAGTGAGAGTTGTCTTATTGTTGTTTCTAACTTCTGCATTTCTGCAGCGATTGTCTCCTTGCTTTGTCCTTTGACCTGTTCATCTTCAGCTAACTGTTCATTTGGAGCTTTAACTGAGGATTCTGGTCTTTTCGGACTCCTGTGGATTATCCTCAAAGGAGCCTCCTTTGGTGGTGTATCGGCTAATGGTCTAGCTGGACTGCTCGGGGAAGTCATGCTATTATTAGATTCTCTCATTTTATCACTGAGAATAGTCTCTTGAGCATTTTGACGAGTGTTCTCTGACTCTATATTAAGTTTCCTGGCTTGCCTACTCTTTAAGCCTCTTATAGGTTTCTCCTCTGGGAACATATCCCTGGCATCACTACTCGGCATATCCTGGGAAAGTGTTGTTGGGGAAGTGTTTATGATTCCCGATGATTTATTAATGGGTTTTGTTGCCTTATCATCACCCTTTGTGCCAAGGCCATTGTAAGGGGCTGCCTGATTGATAGCAAAGGAGGTGACACCGTAATGCTTTTGGCCAAACTTAAATATCTCACCTGAGTCGACATCTTCCCAGTCCTGTAAAGTACCCATGAGTATAATCAATTATTATCTCATTGTCATGTTTCTCATGCTGTGATTGGTTAACGCAGGTCACATGACATATAATATTCTGTGAAATATACCACATTGCATTAATACCATTGTAATAATTAATATCGACAGAATCACATTTCATTACAATTTCCTTCTACTTAATATAGATTCACAAATGCTTCAACAAGACAAAATGTCAATTGGTGACTTGGTATAGATGTAATAACAAAAGGTTATGAAACTGTGATAAGCTGTTAAGTTGTTAGAGAATCCAGTCACATCTCAAACACTGGCTATAACAAAATATCATCAATTCCAAGAGGTGACATAAAAATCATATAAGTAATAACAGTGGGTGATAATGATAATAGGTCACCCATATGAGCTAATTAATGTAACTTACCAAATCATCTTCAGATCTTTTCAAATTTGTTGAAGGACTCACAACAAGAGGTACTTTGCTGCTTTCTGATTGGCTACAAATTGCTGGACATGACACCTGTCTACTAATTCCTGGAGGCGGAGCTTCTTTTTTGAGTGACATCATACCCCTCCCTCTGCCCCTACCTCTGGGAGTCATTGGAACATCAGACTTGCTTTGACTAGTTGCCTAAGTTGACAAAAATAAGAACATATTTGTAGGAGTGTATATAGGGGATGTTAACATATGTCAAAAACATTTAAGATTAAGATGCCCCTTTAAAGGGTATCCTCCAAAATTTTCAATGTTGACCCATAGATGACCCTCTGAAATGCATGATTGACATATCTAATTGTCTAATCCAGTAAATCATGCTACATACTCATTCTGATAGTATTTTTAAACATTAAGGGCAAAATAGGTGACATCGTAAATAGCCAGCAAATCACCGAAAGGAATCAGGATTTGCCGAAGTCTCTTCAAATCCTGCGAATCGAACAATACTGTAACAAATTCTAATTAAGCAATGCAGTTTATGAAATGTATTCTTACTTGAGTATATTTGATGACTGCATTGGGATGTTGCATTTGAATTCCTCCCTGACTTTCATAATTTCTACTTGCATGGCCATGGTCCCTGTCTGTGTGTGGACTGTCTGACTCAGACAGAGTATAACTTGATGCCGTAGAAAGATGACTAGATGTGGAAACAACTCTGCTCCTGGGAATCTGCAATGGGCATGCAGAACATAGTTAAACAATAAAGAAGTTTTCATATCTTTATAGTAACGTAGTAACCTGGCATGATATTAACTTTTTGCAACAAGGAGGATTGGAAGCCAGGGTTCCAACTCGATATTCTTTAATCTCCACGCATGCGTCATTTGCTATTCGTGTCTGTATAATTTGTACGACTGCATGGAGAATGACCCGATACTCTCCAACAAAGCTATCGCTAGGTGATTGTTTTGCAGAATATCGGTGTTGCATTCTGGGAGCCAATCCTCCTTGTTTTGCAATAAATATTGATCCATCCATTGTTGTTGTCATGGAAATTGTGACATCATAGTTAAGAACAATAATCCGATGACTTCATGAATTAAAAATGCTAACTGAAACGCTCCCTAGATTAATATCCACATGGCTCCAAATGTACAATCAGTGAAAATCTAGCTGTACATAATTGTAGCTGTACATAATACAAGGCAATAGCTGGGATTCTCATTTTTTCCTTCAGATAACAAAAATTGGAGATATAGGTTTGCGTCTTGAAAGGATTGTTTCCAAGAATCAACACTCTATTCTTGCTGCCATTTAAATTCAAATATACTATCAGAAATGAAGGAGTCGATGTTGGATCAACTTACCCGACTAGGTTCTGCGTTTAAAGCTATACATTCTTCAATCATATCAACTGCAATACTATAATAAAAAAAAACACCATACAGTAAAACCCTAAAAGTAAAACAACTTTGCAAGTGAAATACAATTGCGTAGATTCTTTAATTTATGAAAGCTATTCCATTTACACAGGTTTTACTCAGAATGCTTGAAATGGCCCGTCTTGTAGTCATTATTTATGGTAACTGGACAACTCGGACCCAGGACAACTCGGACCCAGGACAACTCGGACCCTGGACAACTCGGACCCAAGACATCTCGGACCCAAGACAACTCGGACCCAAGACAACTCGGACCACTTTTTGAAATGATGATATTAACATTATAATATGGGGTTTTAAATTTTTGTTTTATATTTAGATGACATATATTATGTACTGTGCATTCATTTATTGTGTTAATTTGATGAAACTGTTTTAAATCAACTTATTATTTGATGAAAATATTGAAGCTAAAGACCCAAGACAACTCGGACCACTTTTTGAGATTATGATTTTTATCATGATATGTTTTTTATTTTTTTATTTTATGTTTAGTATGACATATTATATATATTTTGAATTCAAATATTGTGTTAATTTGATGTAATTGTTTAAAATTAACTTAATTGATGTGAATTAAGAAGAAAATATTAAAGCTAACGACCCAAGACAACTCAGACCACTTTTTGAGATTATGATTTTTATCATAATATGTTTTGTTTTTTATTTTATGTTTAGTATGACATAAATATATATTGTGAATTCAATTCAATTGTTTTAAATCAACTTAATTAATGAGTGAAAATATTGAAGCTAAAGACCCAAGACACCTTGGACCACTTTTTCAAATTATGATTTTTATCATTATTATTATGTTTATTTTATGTTTAGTATGACATATATACATATTGTGAATTCAAATATTGTGTTAATTTGATGCAATTGTTTTAAATCAACTTAATATTTTGTAGAGTTTTCATGTTCGGATCGTAATATCAGATCAGGTGTTATATCGACGAATAAACCCTTTAGGGTTAGGCACAAAAGCTTTCGGAACCCTCACTCCCTTCGGCCATTTTGGGTACAGAACGCATTCATGCCTAGCCCTGCGAACTGATGTTCAGTCTATATTTCTTAGTTAAATGATAAAAATGAGGATTTACAGAATACAAACACATTCCTCAATCTTTCAGTGAGATTAAGATTAAAATTAACAAAAAAACTTTAGGATTAACAGAATACAACTCTTTCATTGATCTCAATATGGCATCAATCTTTCAGTGGGATAAGGATTGAATGATCAAAAAATTTAGGATTTACAGAATTTAAACTTTCCATTGATCTCTATGTGACATAGGTCTTTCAGTGAGATTAATAATATGACTTCACAGTGGTGAGTGTAAATGAGATTAGGATTAAAATTATTATTGTTTTAATTCCTTAGTGATTTTCCATATGAGTTGGTATTAACTATATGAAAAGACTCATTCACACCTCTATATAACAAGCTGTATTCTCAACTCTCGTCAAATAAGTTAATTGAAACACCTTGTTCATCTTTATATGTAAACACAAAATATTAATTCACAATATATCTAAACCGTGTCATGCTAAACATTTACAAATAATCCCATATTATGAAAACAAAAAAGTACCTAACAAAAACTAACATTTCAGAAAGTGGTCCGAGTTGTCTTGGGTTTATAGCTTCAGTAGCTTCTACTTAATCTTTATCAAATAAGTCAAATTAAAACATTTTAATCAAATTAGTACAAAATATGTATTCACAATTTATAATATATTTAATAAGCATAAAACAAAGACTAAAAAACCCTAAACAATGATAAAAATCGTTATTTTAAAAAGTGGTCTGAGTTGTCTTGGGTCCGAGTTGTCTTGGGTCCGAGATGTCTTGGGTCCGAGATGTCTTGGGTCCGAGATGTCTTGGGTCCGAGTTGTCCAGGGTCCGACTTGTCCTGGGTCCGAGTTGTCCGGAAACCATTATTTATATAGTGTGTATTTTTTCAATTCAACCAATCAGCTTTTAAATGCTTATTCCTGAATCTTATTCATCATTCTAACAAGGGGCAAAGTTAAATAAATATTCAAATATACTTCACATGCCACAAAATGTGTTGTTTTTAATTTCCAAAAATTAGTGATTGACAAAGATGGATGTTTAAATGCAAAATTGGATATAAAAAGATAGTTGTCGTGATTTTATTTGTGACAGAAAGATGTGTCAACCTGGGTATTCCAGGCCAAGCAACTCACCCAACTGCCTCAATTGATGGTCCATACACTACAACAGGTCGGTACATCAGATCTTTATCTAGAAATACATGAGTGATCAAAGTAAAAGTCAATGATACATGAAATGAGGTATGGCAAGCTTGGTGTTAAATATCATCTTTGAGAAAGTTGATGATATGATGGATAAATGGACATCAATGAATTGAACAAACACATTTTTCATGTATTTGTTTTTATTTGTGACCTAAGTGATGAAGATGTTGTAGCTCTCTTCTAAAATAGTGCAATAATGATTTAAGTTACACATTACATGTATGTTACAGGTGTCTCATACCTTAATTTGCAAACTTTTCTAATAACTACAGGTGTCTCATACCTCATTCTAGCAGTATTTCTAATTTAACAGATTCCAACAGATTTTGGTTGAAATAATACAGCCAATGTCACTCACCATTCTTGTAGACTGAGATGTTAGTTTCTGATTCTTCTTCTATGACTTTTATTCTCTGACCTTGTACACCGAGCACTAGAATAATAGAAACATTGCTATCAGAAAAAAGATATAAAAAAAGTTGTTTCCCTGGAAATTAAAGTTCACAGTTCACAGAGGACAGTTATTCCAACATTTCTCCCTTTTACTGTGTTATACTATAGAGTATGAACAGTAACAAATAGTTAAATATACAATACTGTGGTAAAGATACATGATTCAAAACAATTCATCAAATGTTTGAAAATTTCTTGTTAAATCTCGAAATCTCTTACAAGTAAGACTTGTGGAGTTAGATACAAGTCTTAAATCACTTTTTAATGTACTTGTAATAATACATGGAGATAGCTATACGCCTTTAACCACATATTTAATGTAAATGTCTCATTTTTCAATGTACTTACATCTACCCATGATAATGCTCTTTATTGTTAAGTGGTAAACATACTGTCCGCAGTTGTCCTCCCTGAAACAAATGTAATATTAAGATATGGAATTCACATTACAACACAATGTGGTATTCATATTACAACAATATGGAATTCACATTACAACAATATGGAATTCACATTACAACACAATGTGGAATTCACCTTACAACTATATGGAATTCACATTACAACACAATGTGGAATTCACATTACAACAATATGGAATTCACATTACAACAATATGGAATTCACATTACAACACAATGTGGAATTCACATCATAACAATATGGAATTCACATTACAACATAATGTGAAATTCACATTATAACAATATGAAATTCACATTACAACAATATGGAATTCACATTACAACACAATGTGGAATTCACATTATAACAATATGAAATTCACATTACAACAATATGGAATTCACATTACAACAAAAATTTATTGATGTAAAAAATTAAGTAAAAGATTGAGTGGTCATTTTCAAACATCACATATAATACCACTTGCATGGAAATTAAAGCCGTTGGGCTTCAAACAGACAGAATCCTTCATCTACATGGTGAATCCATGTAAGTACAATCTGTTAATTGTAGATGACCTAGAATTGAAGCATTTTTGGCTTTCATCTGGTCTTTAACACACATGACTTACCACTGGGCTTTATCAGACGATGACTCACCACTGGGCTTTAACAGGTATGAGTTACCACCAGGCTTTAACAGACATGACTTACCACTGGGCTTTAACAGACATGGCTTACCACCAGGCTTTAACAGATGATGACACACCACTGGGCTGTATCACATGATGACTTACCACTGGGCTTTATCAGATGATGACTTACCACTGGGCTTTAACAGACACAACTTACCACTGGGCTTTATCAGATATGTGGTTGATCACAGGGTCTTCCTTCTTCGGAGGAGGTTCATTTTTAACTTTTTGTTGTTGTTGTTGCTTTAGTAAGTCGTGTTGCTGAAAAAGCAAATTAAAAGTAAAGTCTACATATAGATATTTAGAAATATTTTTCAAAGCTGATGCTTCGTAGCGATGTAATGAATTTGTTTGGTATAATGTACCACTTTAGAATAATTCACTTAGTTTATTGTTAATAATAACCTTATTGACAAATCTGTTGAAAAGATCAATTCCAGATGCACATTATTGTTGAGTTTTGGACAAAATAGAATGACATGTGTCATATACTTGTACATTTATGATTATAACATTAAATATAGATAACTTAATACATGTATAAATAAAATATATAAATATATGCAAAAAATAAATGAAGTAATATGCATTTGTGCTTTTTCAAAGTACATGTTTATGTAATTAAATTCAATATTGTTCAGTATAAATGATCAAAGTAAGGCAAAGGCGAAATATATTCCAGTTTCTAAAGAATTACATTCTAACAAATATAAGCACATTATGATAACATGACAGATTAGGACACGAAACTAAATTAGGACAGAAATATGAATGTGCATCTTTTATCAAAGCAACAAAATGTATTAGTCTTGTAGTCTAAGTTAGTAGCTTTTATTCTTTTTTTACAGGTGCTGATATACCAGGTATATATAATTTATCAATCTAGTTATACAGTGGTGAAGTGATATTAAAAAGTTGCTTAAAATCATTGAAAATGCATGCTAATTTGACATTTTTAAACTGGAGTAAGTGCACCAAAATAATAGACAAAGTTACAAATCTCAAAGTGTTACAATACAAGCCTTTGTATAATACAGTCCCATTCTGACCACCATTTTTAAGAAATACAACATAAAATGTTGTATTAAAAACAGTGACCCCCCCCCCTCCCCCGTGCAACTCCCTCTCTCCCCTCTAACCTGCACCCATTCCCTGGGGTTCTTCACGATAGACTGGCAGTACTCTGCAATCCGCGCTACAGCAAGGTTCCTCCCTTTGATTGGTCCTGAGATCTCAAATATCGCTACCTCTGAATCGCCAAGACCTGAAATGAGATAAAGTAAGTTTCTTTCTAATCTTTAAATATACATTAAAGGATACTCAATACTGTATTAAGTGTGTCTGTTTGAACCAGTACATCTCAATATTTCACCGAGAATTTCAAATAAAGTAAAGCTTTTGTGATGGACATCAGCATTTTGTGGTTTGTTGATTGGTTCTTTGAGTTGATTTTGTTGAAATAATTTTTCATTTTTGTTTATCTAGTGTAACCATGGTGACTGCAAATTGACTCATGGGAAGGATTAGAGGAGACTCACCTTCAATTCTTTGAATGGATGTATCTGTAGCCATGGCGATGAACCCACTGACTTTGTGTGTGAACACTGGAAAATTACAATTTACATTTATGAAACTTCGTTATCATAAGTTATCACTAGGCAGCTGGCTATATATTTTATCTTATACCACTCTAAGTCCGATTACAGTCGTATAACATGGGTCTATAACAACGATATACAGTGGAGAGTGGTATATCGTCATCGTATACAACTCCTCCGTATACACTCCAGCGTATACCACTGTAGAAGTGCGTTCTGGGAACTAATGAATACTGACCAAAGAACGAGGTGTATGTTTTGTTACACATGATTTCCTAGAATCAAGTGACGTCATAAATGGTTCCCACATGATTTGCTAGAATCAAGTGACGTCATAAATGGATCGAGATCAACATCGGCATTACTGAGTTGGCTATGGGATATTTTTATGGTTTTTATAATTGTTATGATTGTGTTTGAATCAACTGTAATTGAACTTAGAGTGAATATACAGAATGAACCATTATATAACCTCATATTATATCATACATTTGTATAAATGACCATAGGCCCATTTCTAAAGAATACCATGCATTGTGATTCCTTTTTTATTAGAGGGTTTGCTAAATAGCATTGTAATTTTCTTGAAGTCTCATTTTTAATGACATTTTAGGAGATTTGCATTTTAAACCATTTAATTTTTTTTGTTTGAAAAATCATAAATTTATTTGAGACATATCTCTACTTCTAGGTGATGAAAGAAAATGAAGACTCACCTTTAGAATCACGGATGGATATAGAGAATATTGTTGTATCAGACCTGTAAAAAATAATAATAAATAGAACCATGAGTACTCAGTCTCACACAGTGAAAGCACATTCAAAAGAAATGGTTGAAGACACGTTTTTTTGGTAATAAAAGTGACAGCGATTTAAATTTTTTAAAGATATTTCGCTAAAAATTCTAGACATAACATATTTTTAACGAGTCAATGTTATACTTTTGTATTAATAATGTAAAAGCAATATTTAAACATGAAAAATGGCAGCCATTCTGACATGTTTTGTCTAAATTTGAAGACGTTTAAAATCAAGTGCAATTCCAAGCAAAAAGCTTCTTTTTTTTAATTTTAGGAGATATTTTATCCAAACTTCCAGACACAATTGTTTCCCCATATACTTTAAGCTAACCGTGAAATTTTAAGCAAATCAATACAATAAAAAAAATCAGACTATGTCGAGAAGATATTCGTTAAAAATGCTTATTTACCACATTTTTGTACAGGGTGTCCAGAAAACCAGGACCAAAATAAAGTTGAATATTTCGGTCAATTTTACATATTTTGTCTTGAAATTTCTATATACTTGGTCTGGAGATGAACATCAAAGTAACATATGAGTTTAATTTATCCCTCACTAATCTTTCCCTCACTCTTTTGTGAATGTTCTTTAACCTAAATATTCTTCTGATGAATTAATTTCAATTTAAAAATACTTACTTTTTCTTTTTGTTGTCCTGAGGCTTGAATATGTCTTCTGCATCCATACGCAAACTAGACATCCTCTCAATAGGGGGCGACACTGTACTTGCACGAGAACTCTCGTAACTGGAGCCTGATCCTTCTTCATCGAAATTCCTCATAAGCCATTCATCCCTCCACTTTTTCTTGGAAGGTCCCTTGTATTTATCATTAACAAGAGAAAGTTTACCAATGGACTCTTTTTCATAATAATTATGACCAACATCGTTTTCAGAATTACTTCTACGAAAGGCAATGTTGTCTTCGAGAGAATGAGGTCTTGCAGATTTTGATGGTTTATTCTCGTGAATATTAGTTGTCAACTGGAGATTTTTAAGTTCATATTTCATTTTGGTCAAATCAACTGCAGGCGTATTTTGAACAGGAAACTGCAATGTCTTTTGGTTGTCCTCTTTGGTGACTAACCTTGTGATGTCATGAGCTTCTTTTGGTGTAAACTTATCAGTGTCATGATCAACAACGTCATTTATGAATTCACAATCTGATTTTTTGCCATACAGTTCCTTTATAATCTGAATCTCATTATCCTCACTTACACTTTTCATGAACTTCTTCACTGAACGACTTGCTGTCAACTTCTTCTGGGGAATATTCAACTTTCGTTCATTGATCACCTTTTCAAGTGTGGCTAGAATTGGATTTATATTATCACTCCGTACTGGAATATGACAAGGGGAGTCATAAACTGGAATATCAGGAGAGTCAATTTCAGACTCTTTGTCTTTGTTGTTACCATTCTGCAGGCATAACTCCTCCACTTGCTTCACAAAGTTCAGTTTATCAATATTTGGTGGATTGTTGTTTGGTTCATAGGTGTCACCGTCTGCTTGAATATGTGGGGGTTCCCGTTGCAGTTCAGGGGCAAGTTTGATATTGAGGGTGTTATGGATCATTCTCTTTGATGCATATGTGCCGGCATCTCTGTTTTCAGCAGCCTGAAATTATAGTCAGTAATGATGGAAGAACCTGAAAACAGAGCTGCAAAAGTGTATGCATTTGGTCTCGGGTCTGTTAATAATCTGGCTTTTATTTTGGCTTCTTTCAATTCAAAGATACCATACTAGAGATTTAACTTATCCTGGTCTTAAAACTGATTGACCCGTAGATTTAGATTGTAGATTGTTCTTTTAATGTATGTTGAAAATGATTGGACTTATGTTTTTTTTCATTTATCTACATTAATGCGATTTTAAAGAACACCTTAATCCAAGCTTGTATAAGGTAATAACTGAATAAATTCAAATAACTTTAAACTGGTCAATCAAATATTTTGGACTACACCATATTATTGTTATATTCTACATACTATGTAGTAGGGGTCAAACGGTTCAAAATTCCAACGGTTCGGTTCGGTCACGGTTTTTAGGTCCACGGTTCAGTTCTGACCACGGTTCTCGCGGGTCTCGTAAATACAGCTCATAAAGAAACAGGTTTTAGCTTTCTATCTAGCCTAGCCCAAGTCGGTCACTTTCTATCCTGGTCCCACTATGCTTTTTTAAATTGACTTGACAAATTAAAGCAAAGTTTATTGGCCTAGTGGCCCACTTTAAATTTTAAACTTTAGATTTTTGTTTGTCCTTGATAAGATTTCTGCTAGATAAGAGCAGTAACTTGAGGAAAAAATTTAGCCTAGGCTTAGAAAATATTTTTCTCACCGTGAAGATACTTCATGACCTCCCTACAGATTATGTATGTTGATACATTGTCCTCTGATTTCCCATTGTATATACATTTGTATATCTTGGATTGCTTCTAGTTTGGCTTATAAAGTGTGTGGCCTCTTATATTTGGATGTTTCTCTGCCATGTTATTTTCAATAAGATTAACATGGCTGAAATTCTTCAAATTACAAGACGGCACAGGCTTATTGCACAAAAAACTAAAAAATCTGAAATATACAAATGTCATTCATGTACATTATGAATATACTTTTCCATATATTATTGCACAATGGTCTCCCAATTTCTTATTTTTGCCGTTCTACTGACGAAATGAAGCAGTGAAATGGACTCTAGTCTGTCAAAGCAGCCATGCTGAATCAGCACAGATGGCGCTGCGATTGTGCGGGAGATTTAAACACAAATATGTTTCAAGTTTTTAACAAAGACATTAGTAATGTTATAATTTCTGTAATTGTAGTATTTTTTAAATAATATTGATTAAAAACTAACTCATTATAACAGACAAAACACCTCCACGAAGCAAAATTAATTGTACTATGAATAGCGTAATCTGGCGAGACCAACTTCCGGTCTATTTGTATGTCACAAAAATGTGAACAATTACTTGTCTATCGATTTGTGAGCGATCTATTTCATATATGGGTAAGAATTCAATGTTTTCTATTGCTATAAACATGTTTTTAAGGAATATATACATGAAGAATAAGTTCATGTCGAACGAAAGAGAGAATACTGAAATCTAAAAATTTCATTTTTCAATTTTTCCTCGAACCGTGGATGAACCGAATCTCATATTTATGAACCGAAAATACCGTCCTAGCATCATATACCGCGGTTAACCGTTTCACCCCTACTATGTAGTATAGGTTGTACAGGGTACCATTACAGCACTTATATATTATTACAAGCTTAAGCAGCATCTCTACTGAACTACATATACATACTACTATATGCCATATCAGAGATATTATTAAATATATAAATTACACAGCACATCAAAAGCAAAACAACAGAGGAAGGTAGAGCAATTTTCAAAAGATGTGAATTAAGATGTAAGCCTCAAATCACTTCAAGCAAATGATTAACAGAAGCATTAAAGCCATTCAAAATGCAATGAAGATAGTTTTGAATAGTGAGACATACTGGATGAGTTTGGGTAGGCATTACTGTTGATCTCACACAGAAGCAAGCAATTCTAGGCAATCATATATATAAAAAGAGTATATGAATATCATGTACTGAACCTATAACATTAAATACATATACATATGCAGTGATCTCCACTGGATTTTTCTCAAGTGGCTACACAATTCTCATTTTGGTCAAATTATTGGTCAAATTCATGATTTTTCTCATTTATAAGTAGGTGCAAATGGATTTTCAGGTGGGTACAAGCCTATTTTCAAAATCTCAGTTGTGTGCTATACCCACTTGCTTTAATGCTGTGGAGATCACTGCATACTCATAGTATGACTTATAAAAGGGTTGAAGTACAAGTACATTTGGTCATTCATACAAGAGATTGAAAACGTGGTGTCTAATTGTCAAGATTTGTGCAATAATATACAATTATTGACTTTTCCAGAGGTTTACTGTCAAAATTGTATCCCGAGACTGTAAACCGAGACCGTAGGTCGAGGTTTACAGTCGAGGGATATAATTTTGACAGTAAACCGAATGGAGAGGTCTATAATTGTTTTGTTAGTCCGAAGAATATCTTAGATTTTTCTGACCCTTGAAGTTGACTTGAAGTTGGATCCAGACCCTCGAGACGTTCATGTTGTATTTCAGTATATCGGCAGTAAGTTCACTCAATGGAGTCAAATTACTCTACTGGACGAAGTCCACTAAAAGCTTTGTACAAAGTTTTAGATTTTTCTTCGTATTTTGACTGTCTTTACTCTCTATAAAGAGACTAATAATATTCTCATCTTCAACATTTTTGAAACGGCTAGTGCTAGCGGCGGCCATTTTATCGTCTGATAATGACGTCATTTTAGTGGAATGCTGGGAATATTATTCACCGGCAATGCATTGCGCGGTGTACAGTTAAAATTATTCACCGCTCGTTGACCAATCAAAATCGAGTATTTCAACTGAGGTACTAACAATGAGGTTTGTATTTCTAATTTAACCCCCTCCCATATGAAATTTAATAAAAGAATCAATTATTCATTAATGAAATGTCATTTACCTTCCCATCTGAAGAAATTGACACTTAGACACCATTCTAAAATAAATAAATATATTTGCGTTTCGTAAACTCACCTCATCATAGATAGGGTACTTCTAAGTTGTGTTCACTTTACATAAATATAATGTTATACCAGTATCTGTGACTTCTTTGAAGCATATTTTCCATCATTTTACCATTATTCAATGGGGAATGTCCACCCTCTTTTGACCATTTTCAAAGACATTTGTGTCATCCAAAAAGACACAAATTGACATAAACACTGTTATAACAAGTAAAAGGCTAACACTCAAACTTTAGCATATTTTCTGAATTTGATAAGCAGGTTCTAGCAACCAATACTAATACTAATGATGAACCAAATATATGTCTGACAATATACAAATGTGGAAAGTTTATAAGCACAAAAGCAAAAGACAGAAAAAGCGTTAACCCTTTCAGTGCCAGATTATAATTTGATGACACTATACTATAGCAGCATGACGCAAACAACAAGTAGTATTAACCCTTAGTAGACAATTCATAGAATTTTTATGTGGAAATTTGAAAAATGCAAAATGGAAAAATGTGTTGATTAAATTCTGCCTTTGTGTATATGAAGATTAGCAAACCAACAGCTTCAAATATTGTTGTTGAAACATGTAAAAGAAAAACAAGGTTTCATCAAATGCTGATCATCAGTAAATCTGATGTGTATAAGTTCATATATGTGGTTCAATACTCCTATTCGCGATAAGAGTTCAGGTGGTAATTTACATAAATATCTCCCATGATGCATCGCTTTGGAAGGGACAAATTTTCATTGGCCCGCCGAACGAGTCGATTACTCTGAACGTTTCTCAGCTTCTGATCTTCCATCAGCCCTCAAGCATAGTTATATAATCCAATCTATTCAATAATCAGATAGATAATCGGAGATTCAAAGTAACATTATTTATATTTCGTCTGAGCAATTTCTGGGATATCAGTGACGTAACTGGAATTAGACGGCATTTTCAACTACAGATTTCTTCGGATTTGGGGATTATAGCTCAAAAAGATTTGTCATATATCTTAATTACATACATACCTATCGTTTGTACAAATGAAACTCTACATAAATGTTTAATAGAGCCGCAGTGCGGCATTGAAAATAGCACCCCTGAGTAATCCAATGGGAAAGAACACGGATGTAGACGAAGTTGTACCATACATGAGAGCTCTTCAAATGAGAGGTAGCTAAACTGAATGAAATTAAACGTTATCGCGTATTGGTATATTAGGGTTAACTGACTGTGCTTAATCAATATAGGAAACTTCATTCAATGGGAAGATCAACGCACATAAAAAGCAGTTAAAGCAACAAAATAGTGAGGAAAAGCAAAAGTCAATTGTCAATGTATTATGTTTTCATGAAACTATTCAATTTAAGATGGGGGGGGGGGTTGTTTTATAAAAACAACAACATTGTACACTGATAATAACACAACTCTGATGTTTGACATTTTGGGATCAAAAAAGGGTGGAAAAGTTCATATTCTATATTATTTCATGAAAATAAATACTTTGACTTAACGAGTGTTCGCTGGTATCTGTCAACTGTTGGCTGACCATAAAGTAACAATCAAACTGTCAGCCTACAGCCGGCAATTGATATCAGCAAATGCAACATTGGCCCATAGTTATACCATAGCACATATGTTATCAGTGGTACTCAGTGGTTTTACAACATTGAATGGTCTCAAGTGTATGTCACATCTAAATGCAGTATGTCACATCTACATACAGTATGTCACATCTAAACACAGTATGTCACATCTAAATACAGTATGTCACATCTACATACAGTATGTCACATCTAAATACAGTATGTCACATCTAAATGCAGTGAAGTAGGGAAAAGCACATAATAACAACACCTAAACTCACCTTGATGCGACAAATGCAATATGTGTCTGCCATGTGTAAATCTTTTAGTCCTAGTTATAATGATGGGGAAACAAGACATGTACATTTATATAACATTAACACACACATAACATACATGTTCAAATTGATGCTTATCTGCAAGAAATATGTTGAAACAACATTGGTTAATTTATATCAAAAATAGTTTGTGATTTTTGGGGGAATAAAATGGCTAACATTCTGATTAAAAAATCAGGTTCTTCATTACTCAGATGCGAGTAGGTGGTTACCAGTTTCGCCACCAGGTGGCTGATTCGGGGGATATTGAATATATTGAATATTCATCAATTTTAGTGGTTCACTTTTCATATTACCCTTATGTATCTGATAGTTATACAAATCAAAATATGTCCAGGAAAAGAAAATATTATCTGCCCATCACAAGAAAAGATATTTCACTTTTTGTGACTATACAACATGGGGTCTATGGGGAATCTCCCCGACCTAGAAATCACATTTTAAAAGAAAATTAAGTTTTCAAAGTTGATAAACTCTTTTCAAAACCACATTTCTAGAACAAATTTTACTTGTAGATTCCAAATATGACATCAGTTTGACTGAATTTTGAATTTTTAATAACGTACATCAATATTATTTCTACTCGCATCTAGTCTATTTGCAATTTATTCTCAAAAAATACAATCTATATTTGTTCGAACCTAGATTATTCTATAGAAATTGCAACTATGTACATGCAATTATGATATATGCAACCTTTCAGCCAATTAAATGCTTGGAGATTCATGTTACAGTACAGCAAATCCCACCAGAGAAACCAGAAATAACCAGGCAACTGGAGTATAACTGCACCTGTACCAAATTATGGCCATTTACAGGGTTGTCAAAAAAAGTGAACCCGTAAAACAAGCTGTATCTCCCATAAAACCTTCCTGCAAACATGCTAGAATATTAGCCCATTCAAGTAGGTTATAACTGAGATATAGCTCGTTGCAAAGAGTTCATTTTTTGAACCAACCTGCAGATTGATTTGAGCAGCCATTAGTATAAAAACACTTATTTTGAAAAACAAGTTGGTAAAAAGTAATAGCCAAAATATGATTGGTTGAATTGAACATTTCTTCTCGGGAATATGTCCTTATCCCTACCCAAATATTGTTTGGTGGAATAGAAGATGAAATTGAAAAGTGAATCCATAATGCAACACAATGCCATGCAAAGAACATGAGAATCTGTAAAGCTTGACATTGACCCCAATTCTACACACGGTACCGATACATTGAACTGATACATTACATTCTGGCATAGGATCACAACAACATAACCCCCCCCCCCCCCCGCTGCCAGAATCTTAAAATAGATGAGGCATAAGGTAGATTGAGACAAATCCAGATAAGAGAGGCTGATTGAGCAAAATGGAATAAATAACAATCATTACAGCTCATTTTCAAAGTTTAAATTGAAAAATTACTGAAGTATTATTTCAGCATAATTTTGGCCGTGTAGCTGTCTCCCCTGCCTCATGTCTGGCTAGGACATTTATGGTAAAATTCCCTTGTTTTAGTAAAACCAAACAATCATCATTTTTTAAACTCTATCATGAAGCCTCATAGCCAGGGGAGCTTAACAGGGTTCAAGCAACCCTCCCGCATGACCCAAATTCCTTCAAAATCATACAGATATTTATCATTCTGAGCACTTGTGAAGTGATTTGGGGCCTAAATTAAAACGATTGAACTGGACGGAATCTCCACAATGGTGAACACCTCATTGGTAAAGGTTGGCTATGGACTTGAGATCCTGTGCAAACTGAAATCTTCTGGGATCTAATCAACCTCATGTTATTCTAGAACTGCAGTGATTTAACAGGTTTAGTAAAAATTATTAACATGGGGTCATTAAGTACAAAGTTGGTGAGTTATCTATTAAGAAATGTGCATCGGAAACTGATTCTTTCATCTTAACTTATCAAACATAAAAATAAATTATGATCTTATTCTAAAGTGGTGTTTTAATGTTGGATGCATTTCCTCCATACACCATCCATACATTGATACTGTATGGTAGAAAAACATCTTCACACAAATTCAGTGTTCATGAAATATTTGTTTTTGAAATGTACATTAAGTTTTCATCCCATAGGACTAGATAATTTCTCACGAAAATGTTTAATACAAATAAAACAGCAAATTTTGCAAAAATAGCATTCATGAAGATGAAAACACTGATGCTTAAGAACTAAATAAAACTGCAACCATGAAAAAACTAGTGCTGAATAAATGATACTGTATTACTTACAAATCTAGCTTCCATCTGGGGATAGGCTTTGGTGTAAAACTCATGTCTTGGGCCATTAGGTTCCCAGTCATTGGCTCGCATTTCAATAACTTCTAACAGACTCAAGCGATCTAGACCTGTAAGATCGGGTTGCCGGATAACACGACGCACTGCTTCAAATACAGGATCGAGACAAACTGCAACATATGTATGTAACAATGTAACCATAGATACTAGTATTCCGTAATTCTGCGGCGTGGACGGAATTTGACAAAACTTCAATTTTTTGCAGAATCCCTGATTTTCATGAAAATCCCGCGGAATTACCAGAATTTCCAGAAATTACATATTTTACGATCTCCTACCTTTGCGGGGTATTTGAAGAGTGTCTGTTTATGTCCAACAATCAATCATTATTGAGTACAAGTACGATTTCACCGTGAAATTCAACATTCTATCACGTTTAAATTCGCTAAAGCGAGTTCGCTAATGACGCGCAGTTCTTACCTAGAAAGTAGCTGACTTCCGTTTCCGTTTTCGATGGATTGCTACGTCAATTTTCATCGTTTTAAAAGATTGCAGAATTTGGAAAATTTGTGCAGAATTTCGATTTTCTCCTTGCAGAATTTGCTTTTTTTCTTGCAGAATTTTTTGCAGAATTTTAATTTTTTTCATGCAGAAAACTAGTATCTGTGTGTAACAGGCATTGACATTGAATGTATACTAGCATGGTAAGTGGTGGGACCAGAGCGGGACTTTGTGGGACTTGACTGGGACTTTAACTCATGAGGTCCCATGAGACTAAATTTGTAGATCTTACGTAGCATGGTCTTACCACTGGTCAGTATCTTATCAGGAAACACTGATAGTTGTTATGTTGTCTTTCAAAATGGCGGATTGAATTTGACACTTCTGTATTTTACTGCATGTTGACTTGAAATTCAGCCACATCCAAGTATACTTAACTGATAGATGTACATATTGATGTTTATAAAAGGAGCCTTATACATGTATAAGGTAATGGACTGAAGTATACACTGACAAGTACAATGAGCCCTTTGTGATTCATTAGAATTTAATTGGGCTCCATGGGATGTTGACAATTATGTTTTACATCTCTTGATAAAAACTCAATTAGTTGTCATAAATGTCACATACTTCGATATAAATTCAATTTTTTGGCTATCAAAATAAATGTATAAATATATATTTTTAACAATGATTATCAACAAACTTTGCCTTGACAAAGGCAATCAAGCTCATGATATTGTGATATCCACTAAGTATCCAACACCTGTGATTAGATAAGTCCTTGCTTTCCTGTAAAATTAAGTAGCCCTTACCTGAATTTATTCTGTCCATGAGTGGACCTTTCATCTGTATGGACTCACATATGGCCTGAATATCTGCATCAATGTAGTTCCCTTTCTCAAGTTCATATTCTATGGCTCTCACCCAATTCAACATACTCCCATCTAAAACAAATGCATTATGTGCTTGAATGTACACACTTTATCAAATACAGCAATTACATTTACATGCATGTGGTAAGGTAGCAATATGTGTGTGCTCACTGCTCTAACAACATTTTCATGCTATCCAAAGGCATAATTACAGTAATTAAATTTTAATTCAACACTCAATCCCTATGTTGTAAATTGCTTTAATTTGGTGCTATCTAATTTGGAGAATTGGGCTTTTGAAATTTTGGATGCTAGCGGATTGACCATCATCAATCGCTATTACTTACTTCACAGCTTGCCATTGATAAGAGAATTTTTCTCTCCTGGTATCAGATTGTTTTATCTAAACCAGTGGGGACTTTGTAGATGTTAGGAATATTTTAAAATTGACATTTTATCCATGTTTCAATCAAGATTGATCATGCAAGGTAACATGTAAAAAAGCCACAGGATGAAAATCCCTGGGAATTGCGTTTTCAAAAAAAATGGAGGAGACTTACAGAAGTTTAGCGCTTTTAATCAATCCGCCATATTAAAATGGCTGTCAAATTAAAGCAATTTACAATACACTACTTCTATTAACCCCCCGGTATTAACCTTACCAGTTACAGACTTTTTACCATTTTATTTTAAAAACCAGTGATATCTACCCTAACAAAAATATGACAGACTTTTAATACCTTCTCCTTAAAAGTTTATTTTTACATTTGTAGCCCTAAAAATAGTAATTATCCTAAAGAAAGGGCAAAATGATTGATTACCTGGTAAAGGAGGTACCCTACTGTCAGCATATGATTCTGGTGTCCTTCTATCATACTCTTCTTCTCCTAAGAATACATCATCAATGTCCTCCTTTTGATTGTCAGGTTCAAATGCTTGATTGACAGCTGTCAAGTCCTCTGATACACTCCTAAGTGGGCGGGGTTTCTCTAGTTTTTTCACCCTAATATGTGTACCACGCCCCCTCCCAGCCATGTTGTTGATCTATTGGACACTATAAAGTCTCTTATTTTCTCCCCTGTCTCTATTTATATGAAAAGAGTGCAAATTGTCCCCGAGATATTACTTCCACACTATATCTTCTTTCTGTTCTTCTCAGCCTGCAATTACAAGATAAAAATGAAATCAAGATATTTTAAGTGAAAAGCAAATTACCAAGCATGCTTAAAATCTACTAATCAGATCTTAGCAGTAATCTGCACTTGCATCTGTAAAAAATTAAGAGTTTTACTGGAATTGTGATGAGATGATTTATGTGGCAGTCTATCCACCCACCCACACCAAACAGCACAAGACAATGACATCTATAATGAATAATCTTTCATTGTGCAATACTAATTTTTTCTTCTGGGGATTTAACTCTTTACCAGTTTCTAATATCATTCACGAGTAAACATTTAGACCTTTTTTGCTAATTTTGTTTAAAATTACTTTAATGTTCTTGCATGTCCCTTAGGCTACTGTTCCCTAACTCTTACTGCATCATGATAAACCATGACATCTCATTTCTTCTCAGCCCTGAATGCTTTTACTGTACTGCCTAACTTACCTCAGCTTCTCACATCTTACACCATCTAAGAATGTATCTATTGTAATTAATACCCTAGCATGACAAATATTGCTTACTTAAATCAAATGGTCTAACAATACCTAATTATAGGCAACATGTAACAATATTGACAAAGATAAGTCCCTCTTAACCTGTTTTGTTTTCATAGCAAATTATGCAAATAAGTAGAAATAAGAACTAATTTAAACATGAAAGAAAATTCTTATCAAACCTAGTACATGTAATATCATGTGTTTCAAAATTTTGCAAATGAGTAATTATACGTTATTGGTCACATTGTCATATTCATAGATAACAAATTAACTTGCTACATACTAATGTACTTTACTTTTATGATTAGGTTGAAAGTATGACCAAATGTTTTGAACATTTAAAGCAGGACGCTATGACCGATTCTCTCCAGATTTTGATTTTAACCCAAAATTACCTGTTGTTCTGAGGTATCTTGCATAATTCCAGATTAAAAATTTAATTTCCAAACAGTTCTCCTTTGTATTAATTTTGCCTATGGTCAGAAATTCTAATAAAATGACTTATGTAATAAATATATTTATACAGTCGTCAACAAAGCTTATCAACTTCTGTATCATAACACCTGATAAGACTTGAAATATACACTGTAAATGAGACTACACATGAAATGTACAATATTCAATATTCCATGTAAATTAGAGCAATAAAGATTATACAATATTATCAAAGTGTTATTGTATTTGTCATGATATCAAACAGCATCTGTCAATGAATCTTTCCACAACTGGCAAAAAAATGTAAAATTGTAGAACTTGTTAATCTTGTAATTTAGGGACTATTCATTTGATTTCAGAAAACAGTGTCAGTCTCTGAAAAAGAGAAGATATTAAAGGCCCCATATGGAGTTTTATCCACTATATTGTAGTCTTATCTAATATTATAAGAATGTGATATGTGAAACTTTTTTTAAGATTATGCTGTCCTCACATCAACAATGTCAAGTAATGGTTGATGTTATATTATGCTATTCTGGATGGGCTGGCAAGGCAACCTGGTACCAGCATTCTGATACACAATCTTATTTATTGGGTAATTTTAAGCAATTCATAAATCATAAGGCAGGCTAGTTTTGATAATCCTTTTCATCTGTTTTCAATCCAAACAGAACATAGCCGAAGTGTTTGGGGCATCAATATTTGAATGACAGCTTTTATATACAGATAGGATAGGGATGTGCCATTTGATAACAATTTGATGATTCAATACTACAATGTTCTTGTTTTGCAACTAAATCTTATGAAACAAACAGCAAATATTTTTCCTACATGTTCCTTTAATCATTTAAAGCATTTTCAATATTTTTCACCATTTTGACTAATATCTTAAACATTAAAAATGTATTCTTACATGATTTACAAGATTTACACATTTTACAAGTTTTACAAGATTTACAGTCTACCCTGGCAAAATATTGAATACCAGTTTTGTTTTTGTTTTTTTGGCTTATAACACATCTTGCTTCATCAAGCTTCGGACCTATGTGGTTGAGCGTGAGAACCGACGATGTTATAACATGGGAAAGGGAGACCTGAAGATAAGGGGAGGGAGCAAATATGAAAAAATGTAATATAGCGATTGATCTTGGGATATTGAATCTGGTCCACAGTCTACCTAGTAAGAGCCCATATGTCTTAATGAGCTAAAACAGTTATTTTTGAGGTGATATCCTCAATACAAGAAATTGTTGTTTACTACTAAAATAACTTACTACTAAAAGAACCCGATTTCTGCCTTGCATCTTAAAACCAGCTGTGATATCTCAAAAGGAAAAGATACTGGTAAACTAGGTCATGTAGTTTATCATATGAATATGGTCAGTTCTGGTTTCATATGAAACTGAATGAACAACATGTATTTATTAATTGTAGAGAGGTTTCATATGAAACAAAATCAAAATCAAAACATACTGATAAACATAATATTTGGTTTAAGTTACATGTATTTACCCTTGTAAAACTTGTTTGATTTAAAGGAGATATTCATCTACGCTCTTTGAATGAGATCTTTCCTTCATCAATCAGAAATTTTAGCTATCCAATCATAATTGCCTTCATAATTAGATGGCATTATTTCACAAATCAAACTTCATGAAAGGCCTTGTTGTTATTAAGAGTGATTCAAAATGATATGGTGATTACTACTGAGGCTCAGGGTACCAATACATTTGGCTATGGTATGTACAGTGTGTGGGTGAATAGGACATTTGTTCAAGAGACAAATCTAATAATAAAGCAACAAACATATGGTGCAGCAGATTTTTCTCATTTGTATCAACATCTTGGAATTTGTACACAACATTAATCATAATAATGGCCATTAATCCAGAAGACTCAACTAACACATTTGCACAGTTCAGCCTTATAAACAAAAGAGAACATTGTTAACTGTTATATGGTAGGACTCAGTTCACACAAACAGTCAGCAATATCTCTATGTATGAGAGATCACAGAGAAGGCTTTATGTCTTTGAAGACAGACTAGAGATGGTTGAGAATCAGGTGGTGGGTCTCCCAGCATAAGAGCAATATCCTAGATGGGAGTAGAAATAATCTTGATTTACATCATTAAAAATTCACAATTCAGTCAAACTGATGTCATATTTGGAATCTACATGTAAAATTACCTCTAGAAATGTGGTCTTTAAAAAGAGTTTATCAACTTTTAAAATTTAATTTTCTTTGAAAATGTGACTTCTAGGTCGGGGAGATTCCTCATAGACCTCATGTTGTAAAACCACAAAAAGTGAAATATCTTTTTCTTGTGTTTGGCAGATAATATTTTCTTTTACTGGACATATTCTAATTTGTATAACTATCACATACATAAGGGTAATATGAAGTGAACCACTAGAACTGATGAATATTCAGGTTCAAGGGAATTTTGTAATACCCTGCCATGTTATTTCCCCCGAATCAGCCACCTGGTGGCGAAACTGGTAACTACCTACTCGCATCTGAGTAATTGATCCCTGTCTAAATTAAGTGAAATTTAGATATTATGACCAACTATTTTCTACCCTGTTGAGAACAACTTGAGGTGTGGTAATATTCAAATTCTAACAATACTGGAGACAATAAAAAATTTGACAAACAACTATTCCCATTAAATACTCATCTTGGTGGGATGTAAATATAAAAATAAATTCACTAAAAGGTGGTTAGACTTCATCCTTAAATAGATCAATATACATGTATACCGGTAATCTATGATGTTCAGGAATTTCGAATATAATTTTAAATTTTTAGTTAAAAAATAAATCAATTTTTTATGCAATCAGAGGGTGTATCAGTTCAAAAGCTAAAGGTCAAATTTCAACACTTTTCAATGTCAAATTTTATAATGGAACAAACTTGTTAATAAAAATAATCATGTATACAGTTTGGAACATAAATAATGATGCATGGATCTGCTGAAGTGAGGATTTCCCATGTTAAAAATAAGAGAATTTTCAAGAGGTCATATATCAGTGGATGAGAGTATAAAAAAGTAAAATATACAAATTTTAAGGGATATGTATCGAGACAATATTTGAGACTATCAGCTTTCAAACCACCATAGTTTGGCTATGGTGATAGAAAATCAACCTGTCATTTATTTTGTTCCGAACTGTAAGGAGTTTACATCTCAGTGCTCTAAACGATATATACTAAACTTTTGACTTATTTACTATAACATGTATAAATACCCGCTCTCTGGGAGACTTTATAGAGTATTAGATCTAGGTCTAGTATTAGGCTGCAGAAGATCTAGCCTACTAATACTGTACATCTCATACTCACAGCCTGACTGAAAATGATACAGCTTGCTTCTGAAACTTTTTGATGAATTAACTGCCTTTTTGAACTGTGCTTATTTACAGAGGTCTGAAGCAGAACCCCTATAAAAGTGGGATCGAATTGGCATTTTTTCTTATTTGTTATTATTTGAGGTTTGACTTGTCAAATGTCAAAAGTTAAAAAAAAGCAAATCAAGCACCTTTTATAGGGGTATGAAGAAGATGATAAATGGTGTGTAGGTAGTAACGTTTGTTCTCTAACAGATCAGTCAACCTTTCTAAGTAATGTAACCAGCAAGTTCCTGTACATTGTGATTGACATACATACTTGTTGTACATACATTCCATGGCTCACTGCCCATGCCTCAAAATCCCGGGAGCAATACTCAAACTGAAGCAGATCGGTTCGGAAAACGTCCTCATCTTCGTTTCAAATGCAGCTAGCTGACGGAATTGTCCATAATGAAACAGTTTGCATTGGGTACACGTTATATCGAAAAATTACTTTTGTTACAGTTGTTGAATAAATTATGATAATAATGGCTAAAAATAAGGAAAATATGAGATAAAACTCTACCTACTTCTCACTTTTCCATGCAAAGGTGGAGGATTTCGTCCAGTGTTTTTTAGCGCCACCTGGTGAACAGAAAGTAGGCAGATTTAAAACTTCAAAAATCTCTTGTAATCGTGATTTATTCAACGACGGTTAGGCGATAGTTAATATAACTGTAAGTACATGATGTAAATATTGACAAACAACATTCCAATATGTTCCTTAATTCCCAGATTCAGCTTGAATAGCCGAATGATGCAATAGTCTTGCATCGGTGGGTGATAATTGATGTATCTGTTAGTGCACAGTAATGGAGTCACCTCAATGGCTTTCATTGCGCTTATTTATTTAGTTTTCTTATTTATTTAGATGAAAAATCATAACACTGTTTAGTCTGTTTCACTTTTTTACAAAGTATCCCCACGAAATCGGAGGTTACCCCCGCGCTTACACCCTCGCTTACCTTCGTACCCACCCTTCGTACTATGGAAGGGGCTTGGACTAGACTATATCCTATTTAGTCTGAATTATATTCAGACTATAAGGCACCTATGTTAGAGTTTGGTAATTCCAAATATTTGTTTACATAGGAAGTGCTATTCAAAATGGCCGATTGGGTAAAATTAATTTGCACATTTGTTACTTCAACTAGCTTTATTTCCATTTGACAATATGCTGTGTTACTTTTTATTGACATTAATTGTACCTTACTATTTAATTGATATTTTGTAATGTTTATTTTATTGAAGAAATGGTTCCTCTTATTGATAATTTTGTGCAAAAAATTTCACTGCAATTTCCACAGGAAAGTAGTACATCATAACAGACTGACTTCTAGTCAGTCTGTTGGATACATACTAGGGCTTGGACCATCAAGTTGGACCATTCAGTGTTGATATTAATATCTGACAGCATTACATGTTACCTAACCAACAACAAAAAAGCATTTAGTTAGTTTTTTGTTGTTCTCCGTGTTTTTTTCATAAAAAGTGGATCAGTTTTCTCCATATAGCCTGAGAGGCATGTCTCTGATATAGCATATGGCTCCGCATATGACCTTTGTAATTTTCAAGTGAAATTAGTTGGATTATCTTGTTTCTCTGTCAATAAAACCTTAAAAATTATCAGCCAAAAGACCATCATATATGGTAATAAAGTGTTGGAAGTCACCCTATCTCATGTAGACATTACCACACACGTCGATATTACACCCCTTTGCTCTTGTATCATATGGAATCATACATTCATGCTTTACACGCAAAACATTTGTATATCTTGGATTGCTTGTGGTTTGGATTATACTTCATTACAAGAGTTTTTTTTATCAAGAGATTGCATTGCCAAGAAAAGAGTGTCTGCATTTTAATTGGACTGCCCTCTAACCGCCATACAAAGAAATGCTTACATACAGAACATTCTAAAGTTAGATAATCTTGATATTATGTGCTATTTTGGAAAAACCAGAAAGCAAAAAATAGAATTTATACTTTATGGAGATGAAAATTTAAATAGTGAACTGAATACAAAATGCCTTCAACTATCTTCAAATTATATCGATAACATCTTAGAATGACCATCCTCATCATTTCACATCATCTCTCATTAACATTCATATTCAGATCATCATCATGGGCAAGACCTGGTGGACGACCGTCTGTCCGTTGCAATCCTACTCACTCCAGTGATTTAGTTTATGTTTTTAACTTTCTAGAGGGGGGCCAATAATGCTATGTAGCCCCTCACAATCTATGTAAATAATTATGTTGAATTATATAGAAAAAATAACCTATAAAAAATTGGACTGTTTGGGGCTGCTGCTTCTGCCTATAGGGTCTTACAAGAGGCTATGGGTTTATTGCACACAAAACTCATCAAGTTCATTTGACATATAGAAATATTTTGCGTGTTACATATGAAACTGCACTGTGTTCTTTTGACTGCTTATTTTTTAGGTTTTCTTGACTTGATGACAGAGAAAAAGGACTTTATTGTACTGATTACTTGGATTGTGTGTCCATCAAACCTATGTCTATGTCTATGTCAATAATCTGCAAAAGGCTAATACATGTAAGCCCTTATAAAGCAGATATATAATTTAACAGTGATAGAATTTGAATGGAATATAATTTAAAACCTTAACATTTAAAAATAGATCTATGGTTTGCAACTCATTAAAATTGAGAGGAACTTTCCTGTTAGGCCTATTCTAAAAATAGAAATTTTCTTCTGTGAAGCAAAATTAGAAGCTGACAAATTCAGTGCCATTTTGAATCTCAATTGAGTTTTATGTCTGTTTAAAAAATCATTCTTTGCCATAATACCTTGTGTCTCTATACTCTCTCAATCTCAATCATACAGTACATTGACATATATTTTCAGTTGTAGCAGATTATATACTTGAATACACTCCTTAAGTCATTAACACCAACATAGGACCATTCAGCATCCTTATGCAGGAGAATTACACAGCTGCAGGAGAATAACACAGCTGCAGATAGATTCTACAGTTACAGGAAGATTTCACAGCTGCCCTTTGATTCTAGAGCTGCAACAAATGCCTATGTTTCTGAAAAGAATTGCTGCAAAACAGGTATCACTTAACTTCAATATATACAGGCCTGTAGCCAAGGGGGTTCAAGGAGTTTGAGTATCTTACCTGTGATTTTTGACCAAATTTGTCTAAGTGGACCACCCCCAAAATTTTTCTGAAAAGTGACCCCCCTTCCTTGGAAAAAGTTGGCTATGTTCCTGATAAACCAGTATTTACATATTATACCATAAAGGGGCACTATAACTCTGATTTACCTCAACATAACTTTTCCTAAAATACAATCCTACTAGCCAGCTGTTTGGTATTTTAAATTATTTTTTAGAGTTAAGACAATCAAGGCATAAATTATTATATATTTATTCATTGGCTTTCAAGCCATGATTTATTTCAGTTCAACAATAATAACCTTTTTTCCAAAATCTAATCTGAGGTCCCAACACTTAACAGTTTTACTACTGACCTCATCTAAAATCAAATCAAACTTATCATGTGGTTAGAAAAAATAATACTTCAAGCTAAACAAAGTGGTTACTTATATCAACTTTAAATGGTATTTTTTAGATAATTGCAGGAATTACGAAAATCTTCAAAGAGACACCTAAAGAGAATGTTGAACAAATTGCCGTGCGCTTGCAGTACAAGGCATTGAAGGGAACTAAAGATGACATCAAGAAATATGTAAAAGCAGTAAAGTATGTGTCACTTTGTCATATGTGTCATCAATCTTGATTTACAGAAAAACTTGTACTTTTTTATGTCACCTAGATTATATTACAGTTTTTTATGTCATCTCAATTATGTTATACTTTTTTCAAACAGTAATCGGTTATATAGTTCTAAGTAGTGTAAATTGAGGATGTTTATTATTTCTCCTGCGATATGACATGTACGAATCTCAAAATTTTATTTAGTGTATAACAACATATCATTTTCTATGAAATCCCTTATATAATTGGTCTATCCAATAGACTATTTGCTATATAGATAGATAAATGGATAGCAGTAGTGGTTTTTACTGCTGGCAATTTATAAATATTTCAAATTGGTTTTCATGTAAAACTCCATTGGCATGCAACTATAGTAGATGGTCTTGTTGACATGCAAATTTTGATCCTGAAAGAGAAAATGAACTTTTAAAGTTTTTTCATTATTAGGTCAATGCAATATTTATTTTAACCCCTACCATTTTCAAAAAGCTTAAAGATCCTGAGAAATTGACTACATGAGAATAACTGTACAAATTAAAGATGTTTTAATGCAAAATGACATATCAAGTAGATGGTTAAAATGCACTTCAACAACAGAATTTCAATGCTCTATATACAATGGCGGATCTGTGGGGGGCCCAAAAAAATTGTGGGGCAAAGAAGGCATTAAGGCCCCAAAAAGTGGGCTTATTTTTTAATTTCAGGCCAAATTTTGAAGAAAATGGGCCTCAAAATTTGGGCCCACTTTTGGGTTTTAGGGGCCCAAAATTTTGCGGATGTTTTTTTCTCTGACCTGAAATTTGGGCCTTTCCCCTTATTGGTTCCCAGATTCGCCCCTCCTTATATCGTAAAGCCTTTATTGAGTAATCAGATAATATATCTTGTATTCCAGGGAAGGAAATGATGCGGGTGTGCTAAAACCAAAATGGGGACTAAGAATGCAGCGTCTCCCAGATGATATCTTACACAGGTTAACCACTGCAGGTCAAACAAAGGAAACGGTGAGAGGGAAATTAAAAAATGTGAAAACAATTCTGAAATATAACTATTTTTATTACTTAGAAAAGGAAATACTTTTAGGCCTAAACTGCAGAAAGAAACAAATATCTCAAGGATTTCTATTTGTTGAATGAAGATACAATATAGGCAATATCAAAATGCAATGAAATGTGATTTAAAATGAAAGGGGTGTTGTAAACAGAAAACAAAGTTAACCCCCCCCCATATAACAAAACTTAGTTTCATTTGAAAATTAAAAATTTTCAGTAAGGAAATATTTGTTTACCCTCTCCCCCTTATATAAACAAATTAGCTCTTCCACAGTCCACTTTCTTCCACAGTTATTGAAACTTTGATTCTAATAAAAATCAATTAAAAAACATGGAAAAATTAAAGTTTGAAATGCTTAGAATGCACCATATACAATGTAAATTTTAAAATTGTAGATTACACATGATCTAGTTGAGAGTGAAGACTTTGAAAATTTTACTCTGGGGATCGATGGGAAAAACAGGCCTACGGTAGTCCTAAGGCAAAGATCGCTTATAAACGTGAGTGAAATACTTGAAGAACAATATGTTATAGGTTGATTGTTATGTTTAATAATGTGTAATAATTTTTATTTAATTAGATTGTTATATGTAAGAGAGATATGTAGGGAAATTCACCAAATTTGAAATGATGAATCCTGCAAGTGAAAAAGGCAAATCTTGCATGAATTCTATTGGATTTCTCTGCATTTTTCAGATGACAAAAGTATTGTGAAAGTCGTTTATTTAGTCATAGATTAGTACTGTCATTAAGTTATAAAACAGGAAAACAAATTGAAACGTATTGGGGCTTTTTGGTCAAACTTCTGATTGATGAAACTGAAATTATATTACATCAATGAAGCTGACGTTATACAACACCAAAAACAGATAAACTGTACAGGATTTATACCACATAACAGTAATGAAACGGAAACTATACAACCAATAAAACTGAAATTGGACTGGTATTATATTGTTGGTTATACACCTCAATTAGTTTATTTTTGTTTTACAGCATACAGTGCAGTGTATACTTAGGGAGAAAGAGAGATATGGGATCACATCCCCTGTATTGGGCTACAGGTTCAAAGACAATGTCATGACAAAGCAGAAATTCCCACAGACTATTGTTATAGATTTTAGGTAACTGTTAGGGAAGGGTGATTCAAAAGTAATACGCAAAGTTTATTTGCATATATGATTTGTTCAAAGTGTTGAAATAGCAAATAGACTTAACTTCAGGATCACCCTGTACGAGAATTCATCCAATCAGAATCTTTCTTTTGACCAGAAGTTGTACATGTATATCCAGACCCAAAACTCACTCTTCAGTCATCATGACGTCAAAAATTAGAAATCCCTGACTAAAAAAACTGTAATCTGACTTGCAAAATATTACAGACTTTAAGTCTGAGTGGCCAAAAAATAAGAGTGGTGAAAAACTACATGATTTTGAAAGAATTTTTTTGCCAAGGGCCTAGAGATTTGAGTCTTGTAGTAGATACACTCAAATAAGTACTGTTAGTAATTATCCCAGCAAACAAAGTTCAGACCTCTGTTGAAACAGGTGCATGTATTTGTGGACTGCATATATTTTATGTATTTATGCACTACAACTATTGTATGTATTTTGTGTACTACAACTATTGTATGTATTTTAGCTCACCTAATATTGCCAAAGAATTCCATGTTGGCCATCTCAGATCTACAATACTTGGGAACGTCCTGTCGAATCTGCTGTCAACATTTGGGCACAATGTAATCAGGATTAATTACCTTGGTGACTGGGGAATGCAATTTGGTAAATGTTAATGTTATGCTTTTTACAAAGGTGGCAATTTAATGATGAGGATCAGAGTGATTATAACTTTGATTTTAAGCATACTTGATTTGATATTTGATAATATATGAATTTCTTATTTTATCATGACAATTATTTTGAAATTAAGTCACTTGAAAACATGCTTAGTTCAGCATGAACAAATATGTGAGTTGTGTCTGTTTACAGGTATTTTGGGACATGCTTGGCTATCACATGGATCTGAGGAAAAGTTGGCCAAAGATCCTTTAGGACATTTAACAGAGGTATGACTGAAATAGATAAATAGGTGGATAGGGGTACCACCTGTAATACAGCAGAGTTAAATTGCTTCATCACGAAGCGTTTTGATAAAAAGCTTCACTCAATGAAAAATTTTGTGCCTGTGTGTAACACCTTGAAAAGCCAAGAATTTTTTTTATCAAAATGCGTTATAACGAAGCAGTTAAACCAGCTGTGTTGATCTCTTACAAGATAGACAAACTGATGGACAGACATGTGTCTTGATAGTAGATACATAATAAGTAGAACTGTTCAGATCGAAGTTCAGAGATATATGATGTATACCTCCATTTATCCACCCATGTTTCTGTCTGTCCAACTGGACATCTGTACCACTGAGTAAAGTTGCTTGCATTTATTGTATTTTATATGTAGAGTATGTATATGCCTTTAATGAAAGTAAAAATTCTGTTCAAAGGCTGATTTTCCAAATGTTAGTGCTTATTTTCATATGATTTTTGATATTTTTTTTATTTTTAGTATCATGAGGCACTTTATTTTGATGATCCTCCCAGTATTTTTGAAAGCCAATTTGCAGAGAATATTCAATGAATAAACAGACCATGTTTCAAAAGTATAACAAAGTAAAAACGTTAATATCATTTACTGTTTTAGTTATACGTGGATATGAATAAAACAATAAGTAAAGAACAGAAAGAAAGCAAATCAAAGACATCAGGCTCACATAGGAAAGCTATGCAGTTTTATAAAGACCTTGAAAATGGTAAGTCTTGAAATCTAGATATAATATACAAATCAATGATCTCATCTCTCCAGGATTAGGTCTGAATGCAAGACTTGTGCTAGACTCAATGCTCACATTAATGCACACGGAGGTCAAGCATTTTTGCAGGAGAACATTAAGGTGGGCAGTGAAGAATGATTAATGACGTGTTGAACTGGGCTCCATGAATAGAAACTTCATGAAGTTAAGAATTCATAAAGTGTTACTCTGACTAAAACATTCTTAACCTAACCAAGTTTCAATTGATGAACCCCTGTACCTTTAAACATAGATTTGCATTCTCTGACATCATGGATCATGTAAGCTGTCTTATTTATTTTGTTAAATCATTTGAAAGGTATAAGATTGACCAAAAATACATATGGGATGCATGTAGGATTTGAACTTGGGTTCATTGAATTTGTACATTGAATTTTGATACAATTACAGGTGAATTAATTAGTTGATTAATTAATTACAGGTGAATCATATGCCATTGAGCTTGCAGAGAGGATCAAGAACATAAGTCTACCAGAATATGAAAAGTTTTATAAGGTTTGTTGAATTTTACACTGGAAACCCAAAAAATTATATTTTTCTCACAAACTTTCAGTTCCTTTCAGTCTCTATCATTTTGGTACCCCTTGATATTTTTACATTTGGATGGTTCGATTCATATTTAGTCTATATGCCAAGTGTTTGATTCAAGAATGTGGAAACGAAAAGACATAACATTATTTTGATGAGAGTTATAACTGAAGAAGTTAAGATTGACTTTGAATTCTTCCAATGATCACCTAAAGGCATTTGTTAGATATCTTCAGAATTTAGGCAATATTGGTTACCATGGCAACAAATCAAGGGGCACACGTTTACTCTAATACTGTGGTGCAATCAGGTAACTGTCACTACTTAATTTGACAGCTGTTTTAATTTGGCTTTAGGGATTTTGCAAAATTCGCCAGTTCATGTTTTCACCAACTTTTCTGAAAAAAATCCCCAGGAAATGCTCTCACTGTTAATATAACTTAGAGTTAAGCAGTGTCAAAATATATGATCCTTGTCTTAGCAACATGCTCATTCCTTTCAAATTCGCCAATTTCACAATTTCTTGCTAAATTCACCAAGTTAAATCTTTGCCAATTTTGCCAAATTTGCCAAATTAATAATGGCCAATATGAGTAGAGTAACAGTATGCCATTTTTCTTGTTCTTTTTAGATGTTAGGAGTAAAATTTGATGTAATATCAGGAGAATCTCAATACAACGACAAATGTGATGATGTCATAGTGAGGTTAGCCAATAAGGGAGTACTCAAGACACACACATTAATGTAAGTAATAAATCACAAGATTATTTATTTTATACCAATTTTCAATTAATAATGTAAAAGTATATCCATACATAATCATACAGTGTATTGAAACAACTATTGTACATTATCTTCCATATCATCTTATTACCATATACAGTAAATTAATAGTATAGTTTCCATATAGCTTTTGAAATCTCGCTTAACCTCGTTTTTCGTGAGATCTTAAGAGATTTGCATATTAAACCTCAAATGACTTACATTACCTTCTTTTAAATGGCATATTTGAATTCAGTGAAATGTATAATAGCTTTGATTTACACAGTTATGTAATTTGAATAATTTTCTATGACAATGTAAAAAAACTTGGGCCAAATCTCCATAGATGCAATGCTAAAATCCTTTAAAACCTTTATTTGTATGTCATCATGTGGTATATCACTCAAGTTTTATACAGATTCAACTAACACTCTTTGATAAATCATGAAATTAAGCCACTTTTCCAATATTTTAGCATGTATGTGAATGGAACTCTAGCCCAAATAAAAAGCTGAATAAAAGATGGCAGCACTAGATTTCATTGCTTTTTCTGCTATTTAGAAACTATCCTATTCAAAAATTCTGATTATTACATGACAATATTTGTCTCAATTTGTCATACTATTCAAAGATACATGTACATGTAAATCATTTGATTTGAATATTTTTGACATTGAATATTGTATTTTACAATAAGGTGTAAATACATTATCCACATAGAAATGTGAAAAAATACTTATTTTATTCATTTTTTATAATTATGATAAAAAAAATTGCCCAAATATAGGGGCTCCCAAGGTAGGCCTATATTGGCAGTACTATGCATATTTCATGTATAGTTCTTTACATCACAGCACTTTGTAGTCTAGAACTTTACAGAATAGTTTTCACACTATTGAGACCTTTATATTATAGTACTTTCCACTATAATACTTTACTCACATCACCCAAGTCGACTATTTTATTTACCTGAAACATAAATTACAAAAATGCTCTCTATCACACCGTATTCTTGAATCCCTTCTTAAATCATATATTTCAGGAAAAGAATCATACTGGAAATATGTTTCCAACATTCGTAATTCATTGATTAACAAAGGGTTAGATGATGTTATTTTCAGACAAGACAGTAACTGGTATAATGCATATCAGTCAATAAGTAAAATACAAAATACAGAATGTTTTTTTGATAGCATGACAGAACATCCTTCGCTTGACTTTTATAAGACACTGAAGATTCACCCTAAGATTGAAAACTATTTAAAAAATGACAATGATTTTTATGGAGCCAAGCTGAAGTTCCTGGCCAGGACAAATAATTTTTGTTTAGAATCTAATTACGAAAGATGGAATAAAAGTGATGGGATTTGTAAGTTGGGTAATTGTAAATGTAAAGATGATATCACACATAGACTCCTAGAATGCCCCGCCTTTACTAAAGAGAGATCAGGTTTTTATTTCGATATTGAGTCCAAATGTCCAAGAGAATTAAGCTCCATGTTTTTATCCTCAAATTTAAGGAGAAAACTTATTTGCATGTTAGGTGATGTAATCTTTGAGGACTGGGGGCAAGCTAATGGAATTGTCTTTGACAATTTAGTCAAGAGATTTCTAATTAAGATTTTTAAACCGAGAAGTGTATAAAGTTCTTGTATAAATGTTTTTAGTATGTATTATTGTTTTAAAATGTGACGCACCTATTTTAGTGTGCCGCCGTTTCTAAGGCGTATGTCAAATAAAAAAAATAAAAAAAATAGCATTTTCCAGGATAGTACTTTTCAGTTTAGTACTTAGCATTATAGTCATTTTCAGTATGGTACCTTTTGGTGTTTCTAACCAGACCCCATGACACCATGAATCTGCCTGGCAGTATTATATAGCCTATTATAAGCAGCTACCCAAATGAGTAAAATCAGTGGTATGGTACTATAGACTACAGTATAGTACTTTACAGCTCAACACAGAGTCTTGGATGCTCATGGGGTGATGAGACCTGGTTCAGAACTACTTCATTGATGAACTAGAACAACCATAGTTCTGTTGAAAAGTAGCAAGACCCTAAAGCTTTAATAATACAGGAACATTTAACATCACTGCATGTTGCATAAATATATACATTACATGCTTAAATCGTGTTTCCAGGAATAAAGAGACATTGACCTTTGTAAAAATAGATGATGATGTCACAATAAAACATGAGGAAAATGCAAGTAAATCCGAGTCATCTCAGGAAGACAAAATACCAGCTAATTGGGCAGTTCTACAAAAAGCTGATGGTACACATTTGTACCTTACAAGGTTGGTACATATAGTTCTATATATTTTATAGTAAATGATTTGACAACAGAGGTACACATGTGTACATTACAAGGTTGGTACATATAGTTCTATATATGTTATAGTAAATGATTTGACAACATAGGTACACAATTGTACCTTACAAGGTTGGTACATATAGTTCTATATATGTTATAGTAAATGATTTGACAACATAGGTACAACATAGGTACACAATTGTACCTTACAGGCTTAGTAGCTTAATAGCTCTTAGTAAATAAATGATATGATATAGGTACACTTATGTACCTAACAAGCTTGGTTGCTTATAGCTATGAATACATTATAGTAAATGATTTGACAACATAGGTACACATTTGTACATTAAAAGGTTGGTGCGTATAGTTCTATGTTATAGTAAATGATTTGACAACATAGGTACACATTTGTACCTTACAAGGTTGGTACATATCGTTACCTATATCACACTATATGTTACAGTACAATATTGTAAATTATTTAACAACATAGGCACACAATTGTACCTAACAAAATTGGTCCATGTAGTTCTATATATTTCATAGTAAATGATTTGACAACATTGGTACACATTTGTACCTTACAAGGTTGGTACATAGAGTTCTATATATATTATAGTAAATGATTTGACAACACAGGTACACATTTGTACATTACAAGGTTGGTACATATAGTTCTATATATGTTATAGTAAATGATTTGACAACATAGGTACAGATTTGTACATTACAAAGTTGGTGCATATAGTTCTATATGTGTTATAGTAAATGATTTGACAACATAGGTACACATTTGTACCTTACAAGGTTGGTACATATAGTTCTATATATGTTATAGTAAATGATTTGACAACACAGATACAGATTTGTACATTACAAAGTTGGTGCATATAGTTCTATATGTGTTATAGTAAATGATTTGACAACACAGGTACACATTTGTACATTACAAGGTTGGTACATATAGTTCTATATATGTTATAGTAAATGATTTGACAACACAGGTACAGATTTGTACATTACAAAGTTGGTGCATATAGTTCTATATGTGTTATAGTAAATGATTTGACAACATTGGTACACATTTGTACCTTACAAGGTTGGTACATATAGTTCTATATATCATAGTTCTGCGTTCAAAACTTTTGAGCTGAAGCTCAGCGATGGGGTGTATTTTGCGGACAACGATCCGGATCTGGCAGTTTATCTCACTGCACCTATGCCGTGTCTTTGTTCAGTTATATATATCATGGGAATATATGTTATATCATTTGGAAGGAACAGCTATTAACGGTAGCTTTATTTTTAATCTATGAACTGCTGATATGACCAGATACTGATCCTAACTGTTTTTTCTGACTACGAGTTCAACTGCTAGATTCGTCAACTACCCTCACTTTGTATTATGAAGCACTGAAGTCATCATTTCATTTCTTGTGTTAAATCTATCGCATATTTTTTCATAATTCAACAAAATGAAAATCGCATCAATTTGCAAAATATCCAGAATTTTAAAAATTCCATCGCATAATTTGAGATTTCTTTTTGCATAAAACTGAGGGGACAGATTGTAGTTGATGTAATAAAGGTACACATTTTTGCCTTACAGGTAGGTAACTTTATATTCTACATACATTGAATTGGATGATATGACAATATTAATGTTCAAAGACTTGATTAATTGTATCATCCACATATTCATAGTAAAGAAACCCAGTACATAATGCATATACACCTAGTTCATTAAGCAGCAGAAATTCAATCCAAAACTTGAAACTAATCTGAGCCTTAACATTGAGGGTATTAGATAAGTGGGGCATACATCACAGGACTGTCAACCTGGGAACACCTAAAATAAGTGACTTACAAATGTTGAACACCTTCCTTCAAATTCTGACCACATTGTGGACGAGATAAAACAAAGTAAATGCGCGACATATTCACAATTCATGTGAACCTTCCGAACGAACTGTGTTCGATTATTTCAGCATTCCTTTTTTTAAAAAGTAGATTGTAATGGGTGGTTGGCTTAATCTTTCATTTTTGTTTTTCGAGACCCTTTGATAAGATTCAAAACATTCCTGAAGCCCCTCTTCAGTCTCTCGTATTATCCTTAGACAACCCTCTGGTGCAAGGACATGCAGGATGCAAAAGGATCTGGTAAATGCAGTGTAAAGCGTGTCTTTTACTGCCTCAACTGGGTATCTTCTGTGTACCTTAGGATTAAAAAGGATAATATATTTATGCTCCATTCCTTTAAATCTGATCATTCCATCCAGGGTTATATGAGACCCTCCTTTGGCTTTTTCCTCTGCATTTTGAAATTTAGTACTTGAAGTGATATACTGAGCTTCTTTTTTGACATTTTCTTTTTCAACCTCATAATCCTCTTCTTGAGTATATACTTCCTCTTCTTGTAGATCATCATCTTCCTCTTGTTCTTGATCATTAACATGTTCTTCCTCTTCTTGTAGATCATCATCTTCCTCTTGTTGATCATTCACATGTTCTTCCTCTTCTTGTAGATCATCATCTTCCTCTTGTTGATCATTAACATGTTCTTCCTCTGCTTTCTCTTTACCTCCCTCTCTACAATACCTTTTGAATTCATTTGATTTTTCCCTAGATCTGAACAAAACAGTTATATCTTCCTGTTTTACTCTTTGGTGAATCAAATTGTTCAAATGATTTTTTAGACTTTCATAATCCTCAGTTTGGCTAATTTCAACAGGCACACCCTGTATTTTGTGTCCAAGTTTGGATTTACGTGGATCATACTTGCAGGAATATTTATGAATTTTTTTCGTGGTCCTCATGACCTTTGTTAGCTTTTGTGTTTTAGTGATGTTAAAGTAATTTAAATGAGCATCACCATCATTTTCGACTCTTTGGAACGAGTCATAAAACATCCAAAAGTACCCATGGTTAGGATCTTTCAAAATAAATCGTTTCAAAAATTCCCTCCACTCAGCTTTGAAATCTTGACCTTCATCAATGAGAATGTGGTCATATTTGTCATCATCAGTAATGCAAGGTTTGATTTGATCAATAACCTCATTCATTTTTGTCCTCGTATGTTCCATGTCTTTTCCCTTTTGGAATTGAGCTCTGTTTTTTTTAGATTGCAAACTTTTAACATATTTTATGAAGGAGGATACTGTTACCCTGTTTGCACCTAGATTAGTTTCAAGTTTTGCTGCCAAAGGTCGATGGTAACATAAAACTAAGATTGAATCATTTTGAGTTTTGGGGTTATTCTTAATAGATCTCACCTTCTCTTCAAGTAAAACAGTCTTCCCCGATCCAGCTGGACCTTCTATATTCAGAATGTGTGTCTTATTTTCAGACACCTCCCTCTGTTCTGGTGTCTTCAATAAATATTGAATGCTAGTTGTCTGTTCAGCAACCACATTATTCACATCTGTATCCCGGATCGGGATATTGTTTTCATTTGCCTTAACATCAGGGTCATAAGCCAAGTGGGCATATAGTATGTATCTGAAATAAACATATTTCATTAGATTTTGTAAGTATGAAGTTTATTACATACACAGGATGTTCCAAATACTGTAAATTGGGTTAAGTTGATGCTTTATTTTGGAAAATTTGGTGAAATAGAAAAAACAACAATTTACCTATACCTACATATACGACAGTATCGGTAACCGTATCGGTAATTGAATGGATCACAATTGTCTGACGAAATATTTTAATTTTTGATTTAAACATTCACAAAACTATTCAATGTTCAAAAGAAATAACATAATTTTCCATTTCCCTGGATATTCCTAAATAAAGGACAACATGGCGCTAACGAAGCCATAAAATATAATGTGTTTCCTATATAATTAAAGAAGAATTATTGCTATATTTGTATTTCAAATGTCAGTCACGATATATCAATTATAGTGAAAAGGCCTACAGATACTTCAGGAAAATATACAGAGATTATCCTATATGAGGTTCAGGATATTGGGATTAACCCGAGGCCAATATAATATATCTGCCCGAGGGCCATGGGTCAATTACAGAATTGCACAAGGTGTCTCGGGACACAGGACATTAGGTTCAGACGGCAGAAGAGTTTGGAAGACTCAAAACAAGGTTGTGCCCTGTTGTGTTATGTTGGTTTGACTGTCAGTTGTGTTTTGGTGGTTGTATGTATGCTAGTTTGGTATTGGTTGTGCACCAATTCGTTTTTTTCTGCTGTGTTGTGTGATTATTCGATTCTTGATTGAATAAAAGTCTAGAAAGTGTTTATGCCATTATAAGTATATCATAGTTTTTGTACCAATTCATAATCTCATTCAATTATTGCCTTGAAAGATCTACCAGAAAAACTACCGTTCTTTGAAAAATCGAAAAATTCTTCCAGAAAAATTACCATTTTTTACTGGAAAAAAAATCTAATAGAAAAAATTCGGATTTAAAAAGAAATACTGTAAGAGCTACCATTTTTTAAAAATCAACTGGAGCATTTTTGGAATATTTTTATTTTAGGTTGGCAGGTCAGAAAACACTAAAATTTACCTCTTAGCTGTATCCAGTATGTCCTTGTAAACTATGTCTGGCAAACTTCTCTCACCAGGACTATGCCTGGTTACATCTTGCCACCACAATCTAAATGTATTTTCATCCTCAACATCCTCTTTAAACATATAGTAGTATTCACCATCGAACCTCTTCTGCTCGCGACGCTTTAAATTTGGGATTCCAATAACAAGTTTTATATTATTGTTAGGAATCTTCTTGTTGAAATTCTCATCAAAGAATTTTTTGACTCGATCTAATTGTTCCTTTGCTTTTTTCTTGCTTTTCTGTTTTGTACTTTTGTTTGTTTTTTCTTCACTGGATTTACTTTCAATCATCATCACCCCTCTTGAGTGAAAGACAATGAAGTCTTGCTGATATTCTTTTTTGCTTTCTTTCAGGTTGAATTTTAAATCTCTTATAGCTATAATTTTATCATGAGTTATGCTGTGTAAACATTCATAAATCATATGCTCTGCAGCATCTCCCTCAATATGGTCCTTATCTGATTTATTTTTATTTTTCATTGGTCGTGCCTCAGCTTCAGGGTTCTTTAACATTTGAATTCTGTCAGATTCATTTGTCTTACCCCCTTTCTTTGTTTGTTTAACTGCAGACTCAGGTTCCTCAAGTATTAGGCGTGTATCTGTTTCATTTGTCTGTTTCATTTTCTTTGGTTTGGCAGCAGCTTCAGAGTACCCTGGTACTGGGTTTGTCTTCCTCTTTCTTTCAGTTGCATGTTCAGGTTTATTTGGCATTGGGTTTGTGTCAGGTATTTTGTTTGTACCCAGTGCATATGTCTTTTTCTTCTTTGGTACGACTGCAGCTTGTGGTTCCTTGGGCATTTGGTTTGAACCCAGTTCTGTCTTCCTCTTTTTCCCCATTGGTTTGGCTGCAGGTTCAGGTTTCTTTGGCATTGGGTTTGTTGTATTCAATTCATTTGTTTTTCTCTGTGGTTCAGCTGCATCAGGCATTGGGTTTTTGTATAAGAAAGCTCGTGGAATCATAAGGCGGCCTTCTTTCTCAAATTCAGTTTTGAAATATTGATTAAAAAATTCATTAGCCTTTTCATCATAATTTTGAGTCTCATGTCTGGAGTTTTGGCCAGCATTAATGTCTATTGCCCCCAGTTTGGTTCTAATTTTCTCCATATCCATGTTTTAAGATAAGTTTTTCTGAAAAATAGAAAATTGTAAGTACTCTTTTGAACTCATAATACAATACATTAATGTAAATGAAAACATACACTTATTGAAATAAATTTTAAAGCGATCAAGATTGAGTATAATATTTTCATTTTTTGTAAATTATACATGTTTTATTGAAGATATTGATGTCAAAGGAAAGCAGTGCCAAAATATTTTATGCCCCTATACCAGACATGTAGTACACTACTTACTTATGTTTATTTTAAAGCAAAAAAACATGAGCGAAATCAGTATTCTATGAGCTGTTTAAATAATACCAATTGAGAACATATTTGGAAAGACTAATCCTTTGATAAAAGTCTCTTGATGTTATATTTTTATCATATTTCATGAAAAATGTAATCTTTAATAGTTGAAATACCAGTGAATTATTGGTTTTAATTTTATATGCTGGTGCCTTAGGACAATAGATGTTTTCCATAACTGAATTAAAAAGGCCACAAACAAAATCCTGCGGTAGGCGAGTGCCTTTGAATTACAAACTGGGGTCCCCAATCGGTGTCTTTGCTTATATAGTAGGGAATGAAGTAGTGACGTCATCCCAATAATATGCACGCATCTATATAACTTTGGCACAAACATTGGGCAAAACATTCATGGATCAAAACATCAAATAAAATTCAGTGTGCTTCCCCCAGAGTATGCAAAGATACAGTGGCAAATAAATCAATGTACATGAATATGCATGGTACTAATCCATATACTCTAAGAGCGAGGAGGAAAATTCTTAATGAATGGAGTATAGTTGGTTTGGCAGCATTTTCAGTTAGGGAGAAGTCTTGGATGAAAATTCTACCTAGGTGATAGCTTCACAGAGTGGTGCATCATTCTTTTTTTCAGGGGTTAGCCCCCACCCCCTAAAAGCACCCCACCCCTGGAAAAAAATTTCATTCTCAATAACTTTAGATATCTTGATGTTTGTAAGTTACATACGTAGACATTATATATATGAATCATTTGCAAAATAAATAATGCCAATCACTACTACAGAATTTGAATAATAGTACAAAGTATGTACCCCAGGGGGCAAATTCGTGACCCATTTTCTTACTATTTAGAGCCTCACTTTTCAATTAGACACTGAAAGACATTGGAAAAATTCAAAAAAAAATTGTTGAATTTTTGAAAATTTGGACTTTTCGAGAGGGGTGATTTTGTGTATGACTATAGCTGACGCTTATAGTTTCTAGATCCATCCCTCTTTGATGTTAAATATGGTTTTAAAGTGTAGAACTAAAATGTAAAACATAATTTAAATGGGTTTTAAGGAAGTTTAAAGTATTAAATAAGTCCAAAATTGTACAATATCAGGTCTGAATTTATGAATTTCAGGTATGACCTTGGATGAGACTTATATTTTTTACATCTGTCCCTCTTTGATGATATGTACGGTTTTGTAGTGTGAAACTTATATGTAAAAAATAACTTAGATTGATTTGAAGAAGGTTTAAGGATTTTAATGAGTCCAAAATTTGAAGAATTGTACAATATCAGGTCTGAATTTACGAATTTAAGCTATGACCATGGATGACCCTTTTGATTTTTTTCTGTCCCTCTTTGATGATATTTATGGTTATATAGTAACAAACTAAGCTGTAAAATATAATTTAGATGGATTTTATGAAGGTTTAAGGATTTTAAAAAGTTCAAAATTTGAAGAATTGTACTATATCAGGTCTGAATTAATGAATTTCAGGTAAGACCTTGTGTAAGCCTTATAAAATGTAAAAAATAATTAAGATGGATTTTAAGAAGGTTTAAAGATTTTCACGAGTTCAAAATTTGAAGAATTGTACAATATTAGGTCTGCAATTAACACATTTCAACCTTGGTTGGTTCTTATGTTTTTACACTCATCCCTTTTTCATATATATGATATATTTGGTTTAGTAGAGTTGAAATATTATGTATAACATGATTTGGGTGGGATTTTAAAAAAAACTAAATCTTTTAAACAAGTTCAAAATCTTGGCGAATTGTACAATATCAGATCTGAAATTAACAGATTCTAAGTATAACCTTTGTTGGCCCTTATGTTTTTAACATCCCTTTTTGATGATATATATGGTTTAGTAGTGTGGAACTAAGAGGTAAAACATAATTAAGATGGGTTTTAAGGAGGTTTAAGGTTTTAAACAAGTTCAAAACTTGACAAATTGTACAAAATCAGACCTGAAATAAACGTCTGGTAGAGCCTTAGATGAGCCTTTATGTTTTTTACATATATCTCTCTATGATAACATATATGGTTTTGTAGTATGGAACTTAAATGTAAATCATAATTTAGATGGTTTTTAAGGAAGTGTTAGGTTCTAAAGAGGTTCAAAACTTGAAAAATTGTCCAATATCAGGTGTGAAACTAACAATTTTCAGGTATAGCTTTGAATGATCCTCATTCTCTTTACATTCTAAATCTCTTTGATGATTTACATGGTTCTGTAGTGTGGGACTAAAATGTAAAACATAATTTAGGAATTTGGGGTTTTAAGGAAGTTTAACCCTAATGTCTGCAGGGGAGGGGGGGGGGTCAAATTGACCTACCCCTCTGTTTTTTAAATGGTACCTTTTTGTGTAAAGATCAAGGTAATTGGGGGTAGAGGTGCAAAGTTATGATAGTCCGAAGTTGATCCCAATAAAAATGAAAATGAAATTTATGAAATATTGATGGTTACCCTGTTTTTGATACAATAAAAAATGCAAAATGATGATAATTTTGAGATAATCATTTAGCAATAAGTAAAAAATAAAAACCTCCTTCAAACCCCAATTTCCTAAATTTTGTTTTACATTTTAGTTCCACACTACAAAACCATGTAAATCATCAAAGAGGTTAACAATTTCAGACCTAATATTGTACAATTTGTCAAGCGTTGAACTTCTTTAAAACCTTAAAGAGAGAATCAGATCTAGCAAGCAGCCAAACAAAAAATTGTTAAAATTTTTGAATATTTCTGGCTTATGTCATTCCTTTTCATGTCTATTTGCTAATAATCCCCAAATTACACATTTTATTTTAGGAAAACTAAAGATTTCTACAACAATGTATTATTTTCCCATACGAATGGTTACAATTCTTATTATTTTGGGAGTATTTAAACATTTTTCACCCTTTTTTGCCCTTTGAATCCATCATAACTTTATCAGTTTTTAATACATCGTGAATCTTTTGAAAGATATTGTATTTGAGATTGTAAGGAATAGATTGTTAGGTGAATTGTACATGTTGCTTGTAATTTTGTCACCCCTATAGATCTGATTCTGCCTTAAACTTCCTTAAAACCAATCTAAATTATGTTTTAGTTCAATGCTACTAAACCATATATATCATCATAGAGAGATATATACCTGAAATTCGTTAATGTCGAATATGATATTGTACAATTTGTCAAGTTTGAACAGTTTTAAAACCTTAAACCTTCTTGAAACCCATCTAAATTATGTTTTACCTCTTAGTTTCACAATACTATATATTACCAACCATATATTATATAATCATAGAGAGATAGATGTAAAAAATGAACAAGGGCCATCCAGTTATAAATAAAATTAATAAATTCCAGACCTGTTATTGTACAATTCTTCATATTTTTAACTTGTTTAAAACCTTAAACTTCTTTAAAACCTGTCTAACTTATGTTTAACATCTTAGTTCAACACTAATGTACTAAACCATATATGTCATCAAAAAGGGATAGATGTAAAAAAAAAACATAAGGATTGTCCAAGGTAATACCCAAAATTCATTAATATCAGCTCTGATATTGTACAATTTATAAAAATTTGAACTTGTTTAAAACCTCAAACTTCTTTAAAACCAATCTTAATTATGTTTTACATATTAGCTCCATACTACTAAACAATATATATCATGAAAAAGAGATAGATGTTAAAAATATAAGGGCCAAGCAAGGTTATACTTTAAATTCGTTAATTACAGATCTGATATTGCACAATAAGCCAAGATTTTGAACTTGTTTAAAACGTTAAGCTTCTTTAAAACCTATATAAATTATGTTTTACATATTTCCACACTACTAAGCCAAATATATTATGAAAAAGGGATAGGTGTAAAAAAGATATGGGCCAGCCATATGGTTATACTTGAAATTTGTTAACTGCAGACCTGATATTGTGTCTTCGCCGGGTTGGCCTAGTGGTTAAGGCATTGGTCTGAAAAGCAGGAAGTCTGGCTTCATGCTGAAAAGTAGAGGTCTTGGGTTCAAACCCAGGTCACAGCACTTCTTGTGATTTGTCTTTGACCTATGACTGCTGACCTATACCGGCGATGACTAGAGTGCTGCTGACTCGATAAAAGGCTGGCGCTGGCTAGAATTGTCTATGGTTCTAGCCAGGATAAAGATACCAGTTCAACTCGACAATGGGAAGAACTGCTCTACCTTAGTGACTAATATGTCATGATATGACATCTAAAGAGTCGATAAAAGATATATATATATATATACAATTCTTCAAATTGTTTCAATCCTTAAACCTACTTAAAATGCATCTAAATTATATTTTACATCTTAGTTCCACACTACAAAACCATACATATCATCAAAGAGGGACAGACAAGGTCTTACCTAAAATTTGCAAATTCAGACCTGATATTGTACAATTCTTCAAAACTTGTTAGAATCCTAAAACCTTCTCAAAATTCATCTCAATTATATTTTACATGTTAGTTCCATACAATAGAACCATGAATATCATCAAAGAGGGAAAGATGTAAAAAAACATAAGGGTCGTCCAAAGTCATACCTGAAATTCATAAATTCAGACCTGATATTGTACAATTCTTCAAGTTTTGAATTTGTTAAAATCCTTAGACCTTCTTAAAAACCATCTAAATTATTTTATACATCTTGGTTTCACACTACAAAACCATAAATATCATCAAAGGGGGACAGATGTAAAAAATTTAAGGCTCATCAAAGGTCTTACCTAAAATTTGTAAATTCAGACCTGATATTGTACAACTCTTCGAATTTTGAACTTGTTTAAAAGTTTAAGCTTCCTTAAAACCCATTTTAATTATTTTTTACATCTTAGTTCCATACTTCAAAACAATATTATTATCAAAGAGGGATAGATCTAGAAACCAAAGGCATCAGATATAGTCATACAAAAAATCACCCCTCTCAAAAATGTCAAATTTTTCAAAAAAATCAACCATTTTTTTTCGACTCTTACTGATTCATTTAGTTTAAACCTTTCAGGGCTTATAGCCCTGCTACTGGGCACTTCAAATGAATTTTTCCAATGTCTTCCAGTGTCTGATTGAAAAGTGAGGCTCTAATGGCCTAGTCACATAGCCCGGCCGATGAGGTTACGATGAGCCAGCGATGCAATTTTCACCGAACTCGGCCGAACACCGGCCGGACACCGGACAGACATCCGTGACGTTGGTTGCTTAGAAACGCATCGGTGGTAGCTCGGTGAAATTTTAACTTCAGAGTTAAATTTCACCGGGCTCTCACCGAGCTCCCTCATCATGTCATCGCAGCCCCATCGTAACCACATCGGAAAACACGTCGGCCGGTGCACGACCGAGTATCAGCTGGTGTCCTGTGCATCTGAGACAACCAGAGGACGAGGTTTTTTAACGGACAGCGGCCGAGCTCCGACCGAGCTCCGGCCGATGTGGGACAGAGCATCGGCCGGTCACTGTTCAAAGCCCGTTAACAACCCGGCCGGCGATCGCACGGTGTCCTGTTACCTGCTCGGGTACCGGCCGTATTCCTTCCGATGTCCGGCCGACCTCCGGCCGGTAGTTGCTGCCACATCGGCAGAAAAAAACTACCATTTTGAGACAGACTCCGTACGGTCACCGGCCGGTGTTCGGTCGGTCGCCTGAAGATGTCCGGACGGAGTCCGTTCACGTCACCGAGCTCTGCTTCCGATGAGGAGAGCTCGGTGGCACCAAAAAAATCCACCATCCCATGTTAATTCTATCTTGTACGTTATGTCCAGAATGACTTAGGATATGATTAAGTATGTTTTGTTTGGTGGGTTTTGTTGCTCTGGGGAGTTGCATGCTGTTTTCTAAATTCATAAATAAGAATTACTTCTGAGAAGTCAAGAAAAAACAGATATAAAAATACATATTTGAGTGACCAAGACTAAATTATTCTTTATTTATACATTTTAAACAAATAATCCTTAAAAACCTTTCACATTTTCAGTGAATATTTTCTCAAGTACAGTATACATCGTTTAACCAACCAAGGTTTTTTGTATATTATGATATAAGTCTATGCATTGTGTATGCCATTTTCTTTGGATTTTATAGAGCAAAAGTTTAAGAGAAGTCTGAAGTGTTTTAATTACAGTAAGTAAATTATTAACCTGTAAAGTGGTTGAAACTTGGATATACATGTACTTCTTTATAAATCGAGTGCAAATTTTATTCCTGGGGGGTTGACTGTATACAAAATTCAGCGGGGGGCATAGGCTGAACCCTCAGATATCAATATGTTCATATACCAATCTGTGAAATTTCAATGTGTTCTGATACCAACCAATATTATATGCGCAAAAGCCGGGCCAAATGTCTAAATATAGAACGAATGCCATACCAAATGTCCAGATATAAGATCAAAGGCATTCAAAATGTCTAAAGCTCCAAGAAGAAAGCAAATCTTTGAGGAAAACGATCCAAAACAATTTCAAAGAATGTTTGTAACTTCTAGGCCAATGCCATATCACAAGTGAGGGGTAACATATATTCCACAACCACTCTCATACCAGAAAGCGGAAAAATCCAACCATTGCCATGCCTCAAAAGTCATAATTTGGGGGGGCATTCTCATACCAGATCCTTCACCAAATGTCAAAATAGGTACCCCAATGTGAGCAGAGGATCCTTGTCAAGGTTTATATAGAGTGAACCACCGGGATTTTATTTGAAGACCTGAAAGAAGGTCACATATATTCTAATTATAACTATGTTTCTGTTCTGTGTCATGGAGTTCCCTTCTGTAAGTCTGATCGACCTTCAATGGACATCCCTTGAATTTTTATATTCCATTGTTCAGTCCCCCATACCCTGTCTAACCCATCTGTTATTAATTTAAAAAACGTACCTCAGTCTCCAATATAAGCCGTTCTCATTTAATCTGGTATTGGAAATTAATTTCTTTCGGTTAACTTTGTTTAAATATGAGTGGGGGCATGGTTCAAGATAAGTCATGTGACTCATATATGTACATCCACAATAAAAAGTAGTTCCCTTTCAAAATTGTTTGGAACTTCAATGGTATAGAAAATTTGATTTTACTTTGGTATCATTTCTGAAAAATGCTTGTGCGTAATACTGTATACATTTTAATTGGTAAAACAACATCACAGTCATTGAAATAGCCAAATATTGTACTCTTAATTCAAATCTCTGAGGTCGAGATGGTCTAATATAAGTAGGAAGAACACCATTACCCAGACAATGCTTAAATCCAATTGGCCAATGGTACAAATTTGAACTGATTCCCGCCATTTATTTAAATTTCTTAGAAATTAGCGTATGAATCTGGTCAAAAAGTACATGTCATAATGATCCAATATTCCTATGATACATTTATTTTTTTAATGATTATTTTTATCATACTACATACCTACAGTAACATGTCAACACAACAATTCAACATGCATCATATTTTCATTAAAGATGGCACTGCTACAGAGTACTTTCAGGAACTATATTCACAGTTTTAAACATTTTCTGTCCACTCAAAAAGCCAGAGGGATACAATGGTGTTCTTGGGTCTGGGCGGGGGACCAACCTACTTTTTCTCTATAGAGATACATATTAAATTGATAAAGTTCAAACTATAATTTCTAAAATCTCAGCCCATCAAATCATTGCATCTATTCAGATCATGGACAATGTAGTCCTAATCAAAAGCTTTTTGTTTGCTTACACAGTGAGAAAAATATCCCACGAACAACAACAAAAAAGATAAGGCATGCATAATATTTAGTATTACTAACCTAGCGAAGTATTTGTATGGAAGTCAATGGAGCTGAAGGTCGGCTATATAGCCGCCAAACTATATAACACCCAAATTAAATTATGAATATTCAAAAGATGACATTTAAATCAGCAATATGTAAAAATATCAAAATTGTCAGAAGCAGATGTAACGTGCAGTAGACTGATTCAATAAATACCAAGTCTCAGTTTGGAGAACAAAGTTCATAAGTGTACTGCACTAATAATTTTTTAATAAAAAAAAATATAGAAATAACACCCAAATTAAATTATGGATATTCAAAAGAGGAAATATAAATCTACATCTACATCTAAAGGGATATTCTCATGTTTTTCTAGAGAAATTGCATCAGCTCTTGACCGTTTAGAGACCTACCAACCTGACCAACTGCTGTATGTGGTGGAGAATGGTCAACATGCCCATTTTAACAGTCTCATACAAGTCATGAAGGCAATGGAACACCCATTCTTTCTCAAGTAAGTTTTAAAAACATGGAAATTAATATACAGTAAAAAGATCTAGTAGATGTTTTGTTATATGGGTTCATCCTTAAAATTCAAGGGATTTCATTAGAATTCCTGACAACAGGGAATGAAAAGCAGCCTCTCTCACAAATCTCAAAACAATACTCAGATCAACTAGAGATTTGAAAAATTTAGACCCTGGCCACATCCTGGTAACATTGATGTATTTTTCTCTTACAATAAGACTGTAGATGATATCCAAGTGAAGTTTGGTCTTGTAGTGGGAATGAAAAGCAGCCATCTTTCTACTAGGTACAACCTGGTAACATTGATGTATGTTTCTCTTACAGTAAGACTGTAGATGATATCCAAGTAAAGTTTGGTCTTGTAGTGGGAATGAAAAACACCCATGTTTCTACTAGGTACAACCTGGTAACACAGATGTATGTTTCTCTTACAGTAAGACTGTAGATGACATCCAAGTGAAGTTTGGTCTTGTAGTTGGAATGAAAAGCAGACTTGGTAATGTGGTCTTACTGGGTGAACTCATTGATTCACTTAAAACAGAAATGAAGAAACGGATTAGAAAATCAAAAACTAGTAAGTTAGTTACATGATCTTTGTCAAATATTAATAACAGTGAAATCTTTATTCGAACATATCTCAGTATGAACTCTTTTTCTCAGTCTCAAATTAATTATCTCCCATTTACTCTCATGTAAAAAATACATTGAAATATAAACACCTGCTTATGAATCAAACCACATTGGTGTTTGGATTAAGCTTTTACTGCACCTTGATGTTTGTGAATAATTAAATGTTTATAACAAAATATCTTCATATACAGTGACTTATTAACAGTGTTTGTCTTCATCATGTTTCAAAAATTAGCAAACTTGTATATTCAAGATGTGGGTAATAAAATTGAATCATTTCGTTACACACTTCAATTTTGCTATTATGATTCATATCTTTTAAAGTTTATACATGGTTAAGAAGCCCCATGGGTATTTCTTGAATGTATGTCTTCCAGCCATGGAGATTCCAGAACATGAGGAAGATGCAACACTAACCAATCTAGCAACATCAGGCCTCATTATAAATGATCTCATGGGCAATAGGAGAAAGTTCTTCAAATGGGACGGCTGGAAGAACAGGCTTGATATCGCTGTTAGGTGGCATTATTGTCATGCAAGACTTTGTAGGTGAGTGGTTTGATATTGCAGTTACTGTAATCGCCATATTAAGGGCCCACCCCGCTTCACAGAGTTCAAGAAATATCGAGGATTGGCCAAGTTTTAACGAATATATCAGAAAAAAAATCAAATTTCCAAAGAAATATAGTGGGCGATAATAGGGTACTTACACTAACATCCAGAAAACATGACGCATTTTGTAAATCGATGCATTGTCGCGATGAATATCTATCAGTGGGTGCTTCACACATCATACTAAGCTAATATTATCTCAAATAGTCCATAATGAATGAAGGAAATGATCACATTTCAGAGATTTGTTTCGACATGTTATCATCAAGGTCATGTTTCTTTTTAAGATTTCTCATCTTTTACATGACTTATACACGAAAAATGATGATCTGTCATCAAATTAAAAAAACAAGGTATAACTTTAGATCGATATCTAACAGTCTATAGTGGAAATATTGAAGATAATCGCGGAAAAACAATTCCTTCACTTCGAGGGGCTCTGCTCGGGAGTTTTTCAATCACTGTCAATATAGTTAGATTCTTGCTTTATTTTAGCAATCTTTACCATATTCTACCCAAAAACGATACATATCATTATTGTCAAAATATGCTGTCACTTTCGTTGCAAATAAGGCATTTTTGGCAAGAAAAATTCCCAGGGATTTTTGAATTCTCTCAAATATGGGCGCTCTATGTAATGGGTTACAATGGGAACTTCAATTTCAAAAGCGCCCTAGGCGCTTATTACGGCAAATACGGTAGGTGGCATTATTGTCACGCAAGACTTTGTAGGTGAGTGGTTTGATATTGCAGTTAGGTGGCATTATTGTCACACAAGATGTTGTAGGTGAGTGGTTTGATATTGCAGTTAGGTGGCATTATTGTCATGCAAGACTTTGTAGTTTAGTGGCTTTATATTGCAGTTAGGTGGCATTATTGTCACACAAGATGTTGTAGGTGAGTGGTTTGATATTGCAGTTAGGTGGCATTATTGCCATGCTAGACTTTGTAGTTTAGTGGCTTTATATTGCAGTTAGGTGGCATTATTGCCATGCAAGACTTTGTAGGTGAGTGGTTTGATATTGCAGTTAGGTGGCATTATTGTCACACAAGATGTTGTAGGTGAGTGGTTTGATATTGCAGTTAGGTGGCATTATTGTCACGCAAGATGTTGTAGGTGAGTGGTTTGATGTTGGAGTTAGATGGCATTATTGCCTTGCAAGCCTTCATATTTGAAAGAAAAATAATAAATCTTGATTGTATAGTAAAACATTCTTGAACATTTTATCTATGCTGTAAAGAGGTGAAATTTATTTGATTAAAAGCATTCTGGGTAGAATAGAATGTCAAATAGCTAAACGCCTCCAAGAATTAACTCTGAAAGGAAAAAAAATCTGAAAAGAATGACTGTGAAATAATATTGGTAAAGTAATCCAGATTTAATACATCGGTTGAAATATTGAAAAACCTCTGTTTGTGAAATATTGTTTAAAATGACTGTATGTATGTATGTATATGTATGTATATATTTATTGCCCTTTATATAAAGGAGATACATGTATACAAATTATGTAAATGTTAAATTGAAAATAATCACTATTTACAAACAAACAATATTGCTGTTTTTGACTGACGACGACGCCTAGCTACCGCGTAGACGCACGTCGCCGACCAAAATTGGCCTAGCACCTAATTGTAACGCAATTATAAAAAAATGACTATATTTTACAAACATTCATTGTTTTGTTGTTGTTTTTTATACTGACGACGACGCCTAGCTACCGCGTAGACGCACGCCGTAGGCCTAGATAGACCTGTTAGACCAGATTACCTGTAGTAAAGGCTTGGAGTTTCCTTTATTTTAAATGTATGGTTTAATATATTTTTAGACTTGAAGAGAACACATTTTGTCCTTTAAATCTGTCTGCTGATGTCACAGTGTTGAGAGACGTCTATTCTGGATCCCTAGCATTCCAGCTTGCCAGGTAAGATATTCAGCTCACCAGCTTGTTCTTACATATATATTTGCTTTTGTGTTATTTTCACTAAAAAACCTACCAATGATCTGATTCAACAAATGTCAAAATACTAAAAAGTTCTAAATTCTTGATAATGCATTGATATGACAGGTTTTCTGGTAGTCTAACAGAGCATGTCAAGACAGACGTTTTTCTTTGTTGGATGATATTGTGGTTAGCACTTTTTTTTGAAGCAGGGGGTCCTGGGTTCAATCCCAGTTCCTGCCACCTTGAGTACATATTTGTTCTGGTACTAGGCTGGATCTCTCTCTGGTCTTTGCTTGGTTAAAGATATCAGTTCTTCTCAACTCAAAAATGGGAGAACCACTCTTCCTTGATCATGGTTGCATTATAAGTGAAATAAATCCATACCCGTTACAATATTGTGATTTACAGTATTCCCATGATATAACTCACCTTTGTAGGTGATAAACAAAATACAATATAAAGGCTCTTATTAATGTACAATCTTGTTTGACTTATTTAGGTATGGAGATGTTCTACAGCAGTCTATACAACACCTAGAACCCCACACTTTAGTGCAATATATCATAGCCCTAGTGGATGAAATCAGTCAATACCTTAATGTACATTCTATATTTGACTTATTAAGGTATGAGGATGTTCTACAGCAGTCTATACAACACCTAGAACCCCACACTCTAGTGCAATATATCATAGCCCTAGTGGATGAAATCAGTCAATACCTTAATGTACATTCTATATTTGATGTATTTAGGTATGAAGATGTTCTACAGCAGTCTATACAACACCTAGAACCCCACACTCTAGTGCAATATATCATAGCCCTAGTGGATGAAATCAGTCAATACCTTAATGTACATTCTATATTTGACTTATTAAGGTATGAGGATGTTCTACAGCAGTCTATACAACACCTAGAACCCCACACTCTTGTGCAATATATCATAGCCCTAGTGGATGAAATCAGTCAATACCTTAATGTACATTCTATATTTGGCTTAGGTATGAAGATGTTCTACAGCAGTCTATACAACACCTAGAACCCCACACTTTAGTGCAATATATCATAGCCCTAGTGGATGAAATCAGTCAATACCTTAATGTACATTCTATATTTGGCTTAGGTATGAAGATGTTCTACAGCAGTCTATACAACACCTAGAACCCCACACTCTTGTGCAATATATCATAGCCCTAGTTGATGAAATCAGTCAATACCTTAATGTACATTCTATATTTGGCTTAGGTATGAAGATGTTCTACAGCAGTCTATACAACACCTAGAACCCCACACTCTAGTGCAATATATCATAGCCCTAGTGGATGAAATCAGTCAATACCTTAATGTACATTCTATATTTGACTTATTAAGGTATGAGGATGTTCTACAGCAGTCTATACAACACCTAGAACCCCACACTCTTGTGCAATATATCATAGCCCTAGTGGATGAAATCAGTCAATACCTTAATGTACATTCTATATTTGGCTTAGGTATGAAGATGTTCTACAGCAGTCTATACAACACCTAGAACCCCACACTTTAGTGCAATATATCATAGCCCTAGTGGATGAAATCAGTCAATACCTTAATGTACATTCTATATTTGGCTTAGGTATGAAGATGTTCTACAGCAGTCTATACAACACCTAGAACCCCACACTCTTGTGCAATATATCATAGCCCTAGTTGATGAAATCAGTCAATACCTTAATGTACATTCTATATTTGGCTTAGGTATGAAGATGTTCTACAGCAGTCTATACAACACCTAGAACCCCACACTTTAGTGCAATATATCATAGCCCTAGTGGATGAAATCAGTCAATACCTTAATGTACATTCTATATTTGGCTTATTAAGGTATGAAGATGTTCTACAGCAGTCTATACAACACCTAGAACCCCACACTTTAGTGCAATATATCATAGCCCTAGTGGATGAAATCAGTCAATACCTTAATGTACATAAGATTAAAGACATGGACAAGACTCAGGGGGAGGTAAGAAAAACAATCACTTTCATTTAAGAAAAAATATTGCACTTATGTGAGTGCAATGTTTTCCAAATATTTTAGGATCTTTCTGGCCTATTTAAAATGTGACTGATTTTAACTTTTCTGTGCACGATACATTTTCATTTTCATCTTTACTGAGTCCGCTTTATTGATGAAATATGAAGGGCAGAATTTGAAAATTAAACCGACATACATTTTCAAGGCCTCTTCGATTTGACAATATAGGGGAGCGGCAGTCCTGAAGGATTTTCTTATCCCCATATCCTAACACATTCACTGTTTTTACCCTTCCCGAAATACTTTCACCTTTTGCTTTTACACCGTCTTCCCCATATAATAGGCTAAGGTCGATAGAAATAATTTTTTTTAAATAAAGATGGCATGGTAATCGATCTGTGTTTATTTATTATTGTAGATGAAATACTGGATTCTGATGGTGCTGCCATCTTAATATCAGCCCAGAACCTATCATATGGTCTTCCCCATCATTAAACCTGTTGAATCCAAACTCAGTTTTCAGTCATAAAACTTTCCCGAAAAAATTTCTGATTGACTCATGGAAATAAGAACATACCCATAGCAAACCTAGTGTTCAATTTAGATATCCTCCTCTAGATAAAGGCTAGACTTGACCCCTGTTACACTTTCACTATATTAAAAAAACCTTAGACTTTCGAATTTATCAGGACTGCCCCTCTCCTCAATTTTATCGAACTTTGAAAAAGTACTTTAGTATTGTCATCTCCTTGTGCTGATTGGTATGTTTGCATCTGTGTGTTCATGTGGGCACCAAATGAATCTTCAGAGTGTGTCATTAAATGATAAAGAATAGATAACTTTAAAACATTTGATGAACTGTTTTTGATAAACGGTTCATTCTTTTTAAGTACAGAACACATATTTCAAGAGAGATTGACTATTTATTAAAAAGTCCCCATTACATAATAACCCTCATGTATTTACTGCTCTATTTCCAGGCACATCTACTATTGTTGCACTGTTCAAGGATTGTACTTCACAATGGAATGACATTGCTTGGAATAAAGCCTTTGGAGAGATTTTGATGAACTTGTAGACTGCCAAAAAGTTTTAAGAATTATGACAAATAAATACAGTCATATATAAATTAATAAATGAATGTTTTTTTTTTAAATCAATGGTTCTAGAACACAAGTTCAAATTAGTTAAACCTAATGGGGAGTCTTAAAAGACAGCTTTGTGGGACCTGTGACTTTGTGCTTGGATTCTAGAGTGAAATCCTCAAAGGAAAGTTCATTGTTTGCCATACTTATTTACGTCTTCGAGAACAATGTGCTATCATGTGGTTACATTTGTTATCAGATATCAAATATATTGACTCACTTTAGTGATACTAAGCCATCTCAGACATTTCCCACCATTCATAAGGCAATTACAACATTTTTCAATTGGGGTTACTTTCAGAATTTTAAAATACTTGCTTTTGACAGTGAAATGGTAATTTTCATTGGAATTTTGAGTGAACTTTTAGGTGAATAATTGTGATTGAGAAAATAAGAGGATTAAACTGACTTTCTACATGAATCAAGATTACAAAGAAGAATATTCGATTAGTAAGAAATTAAAAGATTGATGAATAAACCTTCCTTTTTAATGTACAAAACATATAAATCTTAGTGACCTCCGCCATATGTGTCACACATCTACAAGTACATATATATACCACAATATTGTTGTCTCCCGTGTTAATTAAATTCCAAGAGGAATTTGTGTGTGGACTAGTACTTTAAATAGAACTTACTATCTACATATGCAGACACCAGACAGATAATGAAAATTCTGAAAATATGTTGGAACATTTACCTAAGATATAGCAATTAAAGGTGAGTTTTCTTTTTTAGTACAGTTTATCTGTATCTGAGGTGTGATACTTTTGGAGTTTCAGATTTATAGAGAAAATATTATTAAAATAGAATATGTGATTTATAGAGCGTTGATTTATCAGCGTTGAGTATTCTCAGTAGTTACAGTTTTACAGTTTTTTCAGTTTACTGCATTTTCATTTTTATAGAATTTCACTCATAGTAATTCTTACCCTAAACCGCTAGTAAATTTTTGTTAGTAAATTTACAAATTAAAAATATGTAATTGCAGGCTACAGAACCTTTTCCTGACTGATTTTAGAAATGTATTATTAATTTATATTCTCAATGGTGAAAAGTAAATACAAAATATTTAATAATTATCCTATGAAAATGCTGAAGGGGTGCACTATTAGTAACCCTACCTAGTTGCTTTCTTAGCGAAGTTTCAAACTTTTCTAATATTTACTAATATTTTCCTTAGATACTAATATATAAAGCAAACTATTACTATGGGTTGTTCATAGATTGAATCGAGTTAAGTGGATAAATGGAGGGACCCTAAGATCAATTTAAACCATTGCTTTAGGGCACTTTTAGAAATTATTTAGGAATGTTGTTACACTATTTTATATCATGATTTCTAGAAACATAAAAGCAATATTTATTTAGGGTTTAACAGAGTTCTTTTATTAGAAGTACAACACAGTTGTCAAAATACATATTACTCTTAAAGAGAGATAGACTTGTTTATTTAATAAAATAAAAGAGGCTCACAAATAATTGAATTTCTTCCAAAATAATGACACTTACATGTAATTGATTATTCACATATAACTTGGCATAATGTATCACTTTCTGACCAATCAAAAGACAGTATACAGTAGCCATGGTACCTAGTTTTACAATGTTTCTAAAAATAATTCAAGGAGCATGATTAGTAAGTGGGAAAATTATAATAGGAGAAAATATGATCATGTATGAAAAACTCCTAAATATTATCAATAATTAATGATAAGCCAAATAGTTGCTTATACATGTCTCTAATATTATGAATTAGTCTTGATGATGTCTGAATATGTCACTCCAAAAAAAGAATACAAAAAGGTTAACAGAATGATCATCGAAAAACTTTAATGGTGAAAATTAAAAATATTATTTTAAGTTCTCTCGATGACGTATTTTAAACACCTTGACACTTTAACATGGATGAATTCTATTTGTTTTAATATTTTTTCAAATTTACATTTTGTTTACAGTCTTAAGCATGTACTGTGTGAGGTTGGATCTGTGTGAGGTTGGATCTGTGTGAGGTTGGATCTGTGTGAGGTTGGTTTCATTTCAAGATGACATTCATATTTTTAAGTCAATATCAAACATTTACTCTCTAAAGAATGTAGAATTTAAAAAAAGCAGTTTAAAGACATCACTTCCAAAACTAAACCAAACAATCCCATAATTACAAGAAGTATATTATCTAATGTTATATATTCTAACAGAGCTTATTGGTCGATCATGGCTCATAACTCATTGATGCATTATGGGAAATGACATCTTTTGGTTTTTGTTTATTTTTGAAGGAACTTTTGTGGGATTGTAAGTGCTTGGATTTGTTCAGTCATTTATGCAAATACTTGGATTTTGTATAATACCATTATGAGTATACAGCGGTAGTGCCATTTTGGGATTAAAGCAGATACTGCCTGCACTTTCAAAGGTAAGGGATTAGTTTATGCACTTAAGATGATTTGCATTAAAGTATGGGTTTCATTATTTGTAAAGTTTGACCATAGAGTTGGATTCTTGTATGTAATCTATCAGTTTTTTTATTTCTTTTAGTGACTTGAGCATTAGTTGACCTAAAATCAACATTTCTTCAGACTCTAGTGGATGTTTAGAAATATTTCACCTTATAAATAAAAAATGCAAGGTGAAAATCTCATTTGATGTTAAAAAATCAGGTCAGTCAATTGTTACTTTAAATAATTTATTTGAAATGACTATTTGAGTGTATGTGTTTATTTGCTGTTATTGATTTGGTTGTCACTTTACTTTTAGACATCTTATTGTTATATTAGTACAATGCATTTAATCAACAATGATGTTTAGTTGTAAATAATTGAATGATATTATAAAAGTTGGGTTACCAAAAAACTCAACAATTAAAAAACTGACTCCATTACACATTATCAATTGCAAACATGAATTTTCGAACATAAAATAAGATATCACACATGATGTCCATGTATACGCTGTAGTTTGTATTCATTGAGTTGAAGTAAGTTGTTATCACATTTACCAATAACTGTGAAGTGGCCAATGACGACTTTATGAATTATTGACATTGATGTCAGGATATCACTTTACTTCTCAATGTATTTGTAAGAGAATATCAATATAAGAGTATTGGTTTGTATCATTTTGGTTTTTCATTTTTATATTCATGTCTTTGTTTATCATATATTTACCCTTTGCATTCGTTTGACTTCACTTCTTAAAAGAGAGCTTCGTCTTCACTCTTTCAAACTAAAATAAACCTGTGAACTCACCGCGCCAATTAGTGTTCGTCGGCCAAATTTGACCGACGTTCTACATATGGTCATTCCTTCTGACGTCATCGTTGAGCCCGGAATTGACCAATGACATGCGCATATTTAATTTGAACGCATTTGGCGTATGTTTCTTCAAGCTTGCTGATTGGTGAAAAAAAGGTCAGTGCATAGGTCAGAAGTGATTTATTACCCAAACTGTCACAGGTACCCGTCGTGGGGTGGGGCTACTAATCTGCAATATGGTCTCTACTAGGCAGAGTGTAGTTTAACTAGACTCTGCACGCAGGGTATCATATATTGTGTCTATAATGTTGCCCTTTGTAATGATATGACTTTGAATGGATCAACCATGTAACTGAAATGTTCATTTTGCAACTGCTGGTGTTTATACTTGACATCTTAATGACATCACAACCTGCCATCTAATGACATCAATCATTTTTTTCAGGTCCCAGTGACTTTTGAAATACCTTCCAGCAAGAGACTAAAATACTTAGATTAAAGTATCTCTTTCAAGAGTGCGACAATAGAACTTGACCCTAGAGGTACCAACAGTGATAAGACGTGGATTTATCAGCTTACTTTATTACATAGCAACCTTATAGAGTAGAAGTACACAATTAAACAGTTAGAGGATTTACTACATAGAAATTGGATTCTTCATGGTTATATGGGATACAGCTATATTTACCATTAGATGTTTTATCCATTCTAAAGGATGGAATGAACAATTTCTAATATACTTATAACACTTTTATTGGATTTTAAGGAGTCTAAAGACTGAAAAGTAAGTTATTTAGTATTAGTTAGTGACATATTATATGTCCAAGATCATGCATTTACTAATTACTAAAACACATAAATAACTTTAAGTAAATAACTAAACAAATCCTAAGAATACCCAAGAGTGATGGATATCAGTCTCAGAATTCCCAACTAAGGTAGCCTCGCTCAAACTTTGATTAATTTGTTCAATTTTACAAAATATATATCAAAATGTGTATATTTTTGTATGTTCAGTGATATCAGCAAAATATATGAAATGCATGGAATATTGTGTACTATTAAAATAGAAATATGGCAAAAGCCAATAGAGCAAAAATGAACAATGACCTGGTATTGGAATGCTATAAAATGGAATAGAACAAAAGAAAATTGTTTTGGAAAAGTTATTAGTTAATTGATTAATGAATTAGTTGCAAATTAGTTCAATTACCATACGTTATAATCATTACATGAATAATTGAATTGAACACATGCTTTCATACTCATGTATATTGATTTGAGTATATAATATTATGAATGAATGTTTGAAGATAAATGTAAATTCCTATGATATAACAATTAAGACAACATAAACTTTCAAACATTTTCCTCTTGCAATATAAGAAAATGTCAACATGGGTTTTCACTTTGTAAAGTATGAATTACTATTAATATTTCACCAGTACAGGTAGTTGGTCATATTTGGCTGATTCGATATTTCCACGAAATACAGGGTGACCCAAAAATGAAGCCCCATGATTATTTTTAATTTCTCATTTATGAAGTATTCTCTTCTCCTGAATTTACTTAGAGTATCCAGTGGTGACAATATTGGTGTACTTACATAGCATGGATGAAACATAGAATTAAGAAAAAAGGTAAATCAGAATTATCCTGGGAGTAACAACTTTCCCCATTCCCCTTGCAATGAGCTTGTAATGTAATTATGTATCATATTTACATATAGGAGCAGTACACATATAATACACCCTTGGAGCTACAGATTGGACCATAATCCCACTGAAAGCATTAATTGCCTGAATATATCAATATACAACGAAGATGGGGGATGATTTGTTGAAGAATGGCCCTGACAAACCAGTAGATCTGTATGTGGTTAGGATCTCTCCACCATGCCGGGTTGTTTGGTTGTACCTTCTACAGGTGAGTATTATTTTACATGCTGGTGTGTTGTTCGTGCTATTTTAAAATTAGTAAATGCAGAACATTTACAATTGAAAGAAATATGTGTGTCCATTAATTAAAGGCCCCATGTAAAGTTTAAACCACTTTGGCTTATATTGTAGTCTTACCCAATGTTATCAAAGTGTGATATGTGAAACTTTTTTTTTTAATTTCAAAAAGTGATTTTTGATAGACTTTTTGTTCCAAAATTTGTGAATTTATTTAAAACCAACTTTTAGAGGTCACTCATATCTTCTAATAAGCCACAATTCATACCAATGCATAGCATACATCCTCCCATGTTTTTTGCCGAAAAAATTAAGAAAATCGGTTGATAAACAAGCGAGAAATGAACTTATCAGTGCATGAAAATGGTTCTGAGAAAAATGCATTTCAAAATTTTAGTTCTCATAGAAACCAATGGTACAATGATATCTAAAACATAATTCATTCTTCCTTTTAACCTGGTTAGACAATCAACATTGTTTTTTATGAAAGTCTAGCATATTTAGAAAAGATTGACATCGAAAAAAAAAATTCAATTTTTTTCAAAAAGTTTTTGTTACCTTAGTGACATCACTAATGTTTCAAAATATTTTTGATAAGCTAAAACATTGAAGTGGCCCATTAAATATGACATTTTATTATTGAAATAGTGTGTCTTTTGTTCAATCTTTGCATTGGTGTTAAAAATATTATCTTTTTTGAAATGCATTAAGAAATATTTGATGATTAAGAAATTTCAATTTTTTTTGAAAAATGGCGGGAAATTTGAATATTTGAGAAATGAAATGCTCACAACTTTTTTTTCAAAAAAATTTTTTTGTTCAAAAATCTCTAAAATCACTTTTTTAGTCCTGACAAATAGTAAATGAATGATAAAAAAATATTTTCAAACTTTAGACGGAGACTTTAAAAGCCCATGGAAAGAACCAATTGATATTTTGGTTTACAATTGTGAAAAATGACACACACATCTTAACTTTTGTACCTTTTAAGATGAAAGTCTTCATTGTTGTGGGGATAATGTCAGAAAAAAGATCTGTAAAAATCTCAGTCAAAGAGTAAGCCAATATGATAAACATGTAGTTACAATAAAACCCCCCTTATTTTAACGCCAGTGGGACCAGCCAACTGAAGTCAGATTGGTAGTGTTCTCAATTCAAGGTTTCTTAACAACCCCTATCTGTGGCAGATTAAAAACAAGGATGAAAAAGTGTTCAGATTGAGATGTGTTTGGATTAGAGAGGTGTTCAGATTAGAGAGGTGTTTGGATATACAGGTTTTACTGTATTATCTAATTTTGCTTTAAATGTATGTACATGTAATTAAAAGGTTATTTTTGGGATCAGGTTTGTTTTTGCTTTTCTTTGTTCTTTTCATCGTTACATCTTTGACTCGAAGCGATGTATAAAAAAAGACAATGTAGCTGAAAATAGAAAATAATTTATTTTAAACACAACCTGAGGAAATTCAATGCTAACAAAGGTCATCGACTTTTCTTTCATACCATATCAAATTGCTAAGGTAATCCAAGTGGAGAGAATAAAATAGCAATCAACTTCAACCTTTCCATGTAATTTGATTTGCATTTTTATATACCACCCACCTTAATGTAACTAATATACAGCAAACCCTGACTGATTCTGTAACATTGTATTGAGGTACAAAAGTAAATATTATTTTGTCCAACCGTTCCCACCTTAAACAAAAGCTTCTTTCATTCCAGTTCTTTTAGAGTCAGGCCTTATGTTTGTGACCATTTCCATTCTTCATTCAAACCAGCACAATTGTTACTTTCATAATCTAGAAATCAATTAATAGAAGGAAATTAGAAATCAGTTGATTTATTATGGTTAACAACCAGAATCAATTACTTATTACATGTAAGCTACTACAAAATGAGAATCATAGCACTCTTTTTGTAAGGGTTTGTTACATATGAATGCCTAATTCTTTTACAATGATTTCCTTTAAAGGTGCAACAATGAGTGCAGGGGGCCATTCAACGATCATGGACCATTGTCAAAATATATTTAAGTTCGGTTATTTCTTGACTAACATATATCTTTATTATTCCCAAAGAAACCCTCTGGATGAATATTATTTCAGCTGATATTACTCTTGAAACATAGTGAATCTTAAAATCTATAAGTGGGACTCCCTCTTAATTATTTAATAAAGGTTGCTCAAGTGAACATGTTTAACTGCAAATGTAAACAGGCAATCAGGACTATATTTTCCTCAGAAGAAACCAAATATCCAAAACCTCCCATCACATAACCCTCATATATTATTCAAAGGTTGCTCAAGTGAACATATGTGACTCTAATGTAAACAGGCAATCAGGGCCCTCAATAAGATATTTATATTTCCCTCAGAATAAACCAAATATCCAAAACCTCCCATCACATAGCCTTCATATATTATTCAAAGGTTGCTCAAGTGAACATATGTGACTTGAATGTAAACAGGCAATCAGGGCCCTCAATAAGATATTTATATTTCCCTCAGAATAAACCAAATATCCAAAACCTCCCATCACATAGCCTTCATATATTATTCAAAGGTTGCTCAAGTGAACATATGTGACTTGAATGTAAACAGGCAATCAGGGCCCTCAGTAAGATATCTATATTTCCCTCAGAATAAACCAAATATCCAAAACCTCCCATCACATAACCCTCATATATTATTCAAAGGTTGCTCAAGTGAACATATGTGACTTGAATGTAAACAGGCAATCAGGGCCCTCAATAAGATATTTATATTTCCCTCAGAATAAACCAAATATCCAAAACCTCCCATCACATAGCCCTCATATATTATTCAAAGGTTGCTCAAGTGAACATATGTGACTTGAATGTAAACAGGCAATCAGGGCCCTCAATAAGATATTTATATTTCCCTCAGAATAAACCAAATATCCAAAACCTCCCACAACATAGCCCTCATATATTATTCAAAGGTTGCTCAAGTGAACATATGTGACTTGAATGTAAACAGGCAATCAGGGCCCTCAATAAGATATTTATATTTCCCTCAGAATAAACCAAATATCCAAAACCTCCCATCACATAGCCCTCATATATTATTCAAAGGTTGCTCAAGTGAACATATGTGACTTGAATGTAAACAGGCAATCAGGGCCCTCAATAAGATATTTATATTTCCCTCAGAATAAACCAAATATCCAAAACCTCCCATCACATAGCCCTCATTTATTCCATAATACTACTGTTTTCCCAGGGAAATATGAAGGAATAAAAATCGTATTGAATCGTATTACATGAAAAAATCGTATTGTCCCCGGGAAAAAAATCGTATTGGAGCGTATTACATGAAAAAATCGTATTGTCCCCGGGAAAAAAATCATATTGGAGCATATTAACCTATTTTCGTTTTCCCGGTTATTTTTTCCCAGTTATCTGCATTTTCCAAATGTAACATTTTAGAGGGGTGTATTATGGAATAAATAGGTTATTTCTGGTCGGGATTGAATATGGGTTTTATTCCTCGGAAAATATGATATTGACCTTGGGCTATATGATATTGACACTCGGTCGCTGCGCTCCCTCGGTCAATATCATATTACCCTTCGGTCAATATCATATTGTCCCTCGGAATAAAACCCATATTCAATCCCTCCCAGTAAATAACCTATATATATTATTCAAAGGTTGCTCAAGTGAACATATGTGACTTGAATGTAAACAGGCAATCAGGGCCCTCAGTAAGATATCTATATTTCCCTCAGAATAAATCCAAAATCCTCGCACAATATAGCCCTCATATATTATTCAAAGGTTGCTCAAGTGAACATATTTGACTGCATGTAAGTGCAGCTTCATTACATGATGGCATGTCAAAACATGAATCTCAAACTTGTAGCTGGAACATCATAAATAATAGATTTCTTACAACGATTGATTAAATCACTATAAAGAAACAGGATATTGATTGTGATTGTACTTTGAGATACAATTACCTCAATTCTCATGTTGGAATAAACCAATTTTTGGGGATGAAGAAATTGATGTGGGAACTCTTAATTTTCTCAATGCTTGCCCTATTTGAACTTTACCGTTAAACCAGTGTATTCCTTCAGTCATATGTAATACCTTGATGGATCTAGATTTGTCCAACACAATTTGATGATAATGGGGAATTTGATTCGAGTGTAGATGAAGTCAAACGCAGATTTTATTCACAATGTTGAGGTCAACAGGAGACGAGATACAACCCAGTCATTTTCCAAACATTTATTAGTCAATGTTATTTGATAGTATTAAATTAATACAAACCTGTTGATGTAAATGTTCTTAACTTCCAATGTCAAATCCATCTATATACAGGTATAGATATTTTCAAGATAAAATATACCTCCCCCCACCTATAAAAGGTAAGAACAATGTTAATTAGGAACTCTTAATAGATGATACACCCCTAAATAGCCTAAAATGTTTTTAATATATTGCAAATTGTTATTTTTATTTTTTAGAACAACATTCCTCATAATTTGATAGATGTGGATTTCACAAAGAATGAACAATCTGCACCAGAATTCCTCAAGAAGAATCCACATCAGGAAGTGCCCATATTAGTGGACGGGGAGGTCATCGTCTTTGAGGGGTAAGTGCCCATATTAGTGGATGGGGAGGTCATCACCTTGGAAGGGTAAGTGCCCATGTTGTTGGAGAGGGAGGTCATCATCTTGGAGGGGTAAGTGCCCATATTAGTGGATGGGGAGGTCGTCGTCTTGGAGGGGTAAGTGCCCATATAAGTGGATGGGAAGGTCATCGTCTTTGAGAGGTTAGAACCCATATTAGTGGATGGGGAGGTCATCGTCTTTGAGGGGTAAGTGCCCATATAGTGGATGGGGAGGTCATTGTCTTGGAGGGGCAAGTGCCCATATTAGTGGACGGGGAGGTCATTGTCTTTTGGGGGTAAGTGCCCATATTAGTTGATGGGGAGGTCATCATCTTTAAGGGGTAAGTACCCATATTATTTTAAAGTGAAAGATATGGACCGTATATTAAAGGAGTTATATATTCCTGAAAATAACATGTGGTTCCAATGAGGACTGCATAAAAACTCCAAAAGTGCACATTTCCCTTAAGGTGGATCGCAGGTATGTTATTAATGGTTGAGGAATGCAATCTTGCAAGCTATAGACTAGAACCATAATTTATATTTTTTTTACATTTCAGACAAGCCATATTACGTTACCTGGCAACCCAATATCGCAATCTTGCAGGCTACGGTCTGACACTCTCACAGAGAATGCTCACGGAATCTATCATAAGCTGGGCCAATGGAGAACTCCACAGGTATGTGTTATAAAAGTGCTATACTGTACATTCATTTATTCTGGCACTTTTAAAGTGGTATATTGTATATTACATCAATAATGACATGAATAAGAGCAGTTTTTCTCACGTGTAGAGCTCGAGTAGAGCAGACGTGTATTATGGCAGCTCCGCCCGATACCGATCACATTGAAAGGATTCTGTCAAGATTATCAGAAGAAGACAGAGACACTATTATCAATGAGTTCCTGGAAGTAACCACGCCTGAGGATTACGAACCATTGAGGATTCTGTATTTTGGATATGCGAAAGAAAGATTATTCAACATTTACTTGGACAAATTCGGCCTCATTGCTGGACGAAAGCAAAACGAAATTCCGATCTTGACACTAAAAGCACGAAAGGGAGCGAATAAGGATGTCTCGTTTATGAATGACATTTGTGATCTATATATGTATGGTTCGAACATTTCGGACACTTTCCCACGTCAGACGATCTCTGCGACAAGTTTTCTACCGAATCTGGGTTCTTCTGAAGCTAATACAATCACAGATCAGTCGACGCGCTCAATTGAAATCGACACACGGGTTGTTTGTCTTAGCCAGCGGGTAAGTGAATTGGAACGTATGGGAGACTCGAAGGATGAGCAGATATCAAAGATGCAGAAGGATATCGTAGAGCTTCAGCAACAGGTACAAAGGTTGCTACAAGCAGGTCAGTGTGACTTTTCTAAACGTACACAAACAAGCGCTACTGTAACTGTACCAACGCAAACTTCATCCACGCTAAATTCTAAGCCGGCCAATAATGAGACCAATAATTCGACTAACACGCCAATAACTGTTTCACACCTCAATAACAATACTTTGCCTATAAGCGACCCCGCTAATAAGCAAAACTCACTACGTAAGCCTACTGAGCCATGCGAGTCTGTCGCTATACCGCCATCTTTGAAAATCACCTCGCAACCGCCGTCTGCAAAGTTAGTGCAACCAGTGCCTAATGTAACGAAACCTATCACTTATTCTAGCGTAGTAAGTGAAAACATAGATGATTGGTCCATTGCTGGTCCTAAAGGTCGCCATTCCCCTCCACCAACTCAACCTAAAGAGCCCCGACTACAAGGCCACGGTAAATATAACCCTTCGCAACAACGCCGGAAGACGATTACCTTAAAGGGGATCCAAGAAGTCGAAGGTGCTTTCGTCTACGTCAGCAACATTCGTAAAGATGGAAATGTTAGCGATGAGGACCTCCGTTCCACGATAGTTGCGTATGTTAAACAAAGAGGCATACGTGTCATGAAAGCAGATATCGTACATAACCGAGTTTGCGATGATAAGGTTAGATGCAAAATTTATATTCCCAATGATCAAGTAACCCTAATACTTGGCGAAAATTTCTGGCCAGACGCCGCTATAGGTTGCCGAAGATGGGAAAAACGAACAAGATATAATAATAAAAATTCTACTTACCTACGTGCAAATGCAATTCCTGTCTTCACAGGGCACACTTATTCTAATGCGCGTGGCTATCATGCACAATACGATCCATACAAAACTGATGATGACTATGCATCAGACTGCTTCGCGTTTGACGAAACTGATCGACAACAGGCTGTTTAATATGTGTGAAAATCTAAAACACTTGCTGTTTCTCATTTTATTTTCTGCTTTATTCAATAAACAGATCATAGTTTTTAACAATCAAGGTAATAGTGAGTTAAGACTAGCACAATGGAATTGCCGAGGTTTCAATGTATCTACTCTATATATTAAACATTTATTGTCACAATGCGATATCTTGGCGCTCTCAGAGCACAAACTCTATCCCTGTAATAGATTTAAGCTTGACTCCGTGCACTCGGACTTTCGGTGTTACAGCACAAGTAGCAAGAATCTAAACGATTTTAACTGTGGTAAAATATGGGGAAATGGTGGTGTTGCTATTTTCTGGCGTGATTCGTTGAGCAATTATGTTATTCCTGTTAAAAATATGTCAACAGACAGGATCGTTTGTCTAAAGGTATCAATAGTGCAAACTGCGCCTATTTACATATTTTCTGTTTACTTACCTCAACAAAATTGTGAAATTGACATGTACGATGATGTTTTATTCTCACTCGAACACTTTGTGCAAAAGGCTAGCATAGATGGCAGTGTTATAATTCTTGGCGATGTAAACAGTAATTTGGGTACGCTTACGGGTTGTAGGGGTCATGGTAATCCCTCATCTAATGGTATCAAATTGTATGATTTTATGCAACGAAATCTTTTAACTGCAATCGATATGACAGATTTAGCACGTGGTCCAAGACACACATTTGAAATGACTCGAAACAATGCTCTTCATGTTAGCTATATTGATCATGTCATTTTGTCTTACACTTTGCGTGAATGTGTTTTATCGTGTACAGTCCTGGAAGATGAGCCTGACAACACGTCAGATCATCTTCCAATTCAAACTATATTAAATTTAAATGCTCAAATAGAACGTTGTCCAGATATTGAAGCCCCAAAAGGATTTGCTTGGAACAAACTCAACTGTAATGAAATAAAGGACTCGTACACTAATTCGGTTACATTGAAATGTAACGATATTTTACTTGAACTGCGTTCTATTTTGTCCAGTCGGACACTAAACGCAGCAGAAATTGATCATTTTATCAATAGAATAGTAGAGAGTTTAATTTTATCATCAAATGCTCATATACCAAAGAGGAAATTCCTGAAATATGTTAAGCCCTTTTGGAACTCCACTTTGACATCATTGGCTAAAGATAAAAAGGCAAAGTGGCATAAATGGGTGTCTCAGGGTAGATCACGTGATCCTTCAAATGATGTTAGAAAACAATATAAAGAGTCAAAGAAAATATTTTCAAAAACCTATCAAGCTGCACAACTTGAGTATGAAAGAGAGGAATTAGAAAAATTGTATACATCAGAACAGTCTGATCAACGTTTTTACTGGTATCTGGTCAATAAACATAGAAGATCATCAAAGAAATCAGTTAATCCAGTGCTTGCCGACGACGGCCATTTAATTACAGATGCTAATGAAATCAGAGAACAGTGGAAGTGCCATTTCGAAAAACTAGCAACCCCTTTAAACAAACCGACGTTTGATAGTCATTTTAAATACGAAATTGAAAACAAGGTCCAAACAATTTTTAACAGTATATCGAATGACAGCACTATTTTTAAAATTACTCCCGACATGGTTCATAGTGCAATAAAAGCTCTCCATTCAAAGCGTGCATGTGGTTATGATCAGATCAGCGCAGAACATCTAAAATTTGGCGGGGATTCCATGGTCCAAACAATTTCAATCATTTATAATATTATACTTCAGTCAGTCTACATTCCATATAACTTCTGTATCGGCACAATGATCCCTATTGTTAAAAACGGCAAAGATCCACTTGTAAAAGACAACTCAAGAGGTATTACGCTCATGACAATGCTTCGTAAATTATTTGACAATATATTTTAACTCATGTAAAATCACCCGTTCTAAATGCTATCCCTAAATTACAAGGGGCAGCTGTCGAGAAATGTTCATCAATCCATACATCATTACTTGTACAAGAAACTATTTCTGAAAATGTAGAACAAGGTAAAATGGTAGTTTTAACAGTAACAGACATCCGAAAAGCTTTCGATTCTGTATGGATAGATGGCCTTCTTTTTAAACTTCACAACTGTGGTATTGGCGGTAAGATATGGAAAATTTTGTATATGCTATATAAGCGGTATAGTTGCTCGGTTTTAGTAGGAGGAAAATGCTCTGACTTATTTCCAATATTACAGGGTGTCCATCAAGGTGGTGTCCTGTCCATGCTATTTTACCAACTTTATATGGCAGATATAATTGACTCCATGATTAAGCTAAACAAGGGATCAACCATAGGTTCGTTAAGTTGCGTTAGCCCTTCATATGCCGATGACATGTGCATCTTGTCGAATTCTTTTGAAAACATGCAAGTGCTACTTGATCTACTTCATGCTCATAGTAATCAGTGGAGATTTGAAGTTCATCCCGATAAGTGTTCGTTTCTCGTCTTTAATAGTAAAATCGAGCTAGGTGCAACTCAAAAACTTAATATCGGAGGTAAATCAATTGCAAAATCTGACTTTGTGAAGCATGTCGGAATCCCAATTTCAACAAATAATGATATTTCTGATTATGTACAGGATAAATGTAAGAAGGGCAAATCGCAGTACAATGCTCTGCTCGGTATAGGTAGTGGCTGCGGAGGTCTAATTCCAACATCTGCATGTCAAATATACAAAACATATTCCATACCTACAATGACATACGGTGCCCATATTATCAACTATCAACAAAATGATATAGTTGTTCTAGAAAAGACACAACGAGAAATAGGACGGAGAATTCAATCTCTGCCTCACTCAGCTAGTATTCCCATCTCAACTTTGCCCCTGGGCCTAATGGACGTTGAATTTTATATTGACTTTTTAAGAATGATGTTTCTCTGGAGTTTATTGCAACTCCCGAGCGCAAATATATATAAATGTCTTTTCACAATGAGATTTGTAAAAATGCTGCATGTTAACAATGAATGTAATACCTTCTCTCCAATAAAATGCATGTTACTGACATCAAAAAGGTATGATTTACATAACCATGTTCTAAATATGGTAGACTGTAAAATGTTCATCCCCAAAAATAGGTGGAAGAATATTGTGTATAGAAAAATTGCAGCCGTTCAGATGCAAAGGACATTTTTCCAATCGCTAATGTACAAGGGCCTAAACTATTTTAGAATGGGTAACTTTGAAATTTTGAGGCCATTTATATGGTGGAGAGTCGCAAGACTGTTCCCTTTTGCTTTAAGTAGTTGTAAAATAATGGTGAAACTGCTAGCAGATGAACATGCGCTTAGATCAAAATATAGAGGTTCCGAAGATAAATCAGTTATATGCTCAATGTGCAGCACTTATGAAAAAGAAGACGTAGAGCATTTCTTACTGAAATGCCCAGCAAATATATATATTATTTATAGAGAACAACTTAGTAATCATTGCTGCGAATGGGGTATCCAAATGAACACTAAAAACATTCTTGGCATAGGAATTGAAGAGTTGCACTTTGCAAACGAACAACTACTTGTATTTTTAAAAGATATGGCACATATAGTTATGCAACAATATTTGTGTCGTCAACGTCACTTGACAAGTTTACAAACTTAATGTAACTTTATCAGCGTGAAAGGGTGGCCCTCAAGGGACGAACATGGGCCGACTAGGGATTTTCCCTTGATTAACGGTAATATGCAATATGTATTTATTCTGAGTGTACCGACCTTGGGGAAGGTACAATAATAAGCAATGCTTTATGTTTTTGTTTTTTTTTGTTTTTTTTCTGTTTTTTCCTTGATTGGTAGTTGCAACGTCAACGCGGCAGCCTGACGTATTTGCAACAAACGATTATATCTCTTAACCAGCCTATACATTTTAGTTTTACTCGCATATTTGTATTTATATTTATGTACATTTATTATACACACTAATTTAGAATTGCACCATAGGGCAACACCACCTTTCTTCAATTTACAAAAATTGTATATTTCTTTTACTAGCTTACAAGATATTGAAAGCATCTCATACTTTCATACAGTACTGCAGTACCGACCTTGGGGAAGGTACGATGATACGCTATGTCTTCCGTTTAATTTTTATAGAAAACGCAGATCCATAATGTCATTTTTTTTATTAATCTTAAGAGTGTTAGGTAACAGGTCTATCTAGGCCTACGGCGTGCGTCTACGCGGTAGCTAGGCGTCGTCGTCAGTACAAAAAACAACAACAAAACAATGAATTAAAATATAGTCATTTTTTTATAATTGCGTTACAATTAGGTGCTAGGCCAATCTTGGTCGGCGGCGTGCGTCTACGCGGTAGCTAGGCGTCGTCGTCAGTCATATTGTTTGTTTGTAAATAGTGATTAGTTTCAATTTAACATTTACATAATTTGTATACATGTATCTCCTTTATATAAAGGGCAATAAATATATACATACATACATACATTGTCTTGCGCTGCTGGGTGGGTAGGAGTGTGAGCAGGCATGGAGGCACCACATCAACTTTGTCAGCAAAATTCTTTGAAACCACTTATCTGTTCAACTTAAAATTTAAGAGGCAAAAGCACTTTGCCAACAACTGATTATCTCAATTTTATTTGATGAAAAATAGTTAACATATCTGAGAAATGTCTCAGTTAATATGATTGTTATTGAAGATTTAAGATACAGAAATGTCCAAATTTGTCAGAATTGCATGGATAACCTAAATAAAACATTTAAAAATATAAAAAATATTGTGAAATACATGCAGTGACGTATTTCTCTTTTATTTTCCTAGTATTTGTTGTAGCAACTTTATATTTGTATTTAATGTATGTATAATGTACACAGGTAAAATAAATATTAGATATAAAATCATACACTGTATAATTTATAATTCTTGTGTCTATAGAACAACTGCTATATATTCTCGAATTGTGTTTTTGATATATGCAAAGATATGCCTTCTTCTGGGCATCTAGTACCCATTATACAGTTATATAACAATGTACAACAAAAATATAGTTTATTAATAAAAAAGATATATCTCGATTTTTTTCTCAATTTCAGGGTTGTTGGATACCGCTACACTTACCCACAATTCCTGGAAAGATTTCGACTACCATCTGAATCAGCCAACGAAGCTTTAGTCGAGTCTGGGATACAATCACTGACTCGACACCTTGAGACTCTTGAGAAACGCTACTTAGACAAAAATAAGTATCTCACTGGTGATAAACTTACTGTGGCGGACAGTTATGTTGCAACAATTCTATTGCAAGTTGAATGGACTGCATTTAAATTTAAAATCTGGCCAAAAGTCGATGAATGGATAAAACGTGTAAAACAGCAGGAGTTCTGGGATACGGTGCATAAAGCCCACGATGATTTTGTGCACGAGTTAGAACAAGCGAACATGTTTGATTGAACTCTGTTATGTAGAATTTATTCGTGGAGAAGAGATATATGTGACCAGAAGGATCTGACCATTAATTTGACACACATATTTCAGATCATTTCTGTCTTGCTTACCCTTTATTTATGTTTGAATGAGATACATGTAAAGTGAACACTTTGTAATGCATTTTTTCTGAAATAGAGTTAATTACTTGTAGCCATTACATATGCTTTGACTCTACTAGACTAATTTTAAAGGTGCAACAATTAGTGCAGATAGGGCCCATTCAACGATCATGGACCAGTGTCAAAATATATTTAAGTTTGGATATTTCATCAAGACTTACATCTATTTTTATTATCTACAAAAAAAACCTAGATAAACATTATTTCAGCTGATATTCCTCTTGAAACATGGTGGATCTTAAAAATATAAAAGTGGATTTCCCCTTTTTGAAGCTTTAAACTGAATTTACACTTCTTAATGCTGGAATTGATAGTTTATCCATACATTTTAAGAAAATAGGTATGTCAAAGAAGATGTTAAGCCAAATGTTGCCTTGATTAAAATTTTCCTATTTTTTCAACCTTATTTTCCTCCTGTTTGACATGATATTTGATCTCATTTATTAATGCCTTTTGCAATTCTGGTGCAATCACAGATTTATATTGAAAAGTTTGAGGAGAGCAATATGTCAAAGTCATTTCTATTTTAACCAAGATAAGCAAACAAAGGGCAATGTATATGTATGTCGGATGTGGTGAGAAAACTGACTTGTCTAAAGATAATTCAGATTTTTCAGTTGAAACTGAAATGTTATGAAAGATGATTCCCTATACTCAATTTGCCTCACCAATCTGAGATTGCATAACCCATCTTTAGACCTTGCCTCACCTATAATGTGTATGTTCAATATATACTTTTTATTGAATGATATTGTGGTAGAAATCACTGTATATACAGCGCAGAGTTTTAAAAGAGAGGTTCATGTTATGTGGCTGGACCACTATTGTACAAGTTACACATATACATATGAAATGAAATAAAATGTCTATCCTAGATTATTAATCTATTTGTGTACTTTCATATTTTTTTATGAAATAACAATATTAGAGATTGACTCAAATTATATTCTTCAATAATATGGTTACTATGGTACTTGGGAGGCTGGGCTCCAATATTAACCAATCAGGTTAAAATTGTCCATTGCAGGTTTTTGAGTTATTTTTTGGTTTCATCACAGTCAATACATCTGTTATCATTGAATCAATCAATTGTTGACCTAAGTGTTTGTAATCACTGGAAAAGCATGTCTCAATGGAGGTTGAAATGAAATTATATGGAAGAGAAAACCTTAGAATGTGAACTTTGATGATACCATCTATTTTTTACTTTCCAACATCTTTTTTGTCAAATTTAAGTTTTTATGATTATCTCAGTTATGAATGAAATAAGCTATAAAGAAGAGCAATTGAGTTTGTCAGATGAGAATTATAAGCCTATGAATAATAAAATTCCAATTTTTTTCTTAAAATTAACATACCCTTCCACCAAAAAGCAGGTGTCTTGAGAAATATTTGAAGTCAAAATGTTTGAAAGTGTAACATACAACACAATGGTGCAACTGAAATAAACACAAAACATACACAGAACATACACAGAACCGACAGCGTAATGCCACAATTAAAATGTGTTTGGATATAACTTATAACACCATGGCACAATCAAAATTGAATATAATGGCTAAATCAAAGTGTAAACAGATGTGACATTCGACACAGCGGCACAATAAATACAAAACTTACAGCAAAATGGCAAAATAAAACTGAAAACAATGGCACAATCAGACTGTATTCAGAAGTAACCTAGAACACAATGGAAAAATCAAACTGAATACAGATGAAACATAAAACACAATGGCACAATCAATCTATATACAGATATAACCTACAATACAATGGTGCAATCAAACTGTATACAGATGTAATAATAACACAATCATAACATATATACATATATAACCTAAAACACAATGGGACAATCAAGCTGTATACAGATGTTACCTACAACAAAATGGCACAATCAAACTGTATACAGATGAAACATAAAACACAATGGTACAATCAAACTGTATACAGATGTTACCTACAACAAAATGGCACAATCAAACTGTATGCAGATGAAACATAAAACACAATGGTGCAATCAAACTGTGTACCTACAACAAAATGGCACAATCAAATTGTATGCAGATGAAACATAAAACACAATGGTGCAATCAAACTGTATACAGATGAAACATAAAACACAATGGCACAATGGCACAATCAGACTGTATACAGATGTAACCTACAATACAATGGTGCAATCAAACTGTATACAGATGTAATAATAACGCAGTGAAACAATCATAACATATACATATACGAGTATAACCTAAAACACAATGGTACAATCAAACTGTATACAGATGAAACATAAAACACAATGGCACAATCAAACTGTATACAGATGAAACATAAAACACAATGGCACAATCAAACTGTATACAGAAGTTACCTACAACAAAATGGCACAATCAAACTGTACACAAATGAAACATAAAACACATTCGCGCAATCAAACTGTATACAGATGTTACATGTATGTGTGTACCTACAACAAAATGGCACAATCAAACTGTATACAGATGAAACATAAAACACAATGGCACAATCAAACTGTATACAGAAGTTAGCTAATTACAGCACAATGACACAATCAAAACGTAAACAGAAGAAATTCACATGCATAAATGTACAACACAATGAACAATGTACAATCAGCAGAAGTAGGCCTTTAAAACGTAATCCAGCTGAAGAAACAGGAAGTGGCTACAAATTTGATACAACAGGTAAAAGTTTATATTTGTATTACTTTTTGCGAGTTTTCTGTTATTTGTGACCTTCAAACTAATGAGTGTGTGATGCGATGTTATTCCTATATATTTGGCCCTCACTTTTAACTTCGTGAATGGCATAATCACGGCCGATTTTTAAAAAAGTCCGAAATTAGAAATCAGCTGATTTTCGATTATTATTTGCCTACAAAAATATGTATTTGAACTGTCTTCGTTGTGAGCTTGCAGATAATCATAAATGTGATAGAAATAATAAAAATAAAGACTGCGTGTGAGATCATTTATGGTTCTGGTAACATTGCGCTTGGTTAGGTGGACGTCCGGTCCTTGGAGTCAGCTAATGTTTCTCATAGATGTTCATAAAGCCTAAAGAATGACCACGCCCACTTTACTCACTGACCTTTACTGTAGACGTATTTACAATGTGATGGAGCTTTTGAATCTTTATCATGAATACGACACATATGAGCCTCAATCTAAGTGATATTAGTGGGGCATTTATTACGAGATTGATCCCAATCAGTATTATTGTTTAGCCCCCCCCCCCTTATTGAAACCTGAGACTAACATGCTTCTTGGTTCATGAAGAAAGTACACAAACATTAATTAAATGTAATATATGCTGGTAATTTGAGATAACAGATGTTTATTTTTGTCTTATTCCAAGCATAATAGCTATTTTGCCAAGTCATGCAGGTGTTTATTCCTTCATAGACTGGAAAAATTAAAATCTGCCGAGTCATGTTTAGCCCACAGTATACAGTAACATGATTGTTATGTAGTGTGTTGGGATTAACTTTACCATTTTACATCATTCAGTTTCTGGACACATCAATTGAAATTTTTATATTTTTTATTCACTATCTTTTATTTTATAACATTTAGGTGGGTGATTGGATCTTAGGAAATCACCATGGAGACCATAGTTCCGTTGCCCCTGGAAACAGACAAGTTAAAGTTCTTAATGGACCAGGCTCAAGATTTTGCCATTTCACACGGTAAGGATTTATTTATTTATATAACAGACTTGTCAATGTTCAAGTTCTTGCTTGTCCAGAATATATATTCAGTAAAACCTTTCTTAGTGAACACCTCTCTCTAGTGAACACCTGTTTTTAGTGAACACCACTTCAAGACACATTTTACATTGACTCCTGTATAAAATTCCCTCTCAGTAGTGAACATCTACCTACTGTGAACATACTTTGTTGCTACATAGGTGTTCACTAGATACAGGTCTTACTGTAAATGAATTCACAAGGGGGGTCAGTAGTCATAAAGACATGTAAGATTTTCTAGTTAGAACCATTTGCAGTCTGAAACAAAGGTGACATCTATTTTGTCGGGGTTATTCAGCTATTTAGAAACTATACATATTGTTTATATATTTCAGGAATCACTATTCGTAATAAAGAGAATCCACTAACTGCTGATAAGGCCCAGATTGCTCCATATTTGCTGTTGCCTTCCCCTATGATAAGAAAAAGGTTCATGGAAGCTGTAAAAGTTCAGAAAGATTTCAACGAGCTTTATCATAAAGTAGCTCATGATTACAACTTTCTACGGGATGCCTTAAAAAGGTATATGGTTATCAATTAATAGGGAACATATAGATCCCAAATAATACTGTTTAGAATTTACAGCATCCCCCAAGTGCAGGTGTCCAGACATCCTCCACTATGTAGAAGAAGGAAGAAACATAGACACCTGCATTTGGAGGATGGAGTTACTGCAATGAATTAATACTTAAGTTCATGAATTAACACAAAATCTCTTGAATAACTTAGATATATATAATTCAGAATGTTTTGAAAGCAACACACAATTTGTTCTTTGAACAAGTTGTCTTGTATTTTGTTTTATTAATTCTGCACATTTAATTAATTTGTAATGCATCATCAGACATCAGTATGATGATAATACTGGTTTGGATGAAATGTTTTAAGATACAGTATGGATTTACTGTGTGTTGATTCGTCAGAAATGATTTAACATTCCTAGTTGTACATGAATTTTATTTCTTTCAGTGCAATAGAAGTTGATAGTTTCACCAAAGGATTATGGGACATTTATGAAACTGTGAGGAATGAAGGAATCGCACAGGTATCAAACTATTTTACTACTCAGACATGATTGTGGCTACTTTTTTGTGTGGAGATGTTTTGTCCTTTGAGCCATCTTTTGAACAAAAGAGCATTAACATATTTATAAGTGAAAAAGGCAATATCTTATATGGGATATTCTCTGGGATATTCATATGCAGTTGACTGTACATATACAATGTTTTACTTTCTTTTATAAATCAAATAGAAATTGAAATTCAATACTTTTTGTACAAAAATATTGCTTGTTCTGTATGGATGTTTCATGATTATGAACTCGCTAAAGCTTCTTTATCAAATAAGACAATTTTTCATAATTTGTTTTTTAGCCGATAAGTTTTGGACTTGCGAGGTCCGACTATATGGTTGACTATGATCCAGAATCCACTCAAAGCATTATGGGTAATGGAGCAGACGTGAATTGTGGTCCAAATGATTCAAATACAAGGCTTCGTCAGGTTGAATATAATACCATAGCTTCAAGTTTTGCAGGACTTGATACACAAGTAGCAAAATTACACAGGTTTGAAATTATTTACCAGAATTCTAGAATTTTATCATATTTTGAGGAAAATAGTTTTACTTTGCAAAATTTGAGTTTTACACAATTTTCATTAGTATAGTAACTTATCAAAATACAACTTCAATTTCAAAGTAACGGTTTTTTTAAAGTAATTTTACTTTAAATAACACACTGTCATAGTTCACTCTATGACGATTGGATTAAACCTTGCTATTTATATCATGTGGTATATACAAATTAGGTCACTTTTATTAGAACATATTATCATTATTTTTGTAAGGTACCTCGCCAGTGAGATGGAACTTGAAGGAGTAACAGATAAACTCCTAGAAACCAACCCTGTAGGTGGACTAGCCAGTGGTATAGTCAAGGCCTGGCAGTTATATGGCAATGAAAAGTAATATAAGGTTTAAGTCATAGACTAAGAGTATTTGTTATCCAATTCTAGCCTTACATGAAAGCATTTCAAAATAAAGTCATAAAATTGGGTTATGAAATCATTGCTAATAATTCCAATGAAAACACCTATCTGAAATAATACATATTAATATCAATATTCCTTGGAGACAGTCATAACAATTATATTTATTCCCTCATAATTTCACAAAACCAGCTTTTGCCCCCATTTTCTTCTGACTGACATTACATTCATTTTACTTCCAGAGCAGCAGTAGTCTTCGTACTGAATGCTTCAGAACGCAATGTGTACGACCAGAGGTGGTTGGAATATGCAATATACGAACAGAATAGCAGAATTAGGGTATTACGCTGCACCATACAAGATATGAGAGAGGCAATACTCACTGAAGATAAGAAATTGATTATGTTAGTATAAAAGGTACATTTTATCTATAATTTAAAAACACACATAAATTTTGTCATCAACATCCCAGGAAAGCTGCCGTACACTGTATCTATTCAACTGTAAGTTTCTACGATGCAAGAACAAACTTGTGCCAATATTCGATCTTGTTTTGGATGTGCTGTGTAAATTCCATTTTGAATGTATTTATCACTGTGTCTATTTTGTAATTTTAGAAAAGAGAAAGAAGTTGGTGTTGTTTACTTTAGATCTCTTTACTCTCCAGACAGCTTCACATCAGACGAGGTATACATGCTCATAGGCATCAAATATTCTTTGAATCTTCCACAGAGAACTCTTTATCAATCAATGATCAAATCAATCAATTGTCCTAGTGAAGAACCACAAAGATAATATACAGTGCTTTATTGACTGTTAGAAGGGTTAGTGAACTTAAAAAAAAGATAATTCAAAGTTTCAGCCTCAAAATTTTAGTTGCTTTTGTGTTAGAGATTATCTAAAAAAGATTCTTGTAGTTTCATATTGAGTTTTTCAGAAATATTACTCAGACATGATAGTAAATAAGAAATTAGCAAGTCGCAAAAAACTTCAACATTGAATATCAATCACTATTTAACTATTAAAAGCATGCCATACATTTTAGGATTGGGAGACTAGGTTAAAAATTGAGCGTTCAATGGCAATAAAATGCCCAAACATCAACCTTCACCTCTCAGGGGCCAAGAAGATCCAGCAAGAAGTAACCAAACCAGGCATAGTCGAGAGATATATCAAAGATCCTCAAGCTGTTCAGAGAATTCGAGCTACATTTGCACAACAATTCAGCCTAGAACAGGTTTGTTATAATTCTCACTTTGGTTGAAGATTTTGTTATTAATGTTGATTTTATGATTTATGAAGGTTAAATTGAGAGTATGATTCAAACGTGAACCATTTACAGGATATATCAACATAAATGGACTGTATATCCTGCTCAGTTGTAACACCTCTTCAAGTGAAACACTTCAGAGTCTCTCGACCAACTGACTTAATGTGAAATGAATAGAACCTCTGAAAATAGAACACCTCCCAAGTTGAACACTTTTTAAATACACCAGGTGTTCCACTTACACAGGTTTTACTCTTTTTTGTATTTAACATTTTCAGAATGAGGAAGGTGACAATGCTGTACGACTTGGCATAGAAAAATCAGACAGATTTGTTTTGAAACCCCAACGTGAGGGTGGAGGTATGGGACAATTATGTATATGCTATCAAAGATTTAGTAGTTTGGTATGGTCTATATTTTGTATGCCTTTTAAAGTCATATCGTTTTTATCATGAATGAATATTAAAGAGAGGGAGTTTACTAACTCCAGAAATGTAGCAATATTCCTTAAATAGTAAGAAACCATACAATAGAAATTAGGGAAATACATGAATGTTGAATCGTTGATCACATTGGTGTACAGTTTATATTTATTGACTTTTTAGGTAACAATTTATTTGGAGATGACATCAAAGACTTGCTATCCAAGATTAAAGATTCAAATGAAAGGACGCAGTATATTTTAATGGAAAAAATTAGACCACCAGTGTTTAAAAACTATGCAGTGCGAGCAGACGAATCAGTTGCATTATGGGATATGGTCAGTGAATTGGGAATATATGGAGTAATAATAGGGTAAGAATTTGACTTTTATAATTCGTTAACACTATGCATGCAAACCTTGCATGTATATATTTAAATGTAACTAGAATATATCAACATTTCCATTCAGAAAAAGATTCCATGATGCAAAATGTTTTTAAACAAAATAAACTAAATTTAACTGTAGATTTTAGTCAATCACAATTAAATTCAAGGCATTCATCATTACAAATTACATAATATTCTTTGAAAATATAAGCAATTTTTAGTCACCTTACTTTTTATACCCTCCTCGCATATATTTTCTTTTTAGAGTTTTAGAATTAAGATTTTTCTTTTTCAATGAAGAATTCTATCTTTTGATTTCTTCGTTCATATTTTGAATAGGAAATCTTAATTTATCATCACCTCATTGCATCTTTAAGTACATGAACAAATTTTGCTTGAAAATGCCTGTTTATCTTAAGAATTACATATTTTCAGGACTTCTGATGGCATTATCATGAACACAGAATGTGGGCACCTGGTACGGACTAAAACTCTGGGTACGAATGAAGGAGGTGTGGCTGCTGGCTTTGCAGCTTTAGACAGTCCATATCTTGTGTAATTGCTGGAGAATTAGCCAATTGATAAATTGAATAAATATGGCCTTTCATTTACAATTTACATCATTTTGGAGAAATCGACTTTTTTGTTGCCAAGATATCAAATTTTTGGGAATATACGTACTACATGTATAAGTCATCCTTCACTTTCCCTTGAAAGCCCATGGTATCTTGAATCAGAAAATAGTAATACAGTATTTATATTTGTATCAATTATTGATATAGTATTTTGATCATGTATGTGCAAGTTATCTAAACTCCAATCACAGTGCAATCAATATTATATGTTTGTAAGGACTTATGTGTAGATATAGACGTTCTTATATGAGTACCTGTGCAAGATCATCCATTCTTGATGAGCTTTGATAATTCTTCTTTATCGAGTCGCAGACGAGATAAAGAAACATTATCAAAGCGAGTCAAGAATGGACGATCTTGCACAGGTACGAGTATAAGAAAGTTTTTCTCATATGACTCTGTATTAAGCCATATTTTCACCTTTTTATAATAAAACTGAATGAAAAATAGCTAGAAATTAATGGAACTTCATTTTTCAATTGTTATGACGTCATAACAATATTGTAGAAAATACATGGATACGCGTGGCAACAAAGCTACATTGTTATGACGTCACAGCTAAGTTTTGTAGAATGAGCATGGATACGCATAGCAACGATGTACTCGTTGCCATGTTGTTGATGTTTATAAACCAGTGATGTCACAAGTAAATTTCATCTTGCACGTGTGACTTTTTAGGATGAAAGCATGGGGTAAAGATGGCTGTATCTTTGTTAGTCATATGAGAAATGATTATACAGGCATTCTTTACACGGGAATATAATATGATTATGCGAGATATTTGGGATATATTGTCGACACATTCCAGATTGTATTTGTATCAGCATTTACAAAATGTATAACCAAACCAACCTTAGACAATGTACTACATGTAGGTCTTATTTTGTTAGGTCTTATCATGTTGTAGGTTAGTCAGGGGTGTAGCCAGCTTTCAGTCAGTCGAGGGGGGTTGTTGCGATTGCCAAAAAATGTTTGGTCAGAGGGTGCGATTGTGGCATTAACAAGCCCAAAAAATAAGATGAACTTTGGTTTTGACAAAAATTGATGCAACTTCCTTCTTTGGGCTAGAAGCTTAGCAAACCGCCCCCCCCCCCCCCCCCCCCCCTAGCTACGCCTATGCTAGTTATCTAACAAACTGTTTTGTTTAGCTAGCAACGTGCACTTGTTAGTTATCTAAAATAACGAATTGTTTAGTTTAGATAATAACGTGTACTTTTATATGAAGTATTATAATAAAATGAATGCATACATGTAACTAGAATCTGTCCATTTAATTATGTCCCACATAATTTTCCTCCGAATAGACGCCAATGGGTGATATTTAGAATGTACTTTTGAAGATCTAATCATGTGATTTCACAAAACCAAAATATTTATAGTTTTACTAGAATGATTGTAAATCCCTGGATGCAATTAAGGAAAGGTTTGGTATTGTAAGTCCAAAGCAGAAAATGATTATATATTTATATATATCATGGCGGTTCGGGGGTAGACTGGGGTGCGACTACACACCTCCCTGTGAAAAGGGGGTCTTTGACCTTTGGTCTTTGAAAACACCTGGCATGCATAACTTAAATCCGCCACTCGGAAATACATGTAGCATGCAGGAAAACTGATTTCACCCTGGATAGAAATATTGTACCGTACGGATCCGTAGACTTAAATGGTACCGTTAACACCGGGCGGCACTATACTCTATCGTACGGTACCATACTCTAACTGTACCATACAGTATCGTGATTTTAGAACGGTACATTAAGAGGATGGTAACGTACAATACCGTTGGAGTATAGTGATGTACAGTGTTCACGGTACCATAGGGTACCGTTTTAGTCTACGGTACCGTTCGGTACCATATATCACGGTACCGAACAGTACCATTTCCAAGACGGTACCCTACGGTACTGTTGCAGATTGGCTGTGTAAGAATTGAATGCAGACGCCGACCGCCAAACACCAACCGCCAACAGCCGCCACAAAAAACGGAGACCAAAACAATATATATGCCACCACTTGGTGATGACGAAAAACAAGTTCAAACCAACCTAATTAAGCCATTATTCCCCCGATCACCACGTGGTCTTTTATCTGGCTATAACTATATTAGTACGATAACAGTAAAAATATTTGTTCATGGCGGAAAAGAACCCAGAAGCACTCGATGCCGGATACACATCGCACCCGTGCTAAAATTTAACAGTTTATATAATTAGACTACTCAAACAGACCGAGTATGGTTACAATTAATGATCACTTAGATAATAAAAAAGTTACAACCATCCAAAAAGCTCTCTCTAACAGGACTCTTCTTTTGATGCACTGACTGCTTATTAGGTAAATTCCAATGATTTATGCATTGAACTCTCCATCTACACAAAAAATCATGAGAAGTCCTTCAAAACGGAGATATAGTTATTCCCAAATTAATGGAATGATGTTTTTGGGGTCACCTGTACTGGGAATTGAATTTGAATTTTGAATTTTTTATTTTCAATTCAAAGAAGGAACAAATGGGTATTTTCAGTACTACAGTAGGTGTTCTTTGTTGTAAGGCATTGCAATTTCAAAAAGGTTTAATTTTAGAGCCTACAGAGTACAATAGATATCGTGTTATTTCATCATCTGTCACTTCTATCGTCAGAGAGTATTCACGTAGCCATACAGACTTTTTTGTGCGCCATGATTAAATAAATATTACTCTTCGAAAATATTTGCTATTTATTTTTCTTCAATTCAGGAACTAAATGTAAGTTCATAAGGTCATTCATTTTGAATGAACACTACTCTATTATAAAATGAAATACCAAATAAAATCTTTTGATTTTGAGTTTTTTTAGAAAAATCATATTCTCAGTATGTGGGATGCATGTTTCAGAATTTGACATATCTTTGTGTGAACTCTAAAGTCTATCTCAATTTTCTTCAACATGTATTGTAATGACTTCAGTATGAATGAAATGTCCCTTGGTCTTCTGGTCTTGGATTGTGATATTGGTTCTTGAATGGTGGGGGAAAGGGGGTATTAGACATTGTTTCTTTTCACGTTAGATCATCGATTTGGGGTATATGTGGTTTGTTTTTCTTGACTGGTATGCACTTAGAGTTTGCTTTTTCTTGCTAAGTTCCATTACAACTTTTGGTGCTTTCCCTTTAGCACAAGTGCTTAGGCTTATATATTCAATGAATTAGAAATGAGGATCTCTCCCTAAAGTAGCTCGTTTTAAAAAGATGCATATGTTCCTTAAAGATGTGTTAGGATTTGTCCTTTAACTCAATATATGTTAATTCTTGATTTGGATCTCATTAAACAAATGTAATATTAAAATCATGATCTTGCCTTCAGATTTCAGGATATCTATTCAGTAAAAGATTCACCAAAAACTATTTTAACATAGAAAATCAAATTGTCTCACTTTTTCAAATTCAATTGTATTTTGCAAAACAAAATGGAGGTATCGGACATGATGTCAATTTATTTTTTCCAGCACTAAAACGGTTTCTTCTTTACACTGTACTGTTTTATATGAGGAATCCCAGGTGGAGATTTGTGGATAATATAAAAAATTGAACCCCTGGTCACAAAATCCTGGCTACGCCACTGCGTAGGGACCGAGGGTTGATATATTGTATTTACCTTGAGATATATCCTGTATCAAAATTCGAGCATTCAATAATTAGTTCACACCGACGGCGAATGCCACGCTTTAAATCGGCGAGCAAAGCGCCGTCATCTATTTGTTTACTTTTCCCAAAATATCACGATATCTTACTCACTCTCTGATTGATCTATGTTCCACACGTGACTAAAAAATAACAAGTGATTTTCAACATCACGTGACTTGTGTTGAATATTAAATCATCAGCCATGTCTTCGTTCAGTGTAATTTTAATTTTGTATATCCTTGAGAGTATACGTTATTATTAATTAGACACCAATAGTTTATTATTCGTTAATGTGAGATAGGAATATAATAGTGAATAATAAGATATAAATTCTATTTACTTTGAACACCTGTCGCACTTTCATTAGATGATATTGCACTAGCCCTCTGGGCTTCATGGGATATCACCTGTGAAAGATGCAAAGGTATTCACCTCAATAGAATTAATGTAATTACAATGTAGGGCTCCAAATATGAATCTTGAAAGACACCATTATCTATATCTGATATAAATTCATTATGATCGACCATAGCATTTTAGATCATTATCGTCATTATCAATTATCTTGAATTTTTTAGTGACTACCAACATTAATAAGTTGAAGAAATGAATCATGGAAATGGAATCGTGAAGACATGAATGGTGGTCAACATTTTCACTCATTAAACTATTGTTCATCAAATCTTTTAATAAATATGGTATACCATTTAAGTGTTCATTTTAGGCTCTTATCAGATGAAGAAACCCCACAAAACATTAGCACATGTAGTTCCAAAATGGTTGCAAATCTTCCCAATTTTTACATGTGAACCCCTTACCAGCTTACAGAAAACTCACCCCTGAACAACTCCTCGACTAGACAACTCAATCCCTAAACAATTCAACCATTTGACAAGTCTTCCCCCAAGGCAACTCATCCCATGGACAACTCAACCCCTATAAGCTACTAAAAGTTCAGGTAATAGTGGTCTTATTTAAAAGTATATATAAAATTATCTATTTTTCCCACTTGAGGAACAATTATAAAATCGATTCCTGCATAATCTGCCCTTTTATTGATATCCATCTATTTTCGAAATAGTTATATCGAAATAAAAATATGGACGTTTTTTGGCCCACCCTGTATAGTACTAATATTACGAATCATTTATTTTCATGAGTACATGCATAGAGCAGATGTTTTTACGAATGGCCTAACGAATTAGATCCATTTATGAGTGTCATTTTGCGTTATCTTATGTCTGGTTTTGGGATTTTTGATTATGTTCTGCCTTTGCGAGAGCTGAACTTAGCAAAGCCGAGACGAGTGCAAATACAGCCATTATGGCGTAAGCTCCTCTTGAACAGTGCACACCAACACAATTTGTAGAACCCTGGGGACTATTATTTTCATAAATCCAAGCGAACAGTTTTGCAAATGGAAATGCACATATTCCACCTAGTGATAAAACCAATCCGATTTTTTGTGACAATTCCGTTGATCCAAAAAGTTCTGCAATACCAATCATCACCATTACAGATGTTAGTCCATTTGCTACGCTATGCATTACCGAACAAGATACTAATCCTATGAGACTTTGGTTAAAGAATATGAGCAAAATTTGACCCGACATCATGAGGAAAGATGCAAACAAAAGCAAGGAGCTTGTCGGGACGAATGGAAATTTCTGTTTGAGAATATCAGGAATACAGCCTCCTAAAAACCTTGCTAGTGTATTAGAAATTGAACCGGTCATTAGTAACGGGAGCGATGCTGTCTCAAGGAGTGCAGATTTAGCTACAATTGTAACGTTAGTAGAAAATGTCAGTCCAATGCCTTTAAGGATAATCACAATCCAGAGAAAGTAATGAAACTTCAATGTCTTGATCATCTGAAAGCAGGTAGAATCTGTGATATCCTTTCCAACCTCTGGTGTATTTTTATCGGTATTCAAATTCCTATCAATGAATGGAGTCTTGGCGTCGAACGTGTCATCCTCAGCATTCGTTAGATTATAGTCATCATCATCCATCAGTTTTCCTTTATTAATGTTGGTCTCCATTCTCATAATTTCTTCATCTTGGCTACTTTCGGTTGAATAACGCTTCTTCTCTAAATGGGGTATTGAAGGTGTAACTGGCGGCACTCTTATAAGGAGAACCGAGCAAAGAGAAAGTGTACATCCTGCCAATATGCATAACAGAATGAAAAAGCCTGCGAGATTTTGGTTTTCTTCATCCGTAATATGCCCCTCGACAAATATTCCTTGATAGATAGCAGCAAATATAAGCGAACTCGAACCATAAATAGCACTTGCAAATCCAACAATTTTCCCTCGATGTTTTCCTTCAAAGTTTATAGAAATCGTTCCAATGATCGCAATATGTGCACAGCAACAACCACTAGCAGCTATGAAATATATTAAACACATGAACAAGTTCCACGATGCAAATAATGTTTTGAACTGCATTGACATCCACATTAAAACGAAGCAAGGCCAGGTGAGCATAGCAGCAAGTATACAAGCGAATCTAGGTCCATATTTATCTACAACGATGCCGGAAAAGTATCCAGGGAGTTCGAGACCGGTGGTAACACTAACGGTGATGTACTCAAGTTCTGATTGCGTAAACTCAAACGTCTGTTTAACAGCCACAGCATAAATACTAAAAGCATTTAAATTTCCGCAAAACAAAAGTCCAAATGTACCGACACATAATGTAAGATACCTTTGTATTTCTTTTCGAGCGACTCCCATATTGAATTACTAGTCCCCGATCTGATTTCCAAAAGGGCTCTAGAAAAGGGGTTTTGTTGTCCGGTACTTTCCCACATAAAATGATTGTACTGTTTGAAAGAACAGACTTCCCTCTTAAAGAAAACACCTCTTCTATTGATGTAAACAGGGGCAAAAGGCACCAAAACGGGGTTAGACAAGGTGGCATTCTGAAGTCTCACTTTCTTGTCATCACGATTCCAGGTAAACCATAAGACGGATTTACTTCAAATTTTCACACATGTTACATGGTAAGAAGTTCTAGAGCTGATTACCTTGCGGCGGCCATCTTGCATTCTGGCGGCCATCTTGGAATTTTTTTCAGATAAATATTGTCATCGCGATTCCACAAAAACCACATAACAGATGTACTTCAAATGTTCACACATGTAACATGGTAAAAAGTCCTAGACCTCATTATTTTTTCGGTGGCCATCTTGCATTCTGGCAGCCATCTTGGAAGTTTAAGGATAAATCTTGTCATCACGATTTCAGGAAAACCAAACGGAATTACTTCAAATTTTCACACATATTACATGGTAAGAAGTTCTAGAGCTAATTAACCTTTCGGTGGCCATCTTGCATTCTGGCGGTCATCTTGGAAGTTTTTTTGATAAATCTTGTCATTGTGATTCCAGGAAAACCACTTTACTGATTTTCTTGAAACGTTTACCCATGTTACAAGGAAGGTTACATGCTACCTTTTATATTGATATAAACAGGGGCAAAAGGCAGTAAAGTGGGATTACACAAGGTGGTATTCTAAGGAGAATGTTATCTATTTTTCTGTATTTTAAACCACATAATTTGACATAAATGCATATTTGGAGTATGATATCATGTTTTATATTGATAGAAACATGGGCAAGAGGCGCTACAATGGAGTAACACATGGTGATATTCTAAAATACATATTTTTCTCTGCTTCTGTACTTTATACCACTTAAATGCATTTTGTGTATGACATCGATTGATTTTTAGAATAAATAACTACATTTCATCAAAAAGAAAAAAGATTATGGAAAACGTCAAACATTTCTTTGAAATCCATTATTGCACAGTGATTTTTGAGAGCGAAATGTATGCTAAATTGGCCTTGATCTGAGAATATAACGGAATTAAAGCTCTTTTAAACGAAAATGTAAATGTGTGGAAAACCTTTCACTGTGCATCATGTCAACGAAATGTTCTTCATGCAGTTGAATTATCGTCTGGACAGGTGATCACACAGATGGAGAGACCTGGGTATCATATCCTTACTAAATATAAACAAAAATGACAAATGAGAAAGGAAAAAAGTGTAAAGCAACCTAGTGGGAAAAGCAAACTGTAATGTGTAAAACTGGCAAACAAAAATCAAACCTGAATATCCCAAGACAATAATCTAATATGGGAATAAACAGCATCCACACCGTTCAATGACCAGTTCCTCATCAACGACCACAACTCTGAGGGACATTCCATTCATACTGAAGTCATTAAAATACATGTTGAAAATAATGATATCCAATACTCATAAGATCAAAAATAGTTGTAGATACTATAGTACTCATAAAAGCTGCAGATAACGTTTCTTCATCGGGAAAGCAAGCTGTCTCTTAGTCATATATTAACTAACGAGCTGGTTCAGAGCACCAGCATGTCAAACTATGTGAATGGGCTCTGTATCCACAATGTTGCGAGTTCAAGACACATGTGCTCTTTGCGTTTAATAATCAACAAAAATCACTTAAACCTGCACTAAAACTGTGTGTCAGATCGATATAGATATCAGTATAAGGTTTGGAAACTAATTGTACCAACAAAAAGAACTTAAAAAACACTGCTACAATATCAACATAAGCTTTCAATAGTAGTGACGATGCAGAAACATGCAAAATGTCACCACACCTTGTTAAGTATACAGTACACATTAACTACTGAACAGTGTCAAGATAAACGTTCGAAGCTATTACAATATGCCACCCAATCACTAGTGGTGGTGACATAAAAATAATGTATAGAAAAATCTACTGAACCAAAATAAACTTTGTGATAGAAGAACTGATTGTTTACTCTAAGTTTTCAACTAAATATATTTCTAATAAGCAATGTTTTATCGAAAAGAAAAAATAATTTCATGTTATATAAAATCAAATAAATTAATTATATTTTTTTCGTTGTGTTAGTTACACCAGTAATAATAAACCTGTTTATAAAGTGGTGTTAACTAGACTATATAATTTAACAGTCATAAAAGTAATAATAAACCTGTTTATAAAGTGGTCTTAACAAGACTATAGAATTTAACAGTCATAAAACCTAAAAAAAATATACCAGGAAGGGACCACTGTGAATGTAAATGTATAAAGCATGGATGCCATAGGAAACGGAACAAAAGTTATAACAGAACCTAGCATGGAGAAAGTGTAACTGGTAAATTGTAATAAAAATAGTATAGATCATGATCTAACATGACATAGTATGCCTTACAACTCATCATCCCTATAATTATTAAAGACTACTAAAGTATATTATAGTGATCCACTCGACTATGCTGGTTACCTAAACGGTTTGTTTCGGTAACAAAATGTGGGAACATCGAAGGTATGATTTTTCCTTTTTCCTTTCACACTTTGTAGGCAGAATTCCCACGACATTTTTTCTCACAAACGTGTATCAGTATCATATGTTTAAGAAGATGTGCATATTTTCAAACAAATAGTTCAGAAGACAACATAATCGTACATTTAATTCCTCACTTAAGTTACATAAACGGTATTTCGAAAAGAAAAAACAGTTCAGATCTGCACTTTTAACCCAAACCTTTATGTAACTTAAGTTATGAATTAAATCGACGATTCTGTCGTCTTCTGAGCTATTTTTCGCAAACATGTACATTTTCTAAGACATATGATACTGATTCACGTTTGTGAGAAAAAAACGTCGAGAGGATTCTGCCTACAACGCATGAAATAAGGAATAAGGACAAATCGTACCTGTAATCGAGCGGATCACCAGTGTATATACAGGGTGAGATAATTCATATTATCCAGTTGTCAGGTAAGAGATTTTCAGGTAATTCATTTTCTTCCTGATCTTCAACGTTTGGTGTAATGGTGTCATCAACTGGTTCAAATTCATTGTTGCTCTCATCAACATCATCGTGCTGATGGGTTGGACAGTTCTCACACACACCTTTGCAGCACTTACATGAACTTCCACAAATGAGATCCTGTTTCTTACAAATATATCTCATTGAGTCAGACGCTCCTTTACAACTACAAGCAACAAGCTCCATTATTTCTTGTGGGGCAGGACCGTTTTCCATCCACTTAATTTGTAGTTTATTCCCTTTGAATGTCCAACCATGTAATGTGGGGGATTGATAATCAATCATTGATTTGCCTGAGTTTCGCCAAATATAGGCCTGATAGTTGGCTCTATTTATATGGAGAATGAGAGCATCCTTTGTTGGTGGTAAATGCTTTGGCTGTATTTTATATTTATCTACAAACTTCCAAGATGGCCACCAGAATGCAAGATGGCTATTGGAAAGTTAATCAGCTCTATAACTTCTTACCATGTAACATGTGTGAAAATTTGAAGTAAAACTCTTACGTGGTTTTCATGGAATCGTGATGACAAGATTTATCTAAAAACTTCCAAGATGGACGACGGAATGCAACATGGCCACCGAAAAGTTAGTTAGAACGTCATACCATGTAACATGTGTGAAAATTCGAAGTAAAACTGTGAAGTGGTTTTTATGGAATCGTGATTACAAGATTTATCTATAAACCTTCCTAAATGGCCGTCAGAATGCAAGATGGCCACTGAAAAGTTAATCAGCTCTAGAACTTCATACCATGTAACATGTGTGAAAATTTGTTAAAAAAAGTCAATCTGTTATGTTGTTTCCCTGGAATCACGATGACAAGATTTATCCCAAAATTTCCAAGATGGCCGCCAGAATGCAAGATGGCTGCCGAAAAGTTATTCACCTCTATGTTTTTTTTACCATGTAACATGTGTGGAAATTTGAAGTAAATCCGTTTGGATTTCCTGAAATCGTGATGACAAGATTTTTCTTAAAACTTCCAAGATGGCTGCCAGAATGCAAGATGGCCACCGAAAAAATAATGAGGTCTAGGACTTTTTACCAAGTAACATGTGTGAACATTTGAAGTACATCTGTTATGTGGTTTTTGTGGAATCGCGATGACAATATTTATCTGAAAAAAATTCCAAGATGGCCGCCAGAATGCAAGATGGCCGCCGCAAAGTTAATTAGCTCTAGAACTTCTTACCATGTAACATGTGTGAAAACTTGAAGTAAATCCCTCTTATGGTTTACCTGGAATCGTGATGACAAGAAAGTGAGACTTCAGAATGCCACCTTGTCTAACCCCGTTTTGGTGCCCTTTGCCCCTGTTTACATCAATAGAAGAGGTGTTTTCTTTAAGAGGGAAGTCTGTTTTTTCAAACGGTACAATCATTTTATGTGGGAAAGTTCCGGACAACAAAACTTTTTTTCAGAGGGTCCAGATCAGGGACTATACCTATATTCACGGTGTTATAGCATGACGGTTACGACACCTCTGTAAACGAGATTAGACGACTACGATCACTGATTTATCCAATAAAAAGGCCGTGATGGAACAGAAAACTAAGGTTGGTGCATTATTTTCTTTTACTGTGTATCAATGAAAGGATGAACGATTTTTGTAGGCATCGCATTCGGTGATGCATTTCGTAATGTATATTTTGAACGTATTCTTTGCAAATTGATGCCCGGGGATAACATGAAATAGGCGAAAAACTGTTGAGTTTGAAATTCAAAACTACAAAAAATTTTGTAATTTGTTTATTATTATCGTTGGGGCATGGTCTACATTGCCGTCCGCTAAATATCTAATGTACATCTAATACAATACGTTACCGTCCATAGAATTCATACGTAGTCGTCTAACGACATTGCGTTTGAAACCTTATAATTTGCAATATGACCACGTTCCTGTTCTGGATTTGTCATTTTATGGCTTGTTTATACACAGTTTACTAACTGTTAATACTTTGAGTGGCTCTGAGGCACATATACTGAGAAATCACGAGAATGGACTAAAAAATATGAACTTGGACATCTCAGTCCGTAAGTTTACAGCTTACATTCCGCTCCTAGTAAACCACCTGGCAGATTTGACCCAGTCTTTATAACCACCCATA